TGTTTTATCTTTGAGTTAATTTTTTTTTTTGGAACCCTAGTGTTATAATAGAAAGTTCATTTTAGATTATTTTTATCCTTAACGTTTATGTTTCATCTTTGAATAAATTTACTTCCTAAATCTTAGTGTTACAATGATAAATTCATTCTAGATTATTCTTATATTCAAAGATTCTGTTTCATTTTTTTAAAATTTTTTTCCTAAAAATTAATTTTATAATAATAGAGTCACTTTAGATTATTCTTATATTCAAATTTTATGTTTCATCTTTGAGTATATTTATTTCCTAAACTTTAGTTTTATAATAATATAATCATTTTAGATTATACTTATATTCAAAATTTATGTTTCATCTTTGAGTATATTTTACAATTTTTTATTTTTAATTAAATTTTATTTTCTCAGATATTTAAAAATATGTTGATTTTTTTATTTTTTACGAGATATTTTTAATAATTGGAAAAAATTTTAATAAGATATACATTGAATTAAAGATTATTTTTATTTTAAAATAAAAAAATTGTTTTATCAAATAGTTTTTATTCAATATGTATTTTAAAATCAATAAACTAAAAATTATTTGTAATTTCAATTTGCACTTTTCATATAAGTTATGTCATGCTAAAAATTATGCAATTGTTTAAACATGATATAACTTATTGCAAAATTATTAACAAACTAAGTATTTAGTATAATTTTTGTTCATTAAATAAAAATTTTTAAATTTATTTTTATCATTTTGATTTACAATTTAATAATTAAAATCTGAAAACTAAACCTAACAACTTTTACATTAATTACATTGTTTATTTAGGTTTCATGATTTTACGTTGATGCTTTTGAACATATATATATATATATATAATATTCTTAAAAATTTATTTATCACATCAATTATATGTGTGTTAAGTCTATAAAAATTATACTTTACATCACATCATCCATATATAAAATTTTGTTTTTATGAAAATTCACAATTAAAAATTCTTCAGATTTTTGATAAAAAATATTTTAATTTTTTTCCTTATAACTTTTGAAGCATTCAAAGCTCATTGTAATTTACATTTCGCAATATTTCATCTTTTAAAAAACTAATATAATATATAAAAATATTAATGACATTAGAACTTGATAGTTTTCATAAATCGAATATAACAAACATCAAACATTAGAAACGTATAAATAATTATTTTTTTGTTTCTAATCTATGCACTATTGGATCACAAAAGATTATTTCTTGTGATTTTAATATATTTCGTTGATGTTTTTTATTTGAAGCTTCAAGGTGTTATTCCTAAATATGTTATAAGATTGAAAATTATTTTAGGTTAACTCTAGTTAAAAATTAAGCTTGGATCCTAACTATAAATAAATCGATCGCCTGAATTGGTTAAATATCCCAGTTCAAATGCACGTAGCCCTCATACTAAAGATGAACCACATCATATCTATGTCGCGGTGTTTCTTGGGTTTTTATATTTACACGAATAAAGAACGAGTTTTTCACTTTTTTTTCCAATCTATAAGATAAAAATAGGTCAAATTTGTGGTGTTTTGATAATTTTTATCCAAGTTCTTTATTTTGAATACCATGATAATTTTATCTTAGCATAGTTTCATGCAAGGTTTGTAAATTTTTGAATATGCCTTTTTCTTTTATGACACCGACTTTCAACAGTTATTTTATGTCATTCTTTCAAAGTTCCGGATTGCATTTTATGAATTTTTTTTATCCTAACAAGTTTTTAATGCATGTGTATTCTTAAAAAAGTAAAGATAATGTCACATTAAAGACAATATCTTTAGAATCCTCCATTGTACTCCACTAAACTAATTCTAGATTTGATTCAAATCAATAGTAATTTGAATAATTAATATTTTGGAGATGATGATAGATGATAATAGTTGAGGTTTTGATTCCTATTTTATGAATTTTTCAAATGGATCATTTATTTTCAAAGAATAATATGAGATTTTCATACTAATGATATATAATTTCATACAGAGTCTTTACTCTTTTATCAAAAAATGTTTTTTGTGAATATGATGCTTGCACATTCTGCTCATTGATTTAAACAACAAATTTCATGGTCCAAAAATCATCATGAAGTTTTTTTGCTTTCTTATTCATGCATGTAATTAAAACATTTAAAAAACGAACTGTAAAACAAATTGATTTTTAAAAGATTGCAAATTTGATAAAAAACAGATACATATCATATTCTTTTGACCATGAAATCAGAAAATTAGGCTGATTTAGTTTCGATTTGGGTTATCAAAGAATCAGTCACATCTTCTCCAAATCTAGTTTAAACATGATGAGTTGAATTGGCTTTGGACTTGCATTTTTTATTTTGCTCAAGATCTCATTTTAATCTCAGAATAGATTTGGATTCCACATATAATCTGGGTGGATTGTTGTATGTGGAACAAACGGTTTTTATCATTTCATAGCTTGAAGACACAACCCAACAGGTAACAATCAATACGGCTAGTTGGATAGAAATAATGTAGTGAATTTTGGTATGGAAGCCACTAAGAAGCTTGAAGAGGTTGTCATCAATATTCTAGGTACAATGTCTCCTCCCTCCAACGAAGATACTAGGAATTCGACATTGGTCTCAAAAAGATAGGAGAGCAAGTGCACAGAGAGTTGAGGATTTTTTACGGAGTTTCAAAAAATTGTTTTGCCTTTGGTGTTATGCTCGAAGAGACATGATATACAAGCTGATTTGATACTTGATGCATTAGTCATCCACAGGTGTTATCTATTCAAATATGAAAAAGAGTTGATCTAAAGTTAGTCTTAGTACATTCTTCAGTGTGAAGTAGTAGTTGTATAAGTACAGAATACCCCTTCTCAATAATAGCGCACATCATCTTTGTTGGCGTTGCCATAGGACGGACTGATTCAACCCGAGAGGTTTTCTCTATTGGCCTGAGGTGGGAATTCCTCGACTCCTTCGGCTTTTGCGTTGTAGTTACCAAGATTTTGTTACTCCATTCTTCTCCCTTTGAGTTTTTTCTCTTCAACCTGTCTACCTATCTCATGTGTGTACTCAGTTGGAAGCTCATTTGAGCTTGAAAATCCTTGCATTGAGAAAAATAATGGTAAGGAGGGTGAAAATTATCCCGACTTTGCAAGTGAATATGAGAAATGATGTGAAAATTATGTGAAATAACCCAAATGCCACTTCTCTTGGCGCTGTAGCCACTGGGTTTATCCTTCGTGTTGGTCTAGCAGTCGTCACCGATCGCGTTTTGCAGATGCAGATGCAGTTTCTGCGAAACGACAACATATTCATGTTATCCATCACTGAAACACCAGGATGTCAAAGTTGTTATAAACAGAGCAGATTCACGAGAAACTACTGCTTTCTACCTGTTTTGGCCACTTTCCACTTCTGACACGGTCCCTGCCTGGATCCTTTCGAGTTGGTTTGGATTCCTGTAGCTCGGAAGATACGAGAAGTTGGATCGTGCGTTGGGAACGCACCACCAATGCAAACAGGTTTTCCTAAATCTTGGAAACAGTTATTCTCTTGTTGACAGCACATACGCAGCAAATCAATCACTTATGGATAACACTAAAGATTTTCTTCATCTGTTACAGAGTTGCAGGTCACTGAGGATCAATCACAAATATCAAGAAAGTAAAATCTCGCCCAAGAGATGACCAATGATGTGTGACGATACACACAATTTTGAAGATTCACTCCCTTGAAATCTCAATCTCAACCCAGAGAACCTTGCTTTGATACCGAGCAAAGGCAGTTTACTGTTGAGCAGAAGATATTGTGTTGAAGGCCGGAATTTAATGCCATCGTTTTCATCTTTGACTGTAGTCCACATATCTCTGGACACGAGATGTTGACTGCTGTTGGGATACCGAAAGTCATGTCAGTGGATCCACACTTCTCTAAGAGTGAACGTAGATCTCCACATGTCAATCCATCAACCTTACAGATTTAGATATCCATCATGATCTGACCACAACTTTTGGATTGTATCACGACAGATTCGGTGCGAAAGTCCCAATTTTTCTCGGGCCCGCCCAGCATGAAGAAGAGTATCCTGTGCATGAGCTGAACGCAGAGAGCTCTCACTGGTTTCTGGGGTAACGACCGCTACAATTGATGTCAAATTGCTGCATGTCTAATCACCCTCCTGATTTTTAACTTATTACTTGGTCTCTCCCTTTCCGAGGTTAAACACTGAAGAGCTTTCGCAACCGATGTGACGGGTGTAGATGGCGTGTGACATTGTATCCAACCTCAATAACATGATTCTTGTATCAACTGCGGTACTGAAAGAATGCAGAAACATGAATCCCTCGCGTATCTGATTTACACAGTCGACAAAGTGTTCTACGATACTAGACCGAGCAGGCTACTTGGCAGGAGGGATGTAAGGACTCCTGCATCTCTATGAAACTGCCCACAAGAAGACGAACCGGTGTACTGACAGTGCAGTGCAAGGCCATCCATTCCAGAGTCTCAGTTGATTGACATCTGCAAACGGGACTAATTAACACGCAGATCTGGGGCAGGCGCTCAATTGGAAGGGCTGCCTGGCGTCTGGGCTAATTTCAGGGCTCGAAGTAGGAAGCTACGGATTCTGAAGCCCACAGGCCCACCTGTTCAGTGATCCATTCCGTCAGTCAGTTCAGTAATGATCCAGGAAAGCACAGGTAGTCTGGTCCTGTGCAGAGCATATGTCGTGCCCATCCATGTCCCCTTGCAGACGAGAGTACCAATCTCAGTCTCCGTGGTCCATATGCATGGACCCGCTAGCTGTACATGCCATGGCGTTTCCAGCACACAACGTGGTCATAGGGCGGACATCGAATTCCACCAGACCAAGTTCAGTTTCGACGTGGAGACATCTCGGATTTGTACGGTGACGAGCCCACCGGCGCCTATTAAAATAATATTTGTGACAGAATTGTTCCTTCTCAGAATGATCTGAAAGTGGTTCACCCTGGTGAAAAAGCTTCATATCTTTAAATGTTTTTCATGTGTTTCATGGTCGAACCACTTTCAAACCATTAATATATTGGTTTGAAAATGGTTCGACCTGTCGCAAAAGCTTTGCATCTTCAAAATAGCAGCAAAAAGCAGCGTCTTTCGTGTCTCGACATTCATGTCGCCAATAAATTGAGACATTTCTCCGCCATCCTCTCGAATTCGGTGGTAGGACGCTGGAAGTCTGATGCACGGTTGGTAAGACCTAGCTGCAACTGAAAAGGTACCTTGGCGGAAACCTGTCCAGGTTTCACCTCATCTCAGGATGTAATAACAAGAATGCAGAAGAGTGTGAACGAATTCTCCCTTGGCCTGAGAGATGTTCCACACCGAAGGTCAGACCAGCGTGCGCCGCCGCACGGACGTCGGACGGAGGACGAACGAATTTGTGGCGGTGGAATGTGTTTGCGGCATGACTTCACTCTCTCTCTTTCTGTCTCATTTACAAAACTGACCGATCTTCGGGATTCATTCGAGGTTCAAAACTGTTAATTTGCACGTTTTGGCAAAGTTCAACTTGCACCAGTTTCATATTTACATGGAATGCACGCACTCACGCTCGCTCGCTCGTACAGTGGTCCTGAAGCGGTCTTTGAGCGCTGACCTGAGCTTGCCACTTGTTGTTTCGACCAGCCCTTGCGTGCTGGTCGAAATTTCCCATCTCCCTCTTGTTTGAAAAGTTACTTGATGGCCCGGCCCGGCCCGGAACTAATGAAGTCGGAATGCAAGAAGACATACACAGCCAACGACGGGCGGCCGGGCGGGAGCGATGGTCTTTCCTGGACTTGACTCCATTTCCAAACAGAAGATGCGTAGTTGTTTTCCCGTTCGGTGCACAGCAAGCAATTCCAGATCGAAGATCCACACCTGTGGAGTTTAGGACAGTGAAATCTTAATGCGAGTGGAACCCGCAGATCGTCTTCGTCGGGTGGCCTGTCGCTACTCTCATCATCATGTGTCGGAGAGAGAGAACGGATTCTTCACGCCCCGTCTTGTTTGCTATGGGACTAAATAACCAGCTCGAACGAATTAACACTCACAGGTCTTCGTACAGATCCGGACATTCGGAACAACCTTGGGTCTGACTATGAAGCCAGAGGGAACCGACGGAATCATTGACCGAGGTTATGGCCGAACGCCACTAAAGTTTTCGGGTTATCTCGAATCATGTTGTTGGCTATTCAGTACCGAGTTGAATGATCGATCGATCTCTTGATTCAGATTCCAGCGGCATATATGAGGTAGCCATGTACGCGTAGCAGAACTCGATCTCTGGCCAGCGCATCGTTCGATTGATGGCACAGGTAAAGGAGCAAGTATCACGGTGGGCGTCTGACCACGGCTGCGACGGCGCGTAGCGAGCTGGAGCTTTCAGGGCCAGTGAGTGAGGATGGCCCTCGATTAAGTAAGCCATACAGATGGTACAAGTTGTGGTTGATTAGCGCGCGGTCTGTTTGGGGATCTGGCATACAGAAACTTATGGAATCAGATACCTCGAGACATCCTTGTGACCTACATCCACGAGCATCGTCTGCATTCAGCATTTTCCCTCTGAAAGGCTCTGCGCGCGGCGAAAGAGCGCAGACGTGCACAAGGAACATGAATATGGCCAGTGACCTTTCAGGTCGATGCAAAAAAAGGCGACCGAGAGCTCGACGACACAGGCCTCCCAATATTTGAGTTCCGTTCGGTTCCTTCAGCCGGGCCTGCATTGCGGGAATCTCCTGGGCATGCGATGGAGGCGATATCGGAAATTTGCTAGTGGGAGCAGGTGCCTTAGATCGATGTGCTATGTCGAAAGAGAATCAAAGCCTCTTTCCGTGGTCGATGATCAGCACACAATGTGCGCAGACCGCTCGATACGAATCCATACGCGGGCGGATATGCGAAGGCGAAGCAAAGCGCAACCTGTACAAACAAGCTTCCAAACGGTCGCACGTCATCGTGGCAGGGAAAACGTTGCTGCAGTCTTTTGCATCGACAAATGCAGTCCACCGAAGGGACGACACGCACTGAGGTCAGACTGACGTGACCCAGTCGCCTTCAACACTCCAGTGCAATGCAAAGACGATGTTGACCGCGGACGAGGAGGAGGAGAAGGAGGAGGAGGATAATTTAGGAGGAGCCAACTCCGCAATGATTCCCCTCCCCCACCTCCCTCTTCGTTAACATCGTCAAGCCGGAATCATTGAGCTGCTTTTCTTTCTTGGTCCCTCTCCGTGTGGCGATTCTATGTATGCGAGGAGCAGCAGCGAAGACCTGCTGATGCATGGCTGATGCAGGATCTCAGATCTCGGAAAGGCCGAGATTCTGATCTCGGCCAGACCTCCGCCGACTGACACAGACTTTGGAAGTGCTCCCGTTACTGCCTTCGAATTCCTCTTCCTCCCTCCCTCCCTCTGCCCCGCCTGCCCCCAGTGGCCACAGCCGACACCTGTTCAGCTGCGATTCCGCGCATGAGATAGAGTGCGACTCATGCATGACGCAGGGAGGGGGGCAGGGGGCAGGGGAGTGAAGATGCAATGAATGGCTGGCTGGGTGGCGACGCTGCGACCTCGTCGGGAAACTGGGCTCAGCAGGGCAGCAGTATTCAATGAGAGCAGAGTCCATATCCGGACCTTCAGACTGCACAAGAGCTCTCGAAACGAGCTCCTTATGGACCACTTTGCACTCCGTGGAAGACACAACATTCCTGAGATTGTCACTCACTGCCCAAGGAAAGTCCTTAGTGCGTTGACTACGGCTGGCACTTGTACTAAAGTGCAATTCGTCCTTCTCGCGGAGGCTTCTCGTGGTCCTTGTCCGTGGGCTGGGCTCCGCTGGGCTTGCTTTTCCTCGCTTGCTTAAGTGCTTAAGTCTTCGCTCTGGTGGGCCAGCGGTTGAATTTCCGATCGGTGACAGGCTATGCAGGGCAAAGCATGGCACCGCAAACGGACATAGATAGTAGGTGGAGATTTCATGGGTAGCTTACCAGCCTACGAGGGAGAGAACGTACGTGCACTGAGATAGCTCGGAGGAAGACTTCATAATTCACCTCCATCGGTCCGCCACCACCTCCATAAGCAGCAGCAGCAGCAGCAGCTGCTTTCTGCATCTGCAGCTTTCACAGTAGGTCGTCAACTATTCTGCTCTCGAGTGCAAATCCATCGGTTGCTTCTTGCTCTCGACGCTGCGCTGCATGCAAGTGGGTTAGCAGCAGCCGTTGAACCTGGAGCTTCCAGCTAGCTAGAGAGCGGGCTATGGGAACGGGAGCGCTGGTTGGCCTGTCTGTTAGGACTGGTGCTTTATCCCTCCAACCACAGGACTTCCAGAGAATCCGAATCTACTAAGCGATGTTAGTTTGTCGACATTAGCTGTCCTCGTTTGTCAGCGTCAGGTCCGCCAGAGACGCGAGGAAGGAGCTCTGCGAAGATGGATTGAGGCTGCCCCGCCTTGTCCGCTTATCGGACACCGTGCCCCCCTCTCGATTCCACCTGTCACGAATGTCAAGGCTGAGTTGATCATTTCGAATTTGCATTCCGCCCTCCATTTTCTTCGCTATCTGTAGCTTGCGTTCATTAGGCTGAGAGCTGAACTGAGCAGAGCACGATGGCTGTAGGTAGAAGGTCAAAGCGCTTAGTTTCTTAAATCTGTGTGTTCGAAGACTCACATTCTCCACGCATTGACAAATCTGCAGTCCTACTGTGACCTGGTCCGTTGTTCTCAGCTCGTTTCCATTTTAGTACCAAGGGGTTTTCTACAATACCGGAATCTCAAAACTGCCACAGCTGTCAGATTTGTGTTGTCTTTACACTATTCCGAGGCTCAAGGTCTACTTGGAAATGGTGGTGTAAATGTTCGATATAGTTTATGTGTTCCTGTACATGTCTTACTATACTCTGAGAGTTTCCATGTATCAAGATTGACTGATTGCATGAATGGTGTAAATAACTCGATTCTGTTTTTTATGTGTAATCGTCGATCTGTCATGTAGTTCATTCCACGCATCCATATATATTTCGGCAGCTTTAGATTTAGTCTTAAGGATTAGCAGGCTGATTGTAGATGGAAAACCTTAAGCAAACTGTTGACTTCTATAATGAAATGCATGGATATTGGAAGTCGTGGAATCTTCTTGTCGGCGAGGAATTTTGTGGATCACGAGTTAACGAATAACGAGACTGTAAAACTGGATGGAGGTTCAAGATAGGGGCTAAGTAAATAGCAAAAAGCATCGGAACACCCCCATCAACCCCTAGACCCATGAAACACATATCTCCATAACATATCTATTTCTCAAAAATGCCGTATGTAACTACACATTAAAAATCACATCAGTTGTTATTTCATTTTTGGAAAACGATGTGAAGGCCGCATAAAGTTTGCATAAGACTCCTATTGGTGGGCAGAACTAAGACAGCCTTAAAGACAGTGAAGAAGTCGTGCATATCAATTTTGACTATGTTCACGCCCAGAATTCTTCGGGAATGTTGGATTTGACAGGTACATTGATAAATTTAAGTTTTTGAACATTTTTGCTAACTGATCAACAATCACATAAATTTTGCTCTTATCCTTGGTTTCGGTTTCAAATTCATGAGCTTTGCGCTTATGAATGCATTTTTTATAGAGCTTGACAAGTCAAAATCCGAAACTTTCTTTGCATAACTTGAAGAGTTCAGTAGATGCGCTGGATTTTCATAAAAAACTCTTGCTACTTTAGAATGCATTTTGAATATAGCTTGACGAGACCGAATCCCATGCTTCTTTAACACATCTGGTAGCATCCAGCAGGTGCGCTGGATTTCCATACAAAATTCTTGTTGCAGCTTGTCATAGTCGTTTTTCCAATTATCTTTTCCATTGCTTCAACTTATCATCAAGGTAGTAGAAGTCGAGGATATTTTTGAGATATAAATGTTTGTATTGTTTCTTGAGAACGACAATGACTTTCATATCACAAGGTTGTTTCCAACTTGAATAGTTTGGAGGAAAAAATATCGCACAAATTTTGTTGCATTCGAACGCAACAAAAGTGTCTTGGCGCATGATCCATCATTAAGAGAACAAGATGTTATGTTAGTCTTTTGATTTCTGGACTAAAAAGTTCATTGAACCATCTCCAACAGTTTTTCACTTCCATCCAGATCTTCGCTTGATCAAAATAAATAATTGGCCAGTGTTTTTAATACATGTTAGATCTTTTGGCTTTCCAATCATTACGCAAGAAATTTCATGTGTTCTAGTTGCCTTGGCGCAAACTATCAGAAAAACAAGATCTTTCGACTTCTTTTTTGCCTTTGGTGCTTGAAATGTTATCGTTCGGCACAAGGACAGGATATTTGGAAAGCAAAAAAAAAAAACAATCTAGTCTCTTTCTCAAGATTATATTGAGCGATAATTTTTCTAAGTCTTATAGTAATTCTAGGTCATTCTTGTCAGCCTCATCATCTTTTCCATGGAGAAGCATTTTTTGTAAATCTTGGCGTGTCTTGAAACAACCAACCCATTGCCAAGAAGCCTTAAAATCTGAATCAAAAATAGAAAGTGTAGAAGCAACACCTTTTGCTTTCGCAATGGCGAGAGATGGCGTTACACAGAGATTGGAACTACGCTTGCTGTCAATCTAGATGTACAACATATCTTCAAGTTTGAAAAATTGTCCAACTAATACTTTGAAGGAAATCTGTTTAGTTTCTTAGGATAGTAAAGCGATCGTTCAAGATTAAAATTTTGTTTCCAGACTTATGTATAGCGCCTTTGCTAATTTTTATACTCACGCACTAGAGCATGTTTGCTTGGAGTATTCTTCATTTTCAGTTTTGAAATGATCTCGTAACGTTCGAATTCATTTAGATGCATGGTTGCTTCAATTTCTTCAACATTGAAGCAATCTGCAAAGGATCTGAAAATAGATTTGTTAAGTACGCACCTATCGGGTAAGTATGCACACAATTTGAGAATTCAAGTTGCGTACTTAAGTGGGAGACTACTGGAATAAGTGACTAGGATACAAAGGTATACCAATAAGAGAAATCTCTTTATATTCTATATTATCTCTAAAAATGCCCTACTTAGAATATAGTAGTTGAAAATCTACCTAAAGTGTGTATTGAGTAGATAGTGAAATACAAATTAGAGTAATATAAACATGTTAACTATGTAAGTTATATAATGAAACAAAGAAAGCCATACACATGTCTCCTAAAAGTCTCTTGCAAACTCTTTAGCTAAAATGTCCAAGTGACATTAATTAAGATAAAGTTAAAGTTTCTCTAGAATAGTCTAGAGAAACTTTGAAAGTGAATACGTTGGCTGATGTTGGTATACTCACCACCCATCAAGGATAATGGATAATATTCATGTTTAAAGTATGACTGATAACCACCTCATTTACAACAGCAACATGGTACTCTCTAATCAAGTATCTTCTTACCCAACCTTTATTTAGTCCAATACATACCAACTCTTTGACCACTTTCAAGTCACATTACAAACATCGTACATACAATTCTTTCATGAGTTGCAATCTCGAAAATAAAAAAGTGTTAACATATTCATTATCATGATTAGATGGGTGAATCAAGCTAAAGCTCGACCTTATCATATATGTTAATAACATGTCATGCATGCATCATATCAAACATCACAAAACACACACCGTTAACAAGTAATAATATTTATACACCAGTATACATACGGTCATAAACTAGCATAAGGACATCACATTAATCTTTTCTATTTTCATAACACATACTAAAATGATGCTCATCACTAAGTATAAAATATCATATTTTAGTGAAGTCAAACTCACTTTGTGCCTCTCAAAGACTCCAGGTTTCTATAAAAATTACTCTCGACCATAACCACACTCTTCGTAGGCTCAATGTCAAAACCTTAACCTTGAAAATATCTACTTCAAACTCTAAGCTCCAGTTCTCCTAAGAGCGCGGTGTAAACCTTGACGGAAGTTTAATGCAAACGACCCTAAGTGCACATGATTATCTACCTGTACATTACCACATAGGACATATCGAGTAGAAAACCTTTATGCATTGATTGAACCAACACCCATGAAACTTCATCTTTTTTGTATCAAGAGCGTGAACAAACAGTGGTAAGTTTAGGTATGATAGTTTTGATATTGAAGTTGATGTGACTAGGTAAGGTAATGTAGCCCGCTTCTTTTGTTTCTTGTTCGGCTTGATGGGTCTTTCTATCCCTTTTTATATCCGCGTAATTTCTTCCACGTTAGTACAAGGTATGATTGGACCTACTAAAAGTGAAACTTTTGGTGTCCTAGAAGTTATAGAAAAAGTATGAGTTGAAATATCACCTCATGTCTTAAAAGCAATAGTACTTGTAATAGATTTAATCTCGTGTTTACATCCACACATACATCTTGGGCCTACATAAGAAAACAACCACAGCGTTTTTTTCTCCAAATGTGGATCATATAGAGCCTTACATACCTGTAAGAGGCTCTGTTCAGCAAGAAATTCTTAAAATGTCTCACGAACGAGCGCGTGTGCCTGGAGGGAGATGGGATATAGCATGTTTTCATACTTAACCCACCAATCATCTGAGCTTTGATCTCCATCAAGCAACACGCTTATTAGTTTAATTGGCTCAAATGTTTTTCCATCCCACAAAAATTACTATGCTTCTGTTTCTAGTTGATCTAGAATCAGAAGAGAGGATTTACTCTGTCATCCCACAGTGATGAGAGACCAAACGCTTCCGTTCTAGCTCAACTCGAACAAAATTCCCTCTTGATCGAGGAACCTGCGGACTCGAGACATTGTCTCGAGCAGACACAGCATACTCCCTAAACAGCTCGAGCCATAAGATGGAACGGAGCTCCTAAGGAAAATAAGTGTAAGACGTTTATCTGATTGGTGCATGGTGTAAATTCGAGCTTGCGGTGGGTTCAACGTACGTATCCGGGACGGGATGAGACGCTCGTGTGTCCCGGTCGCCATGACAGGTGTGAGATTCACTTTCTGTTGTGGGGCTGCGAGCTCCTCTTGATTCTTACCTCAGCAGCAATACGCGCGTGACTCTCTTCCATCCGAGATGCTGCAAAGGTGGAACATGTAGAACTAGTTTGCTGCCTGCCGAGATTTTTTATACGCCAGATTAAAGCGGGTGGCCTTTCTGTAACTTTTCACAGCGCATCTATCTGGCTCCTCCTCCTTGAGACACAGTTACTTTCCACCCAAGTTACGCGGTGGTGGCAAATCAGAATCTCGTAGCAACCTTGCGATTCAAGTTATGATCCAGATTTTGATCGAACTGGATTTGCTCCGTTGTTCAACAACAGGGCAGCTTTTCCCCGCCGAGAGGTGGAGCTTTTACCGATCCTCGTGGGTTTCCCGCTTAATGTCCGACAGTTTTGAGAAATGTTCTGACTCAGGAGGCGTTCCTTCCATGTTCATTGGAAGAGTTACGAGGTCTGCATGTGGGTAAAGTCTCTGGACTTTGGAGACATTTGCTAAGTGATCTGAAATCCAAATTGCATGACAGAGCTCATTTGTATATCTGTAAAGGTGGATCTTCTACAAACTGACATCAAATATCTTTTTATCGCCAGGCAGATGATGTAGACTTGTTTCTGTCGTGCAAGATGTTAGCATCATAACTGCTGTTTGCTACTCCAGTCTTTAGTCTCTTGAAGCAACTGTAGTCCCTTTTCGTCTCATCTTCCAACTTTTCTTCTTCGTCGAAGTCTATTGCTGCTAGCACCACGTAATCCTGGAGCGAGGGCTGTGGTCTTCAGTCGAAAGATAAAAAACCGATATTCGAACTGTACATGCAACAAATCTTCAAGGTGTTTCTTGTACACAAACTCTACGTTTATATTCGCGTAATGCATACTCAACAGATTACATATCTTTTATAGAAAATTAAACGAAACCCACAGTGCCATTCGGATCAATCAGGAGCAAATCTATGAGATGTATGGATGAGAAGTTCAAAGCGACAGTAAGTGCACCGAAAAGCGCCTTATGATCAGTTGCAGCTTCGGGGTTGAGACGCATGCTTGTCTGGAAGTCCTAAGACGACAACCACTCACTCTTGGAATGGAGTACACCTAGAGCCATCAGACTTGTACTCAAAGGACCCACGAAGCAAACCCTGTTCTTGCAAGGATATTCGCCTATGTCTGAAGATGAAATCTTGAGATGATAGATTATGTACTAAGAAGGTGTACAGACGAGCATGTTTCAAATCGAGCCGATGGAAACGAGCACGGGAAAGTAGCTTGCTCATCTGTAGCACCTTGGCTTCCAGTTTTTCTGCTCACGTTTCAAGTGGTGACATGTTAGTGCAGAATCTGCTGCTGTATAGACTGCTGATATAGTCATACGACCCGAAAAGTACATCGGCAAAAGTATTATAACCGTCCTCTAACTTCGGAGTCTGATTGGAAAGGGGCCATCTATAAAACTGGTTCCTCAACATTAAAGCGTCCTTTCAGTCAAAGGGTAGGCCCCCTGGATGTCTTTCTCGACAGTCTTTATGTAAAGTAAGAGAATTCTGAGCTAGGTAAGTCGGACTTGTAAGTAGCCGGGCCAGTTGGTGGATGCAAATAACGTACTGTACAGCAGCGGTAAGCAAAGATTTTTTTTGAGCCCTGATATGAACGAGGTTTTGAGGATTGCAAAGAAGGTATAGCAGCCCGCGGAGTTTACTTCTGTGCAAAATTGGATCGTAGTGCATTCATCCTGATGCAGCTCCATGGAATATTTGTCGGAATTAGAGTCTGAGCGAGCGTAAATGTTCCTCAATATTGGACCTGATCATGTTCAACTTTTTTACTTATGGACGCCGCTCGTCTTAAGTAAAGAAGATCAAGCTTTGCCGACGATGAGTTGCATTTTGACTAGAATACGTTCAGATGATGAGGACGTTTGGCATGTAATTCGAAGATGTACGAACTTGCAGCAAGAAATTCCTGGAGACATATCAGAAAGTAGAATCGGATATGCCCTGAAAAGTGGACCGAAGCTTGCGTAGGTTGAATTGGTTGGATAAACGGAGTGATGATCATGTCCCAGCCTCTACTAGCTTCACTTTTCGGAAAAGCTATTTTCTTTGTTTCGGTTCCTTGAGCAAACACCTAGCAAACACGCAGTAAACCCAACTGTCAGAATGCAACAGGATATGCAGATGATGACAAGATTTGTAGGTGAGAGAACTAACGGATTTATAGACTATTATGATTCTTCCTCAGCAGCTTCCTCGGTGGATCAGCTTGAGTGTTACAGCATAGAGCATCGAGTACTCTCTTCCGAAGGTAATACGTGCTCGTACAGTAGAAGTTGGAGTGACGGCAGGAGCCTACACTGAACACGGTCATTCGGACCTGTTCATACTGCTTTGGCCGATCATTGCCCCGGTCCTCACATAGTTTTTCACAGGTGCCGTCATTCCATGTTCAGAGATGGAAAGTTAATCCCGCCCAGATTTTTTGGCCACGTTTCGTTTTTCGAGTCAGCATCCACTGTCGTACAGCCGCAGACAACTTACTGTAACCTCTGCTGGCTCCTGCTTTTTGCAAATTGATCCTCTTATTGTCATAAACAAGGAACTCTGCTCAGTCATAGAGGGTAGCGCAAATGAGACAGCTGACAAATTCGTGCATGTACTATATATGTAGGATGCCAGTCCATCTGTCTCAAAGTTGGAGCTAAAGCATTGACCTTCTTTTTTCTAAGCGACGAGAAAGAGATTGCAAACTCAAACATTATAATGAGTGACTTTTGATAGATCGTCTCGTGTATTGTGTGAGGGTGCTTCTTGTCCAAGTGCAGACGCTTCGCCTTGAGAGGACAAATTGCTGCTTGTAGATCTGATCCAGTCACTGATAGACATACAACAATGCTGCAGCTACCTGATAATTTCATGCTTTTCTGACTATCGCGAAGCTGAATGGTCGGCATGTAACAGGATTTTTTCCTACAGAGTAAGTTTTGGAGGAAAGTAGCTCACTCACTTTCAGATGTTTCCTGCGTTCTCAGTAACATGTCTCACCATCATAACCAACTACCTTTGGCCGTGGAAAACGTAGAGAAATGAGAAAGCTTAGAATATGTTTCAGTCAGAGTTCAGTGCGAAAACTAGACTAGACTAATCTTTCGAGCTTCTGGACCTTGAATATCCATGATTCGTCGTGGGCAGAGCATCCCACACACTTTCTGGTTGGTTGACATCCAAACGGGTTCCTGCATCTGCCCACAGTTGACGTGAAGAGACGTACTTCTCAAGTCGAAAAGCGCTCCAGCCGTAGCTACGTCGGGACTCAGTGTAGCTCGCTTCCAACATTCTCTGAGACTTCTGGGGCCACATCCTTGAACCAAAAGATGCAGCGATTCCTAACACTGCAGATAAGCTAGATCGTGAGTAGGCCAGATATAATGCGGGCTTGTCTCACCGCTTGAAAGCTGTACTCTGTGCTTGGCCTCATGTGGCCGGCTTCCTTAACAAGGTACTGAAAGTGTACCTCCATGAAAGAGTGAGTGAGTGTCGATTCAAAGGCTCCTTACTCCGAGTCAAGTACAACAGCATTCAATCGGATGCCTCTTGTATTTGAAGATATACAATCCCGACCATGCAAAGTGGAATTGGCTTTTGGATAAAGCTTTGCTTTTTTCACATGGCCTGCCGAGAATAAAACGTTTCCCTTTTCTTGCAGATGCAGGTGTCCGACCAACTCGGCTAGTCACGACTATCGGTACGCGATGGAAAGCAAGCCTGTGATTTATTCTCGAAATCCGCTTTTGAAGTAAACAGTCCCGGTTTTCGTTTTTGCTCATTCACTTGAAACTTAGAATTTTATATAATCCATTTGCGCTTTGGAGCCGAGGTGCATGTTCGACCTAAAGGTGGAACTCTGCACCTAAAACCATGTCCAATTTCGTGATTACAGCTGACGAAGAGATTGATAATTCCTGACGAGAGTGACAACTCATGACTCATTGTTGGAATTTTTGAACCAGAGGAACTTTGAGGAATTTTGACTGGTAGTGCCAGAAGTATCCAGAGAGCAAAGTTCTGCATTTTCGGGTGTCCATTTACTTGTGACCGGCTGAGAAAAATTGAGGAGAGAAGACGCTTTGCAATTTCATCCTCATGAACTACTTGCTCCTGTGCAATCGATGCCTTGTAACAGGAGTTGGTTCTCCTTGATAACCTAGATCGCTGTCGATGCAACATCCTGTTGATGTCGAAGACGATACGTGCAAGACCTGTGAACGCGAGATCATTTTTTGAGAAGAATCTTCAGTCAGGAAATATAAAGTTCATGCCGTTGTCTACCAATGAAAACTTCACCTCGAGATCATCTTGCCCCATCGCGTGCTATGAGGTCTCGTGAACAGCTCGGACTTGAAATGTGGACCTTCTTCAGATTTCAAGGTCCAGAGGATTCTCTGACACATTCCTGAAACGGACAAGTATCGCTCCAGTAGCAATGGCAGATTGAGGGCTGTCATGATGTCTACAGGAGCTACATCTGATCGAGCCTTTTTGAGCCTTACACATGAGTACATGTATGTGAAAAGCGTGTAACAGTGAAGATGCTCTCCGGGTCTCCACTCCGTGTGCATTCTTCCTTTTACTCTCGAGCTCTGCGTCCGAGACTGCACACTGTTGCTTCATCCGGTTGAAGGTAAAAGCTGACATTATCTTCAAGAGCAGTTATATGAATCTTTTCAACTCAACTTGCTCACGACTTGGATGCTTCAATGTTTAGGTACTGACCCTTCACCTGTCATCTCCCAGGTGATAGAAGCTGACATTATCCTCGTTGGGCGCGGGATAGAGTGCATCACATACTAATGTCTTCTCATCCTTGACATTGCTGGGTTTATGTGAACATTAAATGCCAACAATGGATTCTTATGTCAACTAGTTCCAGAACTTCTTAAACGCTGGGCAACGGAGTTTCTGCGGCCACTCACTGGGAATTCCACACATATGAGACAAGGCCATATCCATCATTGACCGTGATCAACATGAATCCGATCAGAGACTAAGTACAGTTCCAGCACCGGTTCTTTAGTCAGTTCTATTATTTTCCCTGTAAACAATGAAATCCAAGATTCCTGCGCTACTTTTCAGAGTTCATTACAAATCTTCAAAGAGTCTGCGAAATACGATTTAGCAGTTTGCCACTTTCATTCCTAACGTCTTTTCAGTTAATAGCTCTTTAGCAGCTAACAACGACTTGATCGAGAGTGATTATTACAATATCGGAAGATCTAGTCCAACAATCTGTTCCACTTCTTCCTTGGCTCACCGTTGGGTCGGTAAAATTCTCTATTGAAAACTCAAAGATGCAATTTAAAATGATCGTTGAACAACAACTCACTTTTACTAGATGAAACCTTTAGAAACAGATAAGCGGTGACAACAGACTTACTGAGGAACAAGTAGAGGTTCACATGCGACAAGCACCGCATTGGACAAGATTGTTTTTGAAGACCAGAGCAGTGATATCATTAATATTCCAGCACAGCAACGAAAAACAAATACTGAAGTAACTACGAGTAATTTCCTCCCTAGAGAAACTTTACTCGTTGACTAGTTCTGAAGTCCACATACATAGGAGTTTTGCTTCCAGGACTCTCCATCCTCTACATTGCTCAGAATAAACAGAGTGATCATCTTCTGCCTGGACTAACGTACATGTTCTTCATTCACAGAGGAATCGCTAAAGACGAGGCAAGAACCAGTAGCCCTTGAGGATCCTGCAGGTTTCGAAAGCCAAACGACACAAGCAAATTTGAGCAAATCTTTTTTTCTTATCGCAAATTTCGCCGCGAGTCTCTCTGGACAAGCTGACCTTAATGCGCATCCGACCGTTCTTTTCGCTCAATCGACCAGGATCAGTGTCAGAGACTTGAGATGTTGTTCTCCTCTGTTCGCTGCACGTTTTTCTCGACCAGCTTCCACAGGTACTAGAGTTTCTCAGAAACAAATTGATCTGAAATCTTTTCACATGCCTCGATTTACTCCGAATTTCGTCGTGCATAGCCCGTAGTCCTCCATCAATGAGTAGCAGCTGTGTCCTGTAATACAACAAGCTCGGTGAGTAAGGACAAGGAGAACTGATGCATCCATCGACGACTAGGCTAGTAATACTGGGGCCCATGGAAGAACTAGACACCAACACCGCACAACTCCCATTCCACACTCCGCGAGGTTTAAAACTCACCTCACTCGTCGTCGTCATCACGCTTCTTGTGGTGGTGGCCGTGCTTGCCGCGACGGTTGTCGTCATCTTCGTCATCGTCACCACGCCTCCGGTTTTCCGAGTCTTCTCCAGAATAGCGATCAGAATCCTGAGAAGTTCAATACATGATCTGAGTAAGCACTGAGGCCCGAAGATTGCAATGGTGAAAACTGCAAATCCTGGATAAGTTCAGTTGAGTCCCGTAGACTCACCACCCTGGCAATTAACACAAACCAGGGTCGGTATACGAGGAAACCACATATTTCTTACACCAAGAAGCCATGCAGGAGGCACGAAGGGAAGGCAGACTTGGAAGCCAGCGAGCCGGGGGTCAAAAGGCGAGTCAGCCCCTAAGACTTTCATTCCCTTCGAGGCAACTCATAAACGCCACGAGGTATCCGAAGAGACATCACTCACAAGAGAGAGGCCGGCGGTAGAAGACACTAGCTCTTCATCGTCGTTGCGTCCATATCTGGATTGCCCGTACTTGGACCTCCCGCTCTGCTCGCTATCGTCGTCCCCGTAGGCCGACTTTTTCCCTTCGTCCTCGTCGTCATCTCCACGGCGCTGCCCGTGCTTCGAGTAGCTCGATTTCTTCTCCTCGTCGTCGTCGGACTCGCTGTCACCGTGCTTCTTTCTTCCGTACTTGGGCTTCTGCTCGTCGGACTCATCATCATTGCCCTCCCCGAAAGAGCTCGTCTTCCTGCCGCCATAACCAGCCGGCTTCGAGCTCTCATCCTCCACCTCGCCGTAAGTACTCTGCAGAGAGTATCCTTCCGTGGGCACCGCGGGGTCAGCCTCTTCGCTTCCATAAGTCGAGGGCTTGTACGCCGAGGTTCGGCCATAGCCGCCCGATGTCACCTCGCTGTCTTCAGCCTCGCCGTAGGCAGTGCTCGAGCTCTTCTTGCCTCCATATCCTCCGTATCCCGACTCGCCCTCATCCTCGTCCTTCTTCTTGCCGTAGGTGCTGCCACCGTATGCACTAACGGTCGAGTCCTCCTCGTCCTTGCGGCCCGAGCCGTAGGACGTAACCTTCTTTCCACCGTACCCGTACCCAGACTGCGACTCCTCTTCGTCGTCGTCCTTCTTAGGCGCCCCGTAGGCGCTGGCACCATAGCTCTGCGTGCCGACCACGTCGTCGTCGCCGTCGGTCCTCTTCCTGCCACTTCCGTAAGTGCTGTCGATGCTGTACCCGGTCGTGGCCTCGTCGTCGGTGGAGGACGCCGGCTTCTTGTACGAGCCGGAGCCCGACTGACCGTACCCCGTGCCGGAGGTCGTCTTTCCGTAGCCGCCCGAAGTTTCATCGTCGGTCTCGAGCTTACCGCTTCCGTACGTGCTGTCGATGCAGTAGCCCTGAGTGGGTTCGACGGGATCGGGCTCGTCCATGGTTTGACCGGGACCTGTCACCGTGGGCTTCGAGGGCTTCCCGTACGAGGGCTGCTGGCCGTAGGACGGCTTTCGGCCCTCGCTCTCGTCCTCTTCCCCCGTTCCCTTCCCGTAAGTAGCTTCCAACGAGTATCCCGCCGTGGGCACCGCGGGATCGGGCTCGTCCATGGTCCGATCGCTGTCGGTCTTCGACGACGCTCGATTGTACCGGCCCGTGCCTGTCGTGCCCGACTCGCCGTAGGCAGAACGCGTTTGTTCTTCCTCGTCGTCGCCAGCCCTGTTGGTCCTCCTCGCACCGTAGCTGCCATACTCCTCGTCCGCCATTCTGATAAAGGAATTGCTCTCTCTGAGACTACCACCGATCCCGATTCCCGATTACCGATTAGCTTGTAAGAACTCGAAGGATGTTGTTGATTCTGAACTCAGCTGCTTGTGGATGGGAGGTCGAATTGCTGTTTAAGTAGTAGCATCGTCTGTCTGTCTGAGGGGCCGATCGACGCCTCTCGACTTGCGCACACAGCTGATCCGAACGCAAAACTCGCGATCAGATCGCGCGTACGACGCGCCCGAGCCTAATTTAGACAGCGATCGAAATCCGGGGCCAGTGCGCTTGTGGGCCGGTCGATCGGTGCTCTGCAGCTGCCGCAGGTCGTGAAGCTGCACAGCAGCTCGTGAAGCACTTCGAAAAAGCTTTTGACAGTTGCGCAGTTGCAAATCACGACGCCATTGTGGTCGCCCGTCGGTCGGTCGGTCGGTCGATCGATCAGTGCTCGAGGCTGGCTCGCTCGATCTCTCGGCCTGTCGGGCAGTGCTCGCTCGATCGCACGTACGCTCGCTCACTCGCTCGCTCGTTCGTGCTTCCCTGCCGGACACGGCTCAAGCGATCGTGGCAGGTCTCCAGGTGTCGTTCCTGTTCGCGCACACGTGGCTTTTGTCCCCGTGCTGCGCTGCGCTGCTTGTGTGTCTTGTCTACGATGCTACCGAATATTCCCGTATCCTCTCTTCCAGTGTTCGCAGAGTCTCCTGTCTTCGTAAAGCGGAAGCGCTTTCCTCGTCGTCGTTCGCATGATCGACGAGACGAGAGCTTGTCGGACTCATGAATCGAAGCTCTTGCATCTAAATATGAACCCGCTCGTGCTGTGATCCGATTTCTAGAACAACGCAGGAAAGCAGGTTATGCAAAATTGTAATTTTATGTTGAGCTTTGTGAGAAAAGAGAGCCAGGAACTGATGCCATATCGTGCTGTTGTTGTTGTTGTTGTTATTCAAGGCATCATCCTTTCACATTGCAATCCTTTATTGCGGTTTCAGCGATGAGCCGCTCGGCTGAATCGATTTGAAGCTCGTATAGTGGCTGGAAAATTAGGGGTAAGTTGAGGCGAATGCACGCACTCCTGCCACCAAGCCGTTCCATTATGCTACAGAAGTCTTTCGTTCGAGCCGAATTAAATTCCAATCTCAGAAAATGGATATGAGGGTCCAATTGACTCCGTGAGGTGATCCGAAGAACTGAAGTCCATAGTCACAACAATTTCGGGATGTTATAACACTCTGGAACATAACTCATTTTCACATGCTAAATTGATCTGTACAGAGTTCTGACGTAAAGAAGTAAGGTGTTCGTGGCCAACAACTGGAAATCCTCAGACGCGCTGTGCGATTATCTTCTTATGCGGTACACTAGTGCGAAGGATCGGGTCTTGTCTTCGATTTCATCATTATTGGCCATCATAATAGTGAGTATACCTTGAAAAAAATTCCCCGTCAAGCGCTGAGGAGCTGTCTAACAGTCAGTCACCTCGAGGTATGTCGGTGATCACCAAGACAGGCGCTTGAGTGCAGAGACACGCATTGGATGAATCCAAAACGGCGAGGATTTGATCCGGCATATCCAGGAATCCATAAACTGTACACTGATATGCTGTCGCCTTGCGGAACACGACCCGCCATCAATACAATTCAAATTTCTGAAACTAGAATGAGAAATTTGATAGACTGCGTAAAAGTAACTCTTTCTAGCCTCAAGCAAAGAGCGAATGAGTGTTTTCTCAAGAGTCCATTGTCCAGAGCGGCTGCTCGGGTGGGTAAACGATGAGACCTGTCCGCTTACCTCCGTAATGTGTACATGTAATGTCCGGACGAACTCCGAAACAGACGACTACGTCATGAGCTCATGGCCGGCAAATCGCAAGGCCGTCTGACTCCTCCTCACCCAGTACACGCCTGGCCCCTTTATAGAACGCAATCAATGTAATCCGAACTGCGTGCAGTGCTTTCCTATTCTTATCATCTCATGGTCCAAATTTCGAGTATGTGATGCGTAAAAGATGACCAGGGTACGACATTATTCGTCGTCCGATTAAGCCGGTCCACCCTCGACACATCCGAGGACTCTGAAACGCGTAGTGCGATGTCACAAGAGCAGATCAGATTAGATCACCTTACTATTGCAGTCAAAAAGGGTACATACCGTTGTGCACGATCGACCAAATCTTATCGTGGCTTGCTACCGTCCAGCAGACAGAATAATTTTCGCCAAAAGTTCATTTTGCCTGCTGTCACAGTCCTGTATTTAGACATGGATCGGAAACTCTTGCAAGCGTCCAGTTCGCAGTTCGCATTGCTAGGGTAACCAAAGAGTGGCTTCAGGTTATGAGTTGCGAACACCAACAAAGTAGTCGGCTCATCGATGTACCTCACGTCCTCTATCGTGGAAAGGGAGGTTTGATTTTCCTAGCGCAAGCAAACCTTGCCGTCCTATATCGTCTTCCAAGAATAGCCAGGTGAAGCTCTCTCCCTCCCTCCTCCCTCCCTCATCAAGCGTGGGGACGAACAGTGCTGCCACTAGCAGCCAGTCGAGAAGCATGAACACCTCCAATCCTCTATTGGTGCGTGATCAGATGGATAAAAAAGAGCACCCCAGCATTCAAAAGCGTGGGTGCATACTTCGAAAGCAGTTATATAACGGAGCAGATGATGAAGCTAGATTTGAGACTTGTGGTCAAAGCTCTCACTACGTCGACCATACTGTTGCAGCTTCCGAGCTCGTCTCGTCATTATACGGCGATGGGAACAGTTGATCGAACGCCAGCCGCAGGGAAAGGGCAGCGAGCCTGACAAGGCCGCGTGAGACCTGTTTATGCACAAGTGGATATAATGTTGGGTGCACAGCAAGTCAATTCTACAGCGAGCTTCGTGATCAGCTCAGACCGTTGGCATTGCATAAGATGGAGGATGATGAGCGAACACTATCTACTGCTGCCATTCCCAGATCGACTGTAGAAATCTATCCATCTGCCGACTCGCCTAGCTTACTTACTACTTACCCGAGCATCACGATTCGAGATAGATCTACCAGCCGTATCCAACAGACCTTCACTTTCTGGAATTTCCTCAACAGCAAGTCCATGCTGCAAGAATCTCGAGGCATTACAGTTGTTGCACACGAACGTAGATGTACTCAATCATTAACTACCCACACACGTTTTGAGTATGACAATATACCTTACTCAGCCTGTTACTTGGGTCGGGGGTCGCATGTTAATTCTCGTATGATCTCTAGCCTACTGGTACTTCTCATTACCGTATAGTTCCCATTATGATGCTATTGGGGCCTAGCCCTATGGTAATCGTCACTCTGCAACCCTGTACGGCATGATGGGTCTCCCCATCAAATACTTGGCCCACCTTCCTTATCCCCACGAAAGAGTGTATGTTTCAATTAGCAGTATTTGGGGCCTATCCTCGTGTAAACCATTTGGTTTACATGGTTTCATCCAAGTTAGCCTTCATCGGTCTCCTCATTTTCTTCGTTATTTTACTGGATATTTTTGGACATATATTCAGTTAAATCTTCTAATAGTGGTGGACTTTTAACTTGAGCTTGGGAGATTGACTGAGAGCTCAGTTGATTTGGGATCACCTGAGGTGATTCAAAATAGGAGATGTTTGAAATCATGGGGAGTATCGAGAAAGGAGAGTATGCCCAATCAAGAGTGTTGACTTCAACACAAACACGTGCATTGGATGTGAAGTAACTATACCAACTACACTCGAGAGGGAAATTGAGCTGATCATGGGACTAGAGACGTGACTGTAAAAGCCGATGGATATAGATACTCTGGAGGTAATGGAACATCATCCCAGAATGGGGATAACGGAGTTCTGTCATTAGATGCATCTGAAGTGAAGAGCACTAACGAGAAAGGAGAATTTACAGTAATTATACCGGATGGAATTCATAAGTTTTAGGAGTATATTGGAATTCATTAATAAACTTAGCTGCATGGCAATTTGCCTTTATGATTACTTTTTCTAAGGCTTTATCCAAGCCTGATGGCATTAGCCATAGGATAAAATTTCATCTTGAAGATACCGTGTGAGATGTCGGAATGCAACAGGCCAATTTTATAATAGAAAATTGATTTCACTTAATCATGCTAGTTAAAGTAAGGGTACTAAGTTCAAATAGGAAAGAAATTTAGGCGTTAACGAAGGCATCAATATATCTAAGAGTATTCCATGCTGCCGATGTTGAGAAGTATACACATGAGCTTTTTAACCAAAGGTTTCTCTTGGATCCAAAACGATGATGTTTTAATAGATGATATATGAAGTGTGTACACTTTTTGGACAATTTTTTTGATGGAAGTTTTAAATAGTAACTACAGTACTAGAGCTGAAAGAATCAGCAAAACGTTAGCTACAATGTATTACCAGAAAGATCATGATTGAGAGTTGTTTATAGGACAGAAAGAAAGTCCAATGGTAGTGTGTACGAATCATTTTAAGACGATATCTGAAGATGAATAGTACTTCCGTACAATTACAATGAGCGGAAGTGGAAGATTGATATATAGAAAAATAATTGAATGCTTGAAAGAGAGGAGTGTTTTAAAGATGACATCTAACATATCATATAATAGTTTGAAAAATTAAACTCTATGATGGTAGAAATTTAAAATTAAAAGGAGGCGAAGTAGATAAAAAAAGATAGGAATTAAAATAAGTATTTGATGGTATACTATAAATTCAAAGAAGATATATCTCAACAGTAAATTTCATAATACATGTTAAAGCTAGTTTTAAAGAGGCTAAACTAACTAAGGTTGCAACAAGACAAGCGTGAACGATAAAATCTTTTTTTGAAAAACTAAAAAGAATTTTATTTTTGAAATGATTTATCCGAACAATTGACCATGATTTGGTTGAGATCTGACTTAACCTGCTACTGTGAATGAACATAGGTTGTAATCCCTGAGTATGCCGTTATCTTATTCTCATTCTATCATTTGAATAAAGCTATACTTAGTTTTCAACATATGCTTCCAAATCTTCCTTATCCTGTGCGAGTTGTATACAAGGAAGAAACATGTGTCATCTTTTGATGCGTTCTAAAGTTGAGTTTATTTAATTGGTGCTCCAATAGTGACATTTTATCAGTGTTTTTCAATAACAAGGGTCGTTAACAAGTTAGAGCTCAAACAAAAGCATGTTCTTACGGTCATAACAGCCTCTTCAATACTCTTATTCTTTGATTTTGTCCACCTAGGCCTCAATGTTAGCTTCTTATTTCTACATGGTCCATTAAATGACTGAAATTTCGGTACGCTTTGAAATATATTGTAAAGATTGGTTTTTTGTAACGGATTTGACTTGAAAGCTGCTATCATGGACATGCTTTCTTAATAATCATTGTGACACTCGTTCTCGTAAAGCTGTCTTCCACCATGACAGTGCAAGTGTGAGACAACGTTCATAAACACTTATAAGCGGTTAGATACCTTAAGACTGACTTCCGAATATCCGCTCCTGATTATCATGTGTTTTGTATAGAAACGGTCACAATTCGATCAGACGGAACATTCCGATAATTCGATCAGACGGAACCAAGTTCTACAACTGATAGTAGCTCTAGATTTGTGTGGACACACAAAGCTAGAGCTAAAAATCTGCACACTGATGGTGAATCTGTGCGAAGTCATTAGAAGCTGAAGTCTATCAGATATTGTGAGTAACTGGGCTTACAATCACAAAATTTGAGAGTTCCTAGCTCTTGACGAGTTTTAATATATGTAGAGATCGTCTTGACGTTCGAGCCAACATTCGATAATTGATCTAGTCAAGCTGAAAATTCTACATCTAAAATCCTTTTCGAAAGAGACTTTCAGCTTGGCCGAGAGGTGAACGCTGTGAAATATTTGATACTCATGATTAAGAGGATCCTGGTCAAGGTTTTGTGCCCGGGGCTCGTTTTTATTGCAAGCTTGGGTCTGGGGTTCATGTTGCGTTCACTTACATAATTTCGGGTCTCGACATGGGAGGCTACTCCTAGTGGAAACGAAACTCCTGTTTGCACGTACTCAATCAATATGGTTCAGATTGATGAGATTGATAAGATAGTGAAGACCTAACTAAAGATGCCTGCCCGTCGTAGTATTTATTAATTATGTCAATCTGAAGACTGGAACCAAGGATGGTTGAGTATCTGCTCAATGGTTAATGCCCTCCTTTGGTTATTGTCGAGTAAAACGCAAAGCAGTTGTACGGCCTGAGGATGACACCCAGGCTTAAAACAAGGAGGATCCTTGGGCTGTCGATCACCAGTCAGAAGAACACTAAGAATTTTTCCCAATGAACTCACATCGTCATCGAACGAGGGTGGTTCATCGTCGAGTTTGACTCGCTTAATGATTTGCTTCAACTCTCTATCTGAAAATACTTGGTCGATGACAAAGCCAGGTCTGATTCTGGTGGCCAAATGGGGTAGGTATATAGACAAATTTAAGTCGACAATTACAGGAGAGTTTGTGTCTCCGGATCTAAAACATATATTTTTCATGCCTATGTTCAGATCTCTGTGAATCACCCCGTATTCGTGAAGATGCTTCACAGCTTGCATTATTTTCCTGAACAGCACTCGGGCATCTGTGCAGGAGTATCGTTGGAAGGTCTGTGCTAAAGTATCTTTCTCCAGTAGCTCCATAATCATGTAAATATAATTTGGGGATTCGTAGATCTTGTACACCTTGACAATGTTTTCATGCTCTGGAAGAATCTCGGTAAAGCAAGCAGCTTCATTGTATGTCAGATCTATCATTTCTGCTGATCTAGACATCGCAAAGAGCTTCTTCTTACTGACTTCCTTGCAAGCGAAAATATTGCCAGAGGCTTTCTCCCGACAAGTGCGTACAGTTGCAAACGATCCGTACCCGAGTTTCCCATTTACACGATCGAGTTCGTACAAGGTATCGAATTCTTCATCACTTTGAAGCATTTGTACCCTTCTGAGACGCTCGAGCAAGAAGCGAGTTTCCTCGCATTTTTGCTTCTTCCTTTTCGGGCTATCAGAACCCACAGATGACGCCGGGGAATGGCATCTCTTTCTCTTGCTTCGAGCCATTACTTCTGAAAAATCTGGAGCATTGATATGGTCAGGAATTTATCATTTACATGCACCGTGGGAGGATCTTCTCCCCTCCCTCAAGAGGAGTAGCGGACCGCGGTCCGTTGCAGTGTCGCAAGTTCCATTCATCTCCTTATCGATGAAATTCACGGCTTTGTAGGCGTTGGATAGCGAACCGGGACATGGTGAAGAGACTCTGAACACATGTTGGTCAACTGATTTTGACGCTGTCAGAGAATTGTTCCTCGACTCACCGTAAGCTGGAGGCTGATGCAGTTACCTTAAGGTTTAAATCGGTCGCCAAAACACGGCTCAACTTCAAATTCATCATCCAAATCCTTTTTACTCACTCACCTATAAATGGCACCGATCGACAATTCGAATAAAACCTCACTTGCCGTCGATACCGACGGCTTAATAATTTCTATGTTCCACCTTGTATAATGAGCCCGATGCTCGTAGTGGCAGTGCTCGAACGCGTCTCTACAGGAACGATACGTCGCATCTCTTCAACCACGGTGACGTGATCATTGATTTAGTCAACGAAATGGACTTACTGCGCTGCCGCAAATTGTGGACTGGATTGTGCGCCAAGATTATGGAACGGAAGGCAACGTTGAGTCGGAAATTTAGAAGGCAGAGAGATACTGAAAACGGTGAAGCTTCGAAAAACTGGAAATCGACCAGAGGATCTGAAATCTCATCTCAGCCTCTGGGCTAGATCGTGTCATCAAGGGCAGGTGACACATTCGAGTTCGGCGCAAATTGAGTAAATTAATTGAGATATAGAAGTCTGATCTAGAACTGCAATCCAGACAAGTTTTGAGGTTACTAACTTATCGCAATGTAGCCTTCTATTTCGAATCTTTTACATCTCATCGGCAAGAACCGTAGACAGTGGATCTCAGATCTCTATCGACGATGAATCAACGGGGCCCAGACATAGCAGTCTGACCAGTATAATTAGTGTGCTCGGTGAGAAGCGTTAAATGAGAGAAAACTGAATTTCGTCAGGAAAATCGCAGATCCTACAGTGGGCTGCCATCTCGTGAATGCCATCAAAGGTTCATCGACGGAGCTGACCCTGGAAATACCATCTCGCAGGTTACGATTAGTTTTAAGGTGTAGACTTCTGTGTTTAAGTCATTATCACTCACGTCGTAGATGTCACTGTTTTGTCTCCCAATGAGTGTTGTTTCTATCCTAGTCAGTTCGATCGAACCCGGAGCGTTGATGAGAAGAAGACTCTGCTCCTCCTCCTCCTCTCCTCTTTGGTCTAGACTTCGAAATGCTCCTCGCACAATCCTGCAGGCTTCACTGCCAGAAGAAGTCCTCTAGTTATGCGGACACCAACGACCCCTGTGAAATTTAATCTCCCGTATTAACTTGCTTGGCCCCAAGGAGTTTGAATGTTAGTCTAAACATCCACGAAGCTAACAACAGCAATTCAGGTGCGATTTGTTTTGAGAACTAGGAAGTTAACACTTGGAGTTGTTCAGGCAATGGTATCTTGTTTTGATGAAGTTACTCCGATCCATCCGTCTAAGATTTTCGTCTCGGGGATTAGTATATGAAAATTTTACAGGCTACATTCCGATCTTCAATCCAATCGAGTAGAGCAAATCCAACGCCGAATGCCCTTGTTCGTTGTTGAATCCAAGAGATAGAATGGCATCGTCCAGATACGGAAGTTCGTCCCATTCCTCTAAGAAATCTAAAAGACGAAAGTTTTCCGGCTCCGGCTCCGGCTCCGGAGGACATGGCTACGAACCCCGTGACCAAACAGCAGTATCCGGGACCTTCGTAGGCAATCCATATCTGTTGGCAGATCGCCTTTCAGAAGTGTATAAGCTAGTAGACGACCATCAGTTCTTCGATATGTATGAAGAGGAAACCAATTCTAGACTCGGGCAGGGAAATTGTGCTGTAGTGAACAAACTCAAGAATACAAAAACTGGCGAAGTGCACGCAGTCAAGAAGATAATTAAGAATGAATTCTGGGAAGAATGTCCAATGCCAATTTATAAAGTCAACCTGTTTTGCGAAGCTGCCTGCTTCCTCGAGATCATCCCAAAGCATGAGAACATCGTTAACCTGGTTAGGATATACGAGTCACCCAATCACCTCTATTACGTCATGGAATGTCTCGCACCGTTCACTCTGAAAGACGTGTTTAAATCATTCACATGTGCAGAAACTCGCACTTGTTTCTATAGAATCCTGCAGGCTATAGACCACCTGCACCAGCATGGAATAATCCACGGCGATATGAAGCTGGAGAATATTTGCGTCAAGAAGGAGGACAATCTATTTCCCATTCTCATAGATTTCGGTAATTGCCGATTCGATCCAAGTATGGTACGAAAGACAAAGTCACCGGCGTTCAATTATAACGAACTCTTCACGCCTTTCGAGCTCAAAGAACTGAGGGAATTTTTCCCCAAGACTGATAAAGTCGGAGACGTTCCTCAGCTAGCCAACATTCTGCGGATGCTTCTTACGGGACAGCCTCACCTTAAAAATAGTGACAATTGGGAACATTACCCTATGAAGCCGGAAACCAGTCCCGACGCCTTGGCATTGCTAGAGTTTATGGAAGACTCAAAGCTTATTCAAAATACCACAGTGGAGCAGCTCATGCAGCACTGCTGGTTTGATCCAGAGCGGCTAGCCGGTGGAAGTTCTTCCTCTGGCTGAGCTCAAAGGTTCTCCTCGATGATCTCAGTTGCATGCCCAGAACTGTGCTCAGCGGTCTGGCAGTCCCCTAACCCGTTGGTGTGATGCCAGAGCTCATGTGCGAGCGATTCCAGGTATTTAAGTAAAACGTAACTCTGGAAGCTTATCCTAAGGTATCACTGGGGTACTTTGGATTTTTTTACCCTTCCAACGTTGTACCTACTTTCGTCACACAGCAGATACAAACAGCACACCTAACAATTCTAACCTACCCACTATTTTCCTTAAACTGGTGGTTCCTAATCAGATCTCCAGTGCTCTCAATCTAGGACTCGGTTCCGAGTGGGGTCATCCCAATACCACGAGATAACATGATCGAGAACTCACTCAATGACATCGAGTTATAATCTGGCTTCCATTGTTGTAAGACGCAGTCTTCACTCGTTGATGTGTAAGTATTAGATGCGAATTGCTGACTGGTTCCTGGTACTCCACAGGTGGATGTGAAATTGTGATATCGGAAGAACTCGAAAGAATACTGACAAGTAGAGAAATTTCAGGAACATACTGAAGGAGAAAGGCCGAGCTTATGGTCATCCTTACCAGTGACCTTAAACCTCATGGGCCAAGATTCCGAAGTTAGATACAACAAGCTTGAAATTGGTCGCGTACCTTTCACTAGAATGATCTGCAAAGGATTTTATCGCCATACCAGGCTTTGGTGACTCTTCCTTATAAGCTTACAGTTGTCTAATTAAGCCTACTAGTCGCTAATACAGATCCTCGCTGCAATATCTAAGAAAACATCTGCTTGTTGTAAGCCTGATATTTGATCAAAATATATTTCGTTAAATCCCATCATGGGCCAGCTTTGGTGCAAATAGATGCCAAGATTGAGCATGAATCAGAAGAATATTCCTCCGCCCTGTTCTCTCCTAAACCCACAACAAATCAGAATATTCACTCTCCATGGAATTGATCAGCGTTCTGTTACAATCCTCTATATTAGAACATTAAGTGTTTGACTTAACCCAGTAACCGCAGAGTGCCTATAGGAATGAAAACAAAGTTATATATTTCGAGCTACAGATTCAATCATCCCCACACGAAGCTCAATCCTAAAAATGTGTTGTGGATGAACTCGAACACGGTCATTAGCTTTATTTCTACAATTGGCAGAAGGCAAAGAACTGTGAACCCTTGTTTTAACAAGCTCTTGAAGATAGCCTTCGTACAAGGATTGCTTAAACGACAGATTTTTCCGGATCGTTGCTAAAACCTTCATGTTTTTTTATGTTTGGTCTTGCACACCTTCATATAGCAGTGCCATCATCACTTCCATTATCAAGATCCAGTTTCTTGATACAAAATGGAGGAAATATATCTATATCGTGTTCTAAGTATCCACTGGAGGTAGCTAAGAATGAATAATTTCCTTCAGGTTGTGAAAACCCCTCAGCTACGAGCCAAGCTTGAGGCCTGAGTCAACTTAACTCTGACAGTACTTCTAAACTTAGGTACTCCCCAAACGCTTTCGAAGATAGTAAAGCAACCTTCTCAGTAGAGCTTGATTGCACTTTGATGGTTCATCCTGATCATTGACAAGAACTACAAGAGCATATTCGATTTTCGAATTTTCATAACAATTTCCGATGGCACCTTGTTCATTCAATAAGGATCAGCTGCACACCTTGGATTGGACAGTACGTTGAAGTTCATAATGTCTTCTCGTTGTACATCACAATCGAACCTTGCAAGATGAGGAGCAGCAGCAAAAACCAAGTCAAAAGTACGAACGAAACGTCGTGACCTTACAGAGACCGTGTGGATGGCCGACACCTAAATACAGGATCCGAAGACAAGTGGGACATGTGGTGAAAGAGCTGCAGTCGAATACAGGTTCAATCCATCGAACGTAGAAATCTCTAGGCAGTGATGTCTGCCTGAAAGGGGAAGAAATTGAGAAATATGTGGACGTCTATGGGAAACTAGATTTCCGTTATCGATAATCAACCAATTTGTGCTCAAATTTGTTTTCAAATTTGTCAGAACCTGTTGACATTTGACTAACCGATGCTCATGTACCGCAGGGTTTAGAAGTCCTTACTGGAAAATTGAACAAGCACAGCCACAGGTAGATTAATGTATCAGATGCTAACAAATTATCACTGACAGTTTCGATATCTCCTACCTTCATGACTCCTGACTTGACGTTTCTGTTATTAGATATTCTAGAAAGAGCTAGACTGAGAAATCATTTATCATGGTCCGTAGACTGTGAAATAAACAAAGGCCAAATACAACACCTCACGGTATTGGACAGCATCTGGCACGAAGAGGTGGACTCCGTGAGTCCATTTCATGATGACTGGTACTTTGGTCTGGGCATCGGCAATTTGATCTCGCTGAGCAATATCATCGAAGATACGGAGAAGCTCTTAACTTCGAAACCAAATGTCTAACTCTGGATGCTGCATTCATATAGTTCTTTGATTACGACTCGGATTCTTGCAACTCGATGACTAACATGCCGTCAGTATTGAAACAAATCAAAATTCTGATTTTTTCGACCTGCAGATGATGAAAACCATGTTCTGTTGAGTTGTATCATTTCTTCTGAGGTAAGAAGTATTAGCTTACGCTGGTCAATTGAGGGTAAGCCACGGTGTTAAGATTAACTTGCATCGTCGGGACAGTCATATATGAGACATGGCACTTACACTTCTTCAAGGCTGGGAACCCCATTCAAAGCTTGAGAAAAGGCTAGTTCCGGCTTGTTGAAAGTCTATCTTCCTGCTTAAGAATTCATTGAAAAATATCAGTGTCACAGCACTTCATGCAGATTTCGGTAAGAGGTAATTCAACAGATCGAATTGGAGATGATTGGTCTCATCTACATTTACATATTACCCAGAAACCCAAATACAAAAGTATAACTTGACTCTGTCAATATGTTACAGTTGCAAACAAATCATAGACGAGAGACGCCGATCACCCGGATACTAGTGCAATCATACATGAAATTCTCCTCTGTCTTTGATTTCAACCCACCGTCTCGTTGCTCATGTTCGAAAAAAATTAAAAGTTGTAGCGGATGATTCGATAATTCTGTATGTCTTGGATACTTAAGAGACGTGCCTCATCGAGCAAGAAGAGGAAGGGGTCAGATTCTGAAGATACTTTTGCTCGTGATTACAAGAAGCGTAAAAATGGTTCCTTAGCTTCCCCAGGTTCCACAACACAACAATCAAACAGGGAGAAGGCTGCGGAGGGTTTAACCTCAGTCCAGGGGCCGTTGGGACCCCAACATCCTTATCTTTTGGGAGATCGCCTGAGAAGAGTCCACAGGATCGACGATGACCAAGCATTTTACGATCGATACCGAGAGGACCAATTCGGTGACCTCGGTTCTGGAGCATTTGGTAAAGTGAGCAAATTCATGGATTTGAAGTATAAGAAGGTATATGCAGTCAAAATAGTGGACAAGAATCGGGCCTGGGCCGATAATCCAGCCCCTTATTTCAAACTCGCCACGTACTGCGAGGCCGCCTGCTTCAAAGAAATCCTCCCCAGACATCGGAGCGTCGTCGACGTCGTAAGAATCATCGAGTCTCCGAGAGTTATATACTACGTCATGGAATGCCTCGCTAAGTTTCATTTGAAGCACAGCTTTAGAGCATTCACGTCTGCACAAGCACGTACTTGTTTTCTCAAAATCCTGCAAGCGGTAGACCATCTACATCAACACGGAATGGTACATAACGACTTGAAATGGAGAACATCTGTCTGAGGCAGGACGACAAGACGGACCCGATTCTCATAGACTTCGGCTGCTGTCAGTATAATCGCTCAATGGTAAGGAAGAGGAATTCTACGTTTGAACAAGACGAGATTTTCACCGACATCGAGCTGCGAACCATGAGCAGTGTGAGCTGGTCGGCTGATTCCACGAACCTTTGTTACATTTTGGAAATGTTCTTAACAGGCCAGCCGATGCTGCAAAACATAATGAGCCCTACACTCGATCGTTTCCCTCCCAAACCGGGAACGGACCCCGATGCCCTGGCCTTGCTAGACTATATGCGAAATCCGCGCAACATGCAGTCCACTACAGTCGAACAAATTATGCAACACCCTTGGTTTATGGAAGAACGAGCTAGAGCAGGACTAGATCACATCATTGACATTCCTCCCGAGGTACGTACTTTCTACAAGACATGGAACCACCCGATACCCGATTTCAGGTCTCAGAAAGCTGGCCCGCGTGTCGCATGCTGTGCTCGCTTCTGAACAATTTCCCCGACGATAGTGATTATAGGCCAGGCTTAATTCCTGTGATCTGCCGTCTGACACGATTACACTCGCACAATCATCGCTGCGCCGGAAGACGAGAAATCTTTGCCCTCGTGTGTGAGTTGTTCTAGCGCGGAAAATACTCCCTTCTCCTTTACATGGTTACTTTTTACGTGGTTATTCTTGGTTCTCTTTCTACTTGGTTACCCTTACATCTGCTCTGGAAGCTAGCTCGAGCGCTGTTAGTAACCATAGTTCGTTGGCGTGAACCCAGTATCCGTGATACAGACGTTTCAACAGGTGTTAAGCTTAGGTTTATGGGAATCCTGAGGATTTGGAATATTGTTGCTATTTAGTCTTCGTTCAAAGGTATGCACCATACACTTGTTCTCTCTCGCCTTTGATGTCAAAGAAACAATATATGGGGGACTTATTTATATTGTACATGATATTTAGACCTACGATAAACTTTTCATTTCGTGCAATAGAGAAATTCGCTTCAAGTAGGTAGAAAATTAAAGTCTCATCGTCTGCAGCCATAGTAGGATACGTTTCCTTGGCTTAAATAGCCAACTTTATATCGGTAACTTACTAGTAAAAGCTAATTGATAACATGTGGTTCAGTTACGATGAAAATATGTGTGTAATGTATATAAAGTATTGTGCATATATCTGTAAATAAGAATGGGTGTTCTCATAGACTTTAACTTTAGTTCTTACCATAGTGATTCAAATGTGTTAAAGTAGAACTATATCATGCAAAAAAATTTATGTTTATGATAATTCCACGTAAATATTATTGTTTTTCATGAGTTAAATATTGGGAATCGGCCAGTTTTCTTCATAAACAATGTCTATGCAAATGATATATACGGACTTTCTCTGTCTAAAAGAGTAAAATATAATGGAATCTTAAATTATTATTAACATATTGGACAACAAAATGAGCATACCATGCATTGAAGCAATGTGTCGAACATATTTACCTTTATTTAAGCCACACTCTCCATCTTTGCTTACTTGATTCACAATTCATTTGAAATATTTAGGCTTAGCCTTTGGTTGAAAAAACGTCAAGATGAATCTTATTTGAAATTTTGATATTAATTATGTCTAAACTAAAATCACTGAATTAATATTTGTCTTGACAATCATTGTGGTAGATAACCTTTACATCCGGTTCTTCATCTGCATTTATCAACATGTTGGTTAGACTATTTCCACTCTATGATTTCTAGATTCATATTAAGATAATTCATAACTGTGCGTAAATTTTCCATACCTTGTGTCAATTCTCTTTTTAGAATTGTGATCTTATGATATTGATTATATCTAAAATACAAATTCTTAATGCAACACTGTGAGAGAAATGATTTTTGAAATTATATTCAAAAGAAACGAATTCTTACTGAAAGAATTGCTCATGCTTCAGTTCTGATTTATATCCTAACAATGATGATTGTTGTTGTACTTGACTAACACGTCACTTGTAATTACTACCGGAAACAAAAAATGTATCATGCAATGATTTTTGAAAGTAATTAATGGCTTTTATAAGTTAAAACATTTCTTCCTCTGGGTTAATAGAGATTAAATTCGAAAAAGATAGATATGATTTTCATGAGCTTGTTACTACTGATCATTCTCAATATTGCAGGAAGAGGATCTGAATTTATTAGATCTGATCCTAAAACAAAAAATCGTCGCAAGATCTGTAGTTTTAGAGGTGAAGATGCAACTCCTTGTCACTATTCTATTACACAGCTTTTATCTTTCAATATTCTTCTGGCCAGCTTATATAATAATTTTCCTGCTTGTCAAGCCCTTTGAATTTTTGTTAACAGGTTTTAATCTACACGTGTTTCTTGTACATCTTATTACAGTTGTCGAGCTCATTTTCATAAACTTAATACAGCGGCCTAGTAGATAACAAAAAATGGTTTAAATGCATATACATAACGTAGTCCTTCACATATAGTCTGTGAAGACCTTCTGGAGACTTTTGATCAGAATGGCCATCAGCGTCGGGTTCTATCGTGCATCATGTGTTAAAACCTTTACAATGTTCCTTCAATCTCAGTTCGAAACTAGCCGTTGCCTAGTCAGGCCTTCATGAGATAGAAGACCGACTTGGCTTCCACAAGATGAGACAAAACCATCTGAGTTCGCAATTTCAGACGAAGTTCCGCCCAACGCTAGGACGAGACTCAAGTGTGGCCGAAAAGTAGCAACTGCACTTTCATGTATAATCCACGTTTGGCCACTTTCTCGCTTCGTGGATTTCTCGCTTCGTGGATTTCTCGCCACCAGAAATCGAAATCGAACGAAATGCCCGTCCATGGTTATAATGGGTAAGCGTCGAGCACTATCAATCAGATTAATTTCCCGACGGAAGCACGCGACCCCGGAGTCAACAATTTGAAGGAGAGTCTGCATCCTTTGCCTTGTACAGGCTCTCGATTTCCCATGATGGAGGCAATCCGTTTCATCAGTTTTGTCTTAGGGCTCGGATTCTGAATCCTCATCCTGGTACCAGTATTTTGTGAGAAATTGTAAAGGTGCGACGTATCAACCGATTCTGTGCAGAGACCTTTCGCCCTTTAATTCGAATTTCAAGGAAGACTGTGCGTGGAGATCCAAAAGAAGTGTGATGAAAAACTCAATTTGAGTTCAATTTGCATCTTCTGCCGCTGAGCAGTGCACATGCCGCAAGATGGATTCGGAAGAAGATGTTCTCCAGTATGCTGCACACGAGAGCTAGCTGTTCAGAATGATCGTGTAGATCTCAGGGTCATAATTGCACCAACATTAAGGAAGTCTTCAGTCTCGAAAGGTAGAACAAATCCCATAGCTTTGAAGGTACGCTCAAACGCACAATGCCAACTGCTTTCAAACTCCATATGTTTCCAACGAAATCGAGATTCGCTGCAGGGCTTATCTTGAACTTTTGTTAAAATTTTTCCCCATCCGGATACAATACTCACTCCAGTTTCCCGAGTCTGATTGTCATATGAGAGTCCATGGATGAGTGGTCGCGAATCAAGCACAAATCACATCAGGTGCCGTGCTTAATTGACAGCTACTTGACATTAACGCATCAACTCGCATCGTTTGAGACCTCTAATTGTTCGATTAGCCACAATGAAAGCATACTTGTCGGTTTTTATGAAGAAAAAGCACTTCCTAGCCAGTAACATCTTTGAGTCTGCCATATAAACCAGGGTTCACATAGAAATGGCCAAAGCTTCCGTATTGGACTGTCAGGTGTACGTACGCCTCAAACGGCTGAAATTACACAATTAGGATTAAAGTGCTGAGCTCAACGCTCCAGTTTCTCTGGGTGTTTAGGATGGTGGCAATGTTACAACGAGATAGCTTTGCACGTATCAGATGAGTAACTCAACTGAGCAAACCACGTATATACATACTAAACCAAGAACAATACCAGTTACGACTACACGATCAATATTCATCGCCTGTCTGAGACCGGACAGACGTACAATGTGTTGCAGGAGCAGCCTCTACCCGTACGTTTTTAGTTGAACGACCACCTTTCAAGATCAGGACGTAGTACACATCTGACTAAAAAATGCCAACTAAGAGAAAAGGTACACCACCGGTCGAATTCAAGTTTTTCTTACTGTAATCACAGAATGATAGTTACGAGAAATGAGAATTGACTTGATTACAATTATAGTATAAATTTATCAATCGGACATTCTCATCGCTCCCCGAGATGTACGTTTGTTATCTGAAGGGAGGCGTAGGAGCAGGAGTCAAAGGAAACGACAGAAAGTGGAGTCAGGGCACTCAGGGTCCGTGAGAGATAAAGACTCGGATTCTGAGGAAGATGGACCAGGGTTCAGATCCGGTCCTAAGGTTCGTGCAGACCAGGCAAAAACAGATATGGAAGGTCCATTGACAGGTGACCCTTATCTGCTAACAGCACGTCTTCCTAAGGTGGTGAAACTTCGATCCGACGAAGAGATGACGAAAATTTATAACTTTGAGGGCATCATCGGGAAGGGGGACTTTTCTGTCGTAAGAAAATGCACCGAAAGAGAGACCGGCGACGTGTTTGCCGTGAAAGAGATCGACAAGCCCTTCGTCTTCGAACGCGATGCGCAGAAGGTGGTCAAGCGCTCCATGTTCCTCGAGGCGGCCTGCTGGACTTACCTCATCCCACCCCATCGCAACGTCGTCAAAGTACACAAAGTTTACGAATCGCCCCGAATGATCTACATCGTGATGGAGTTGCTGGGCAAATGGACATTAGACAACTCCGCCGCCGGGATGAGTTGTGACGAAGCATGCATTGCGTTCAAGAAAATCATCGAAGCCGTGGCTCACATTCACGACGTAGGAGTCGTCCACTGCGATCTGAAAGCTGAAAACATCTGTTTGAGAGATGGTGAACGACTGGAACCGGTTATCATCGATCTCGGGAATGCAAAGCCCATGATCCTTCCCAAAGAAAATGAAGAAGAGCTGCAGATATTCAATCTACTGGCTCCGCACGAAAAGCGGCGTAAGGTGAGCAGGGACGTGGACATGCAAGCGCTCGGGAGGATATTAGAGTGGCTTCTAACGGGGCAAAAAAGCACGCCACATTCTAGAGCTCTTTTAACTGTCAAAGGAAATATCGTGCAATACAAAGAAGGCGTTACTCCTTACGCTAAAGATTTGCTTGATCTCCTGTATACGGAACGAGAACGCGAAATGTCCACAGTCTCGGATCTTTTGGAACATTTCTGGTTCCTAGAAAAGCTCGAGAAGGCGCGAGAAGACGCGAAGATGGAGGCTCGTGGCTCGGTATAAACCCAGGCACTGCTGATAAATCTGACGGTATGACTTCAAGGTTAGGTAAAGGATTTGCTTACAATTGCCAATATCTATGCTTCGAAGCGATGAAATCAACCATTCGATTGAATATCATTGGATAACCGATTGATCGGAATCTGCATTACGATCATAGAAAGTATGGAGTGAAAATATATCGATGGAAAAAATGTATAAATACCTAGCAAGGAGCCACATTTGACTTACAGGGCGTGTAATCTGAATGATGGACTATGATTTTTATTAAAGTGAAATCATGATCACCACTTATATAGCTCACCTCTTCGTCACTTGTTTGTGTGTTGTGTTTCGCTCAATTACTTAGTGATGTAGAGTCTAAATTTGCTCAGATATAGAAAGTTGAATGGAGAAGTGAGTTCCAGTCAAAAATGTTTTTGAAAAAGAAATAGAAATTTTGAATGCCTAGGAAAACTTCAATTATATTCTAGAGCGAATCAAACAGAAAGGGAAATATAGTTCAAAAATTAGGAAAGTTGCATCAACTGGAAGCGGAGCATATGCAGGAAATGAAGCGACACACTAACTGTCAAGTATAGTTTATCTGAGACAAGTACCACTAACAAAAAGTGAATAGACAGCAATTTTTCGTCGAGTTTCAACTCCTCATCGAGTCTTGAGAAAATCAATTTTTTGTCAAGAGGCAGAAAATGAGAGTCAGATACTAGAATTTCGCAGCTGTGATGGCATGATTCTGCCACAGGTTATCACTAGACAGCAAAGTACGAGATCACCATCAACGAGGCCTACATGGCGAGCTAGCCGTTGTTGACTCGTTCCATTCAGTTGATAGATTTTTGCCACAATCCCCTCTTTTCTTTAGACATGCATGCTCGTAGACCACCGCTTATGAAACTTCGTATGAAATATACTTTCAGCGATTACAGCTTAGGTTGAAGCTTAGGGTTATTTTTATTGTTTTTTTTTTTTGAAAACTATAATCTTAACCATGAAGTTTATAGGCTCTAATGGAATAAAATATGGTTCGGACTTGAATTTTATTTGAGTTGATTTTTATTAAGATGGACTATCTTCATATACGCTTTGTAAATTTTTGCTATATAAAAAATGTACAAAAACTTTGTGGCATAGTTACGTTTTAAAAATATCTGAGTTTCTAATTTCGTGATTTTTATTTCAATAACTAAAATTTATAGCATCTTAGCAGAATGTCCAAGTATATTGTGATTGTCACTTTGTATTAGGATAACAAGAAGAAGAAATTTAATTTATACACTTGCTCATGAATCAATCCTAAATTCAAAATGTGAAGGAATAAAGACGTCACAATTTAGATCAGCCCATGTAGAGTAGAATTGTAATAATCAGCATCGATCCTTAATAAGTCAATATTCAAAAAATTTGATTATTTTGACTCTATACGATGCGCAAATTCAGGAGGGCAATGTACTTCCGAGTGCGTAGCATGAAATTCTTACAGCACTTGACCCTTGATAAAATCGGTACTTGGAGGAAAATTTACTACATTTTACATAAATTAAAAAAAAAATCGTTTGAAGAATAATTAACCTTGTTGCTAGTTCTAACAGAAATGGAAGGCGGGTTGAATGTCATACCCTATGACGGAGAAGACTTTGAACTCACCTGCCATGAAAAGCGATGTGTAAGGACCCTAAATCCGATGTTATATTTATTTTATTTCGAATCTAATCATCTGTTGTTGTAGATATATGAATATGAACCAGATACGTACTGAAATGGACATACTCCATGCTACCATCCTTCGAGAACAAATTATGTCACGATAACATAAGGATTGTGATGGCTTGAATAACTCTTCATGACTGGCCAACTTCATAATAGGTTTCACTTTTATTTTGACTTTTGACTGGGCCGTAACAACGAAACCTGGATTTAGAACGATGGACTTTGACTCTGGCTTCAAACTGCAGTTCCTCACGGAGCTCATATACCTTCAAATATACACTCTAATACAGTGCTCAGCAGGCCGGTTTTGGACTTCCTGGCCGATTTGATCAAAGTTAGCCGAGTATTTTAGGTTAATAAGTCAGGGATTTATACACAATCGTGTATAATTCCAATTCGTTATATAAAACTAATTACAATATTAACTCTTCGGCATACAACATTAACTTAAGGAGAGATCAGACTGCACAACAAATCATCATACCAACAAACTTGTCAATATTCTTGTCATTCATGACTGAAATTGGTCACGTGTGGCTATTAACGCTTGATTGACCATATACCTGTACACCTTTAATAGGTCCAAATACGAATAATTATTATCTTAACAACCAGAGACAAAGAAACTAGTTCTCTGTGTGCGTGTGGGCTATCAGAGCCCTTGGAGTATAAACACCGCATCATGGCTGAACAAAGCAAGTGACTAACATATAAGACTTTAAAGAAAGTGAGGGGAGACTTAAGAAATAAGACCCACTCCAATTCTCGCAGTCTTGTTTTATGCAGAATTTGAATCGTACGATCAGAGGATCTTGTCAAAGGAATGAGAATAGCTACTTATCAGAACTTCAGGCTGGGAACTAGCAATCGAAGTAATCTGATATCACTTCACGCCTTGTACATCCACAAGAATGACGCGGTAGAGTGAGCGAAAGTTGGTGGAGTCGTTTCCAAGCAGACATCGAATCGACATCATTTGAGATCAAATTATGCTCTTTTCGGAATGTTAGCACGGATCTGAGAAGATTGGAGAAGATTCTGGTGAAATTTTAGACTCTGGAATATAAAGCAGCTAATGTCAAATATGTCCAGGTCAAATGTCCTAGGAATATTTTCTAATTTTACAAGATACATCTGGCAACAGATTTACAAACGAAAGTTCCCAGCAGTAAGGACAAAGACCTCTGAGAAGGACCGAAGTTAAGCCTGCACTAGTGTCAAAGGTTGGAAGAACTGCATATAGGAGAAAATGATCATGCCTCATGATCAAGTCACTGATTGTAAGGAGTTCCGTGAAGATTCCCTCACTCAAACCGTGTGGGAACAGCGACTCTTGGAATTACTTCGTCGCATGGAAGTTGTGTCTGAGTGATCAATCAATCCGGTACCTTAAAGTTGTCAACCCTGCATTGAGATTACCAGGATCCGACTTTCTTACCATCTCTTTCTTTATCCGCCGTTGCTTCCAGAAGTCGTGCTATCGATCATGGTTGCTGCTTCCACACGTTTGCAGCCGGTAGACATTTAAGCATAATGATCTCGTGAAACAAGAAGGGAAACTGTCTGAGTGAGCAGAAGCAGTGATGTGATGTGAAACGGATGAGGAAGAACTTTTGAAGAGCAGGTCTTATCTCAGAGGGAACATACAGGTAATAATTATGAGTGAACGCGTCAAAAGTCCACGGGGACCGCAGGAGACCTCACAGTGCAAGACACATGTCGGCTTGTAGACAAATACCAGCCATGCACCGTGCACGTCATTTTCAGCCTTTGGTTCACATGAACAGCTAAGATCTACAATGGTAGTGACGCTGCCCAGACACGAATACTGTTGCCTCTTGTCCGGGAGAATCAAGGACGTTTTCTGTTTATGTTGAGATGGAGAAGAGCATCGCCAACCACCTTCTGATCTTCATTCTCAACCTAGCTCTTGTCTTTCCCGATCGTGACATCTGCTTGTCAGTCACGGTGCTGAGAATCGCTGTCTGCAGATCTTGAGATCTGACACGAGTGAAAATGAGGTGCTCCCTTCGCAGGGTTAGCAGAGCTTTTTGCATTTTTTGCAGCTGGAGTGAAAGCTGGAAGGGACATGCGAGAGAGGCATTCTGTTCTTAGTTCAATGTCGTCGAAGTTGCTAGCATTTGCTGCTGTCAAGCATTTTCGTTATCAGTCCACGAGTTCCCTCAACCTCCTCCCGTTCCTCAGGCTTTCTTATGATCTATCCCCTAAATCGTTCACAGATCTTAAGACTGGAACTAGACACATTCGTCTGCACTCTACCCATGAGTGCAATCGCAACGATTCTGCAAGGGTCGAGGAAAGAGGGTTCAACGAGCGCTGAGAAAATACAAATTGATCGAACGACATTGCTGGAAGAGCTCGGAAAAGTAGACCAAGTGCTGCTAGCTCACCTCCGGATAGGCAATGGCCGCATGGCAGTTCTGGGCAGAGCCCTTCAGGAAGCTCCGTTTCCGAACTTGAAAGAACTCCACTTCTCGGGTAACGCCATGGCAGTCGAAAGCTTAGCAAGTCTCGCCGGAGCTCTGGAAATGGGCCACCTGTCAGGCCTGAAGCTCTTAGACCTGTCTAATAACAAGATCGGAGATGAAGGCTGCAAGATGCTATGCAAACATCTGCCTCTGAATTCAGTGCAGACATTACTCCTGAGCGACTCTGGGATCGGAAGCTCTGGGATTGAGGCACTGGGAGAAGCTCTTGGAAAATGCGAGGTCTCCTCCGGTCTCAGAAGTCTAGATTTGTCATATAATCACATGGACTTAGAAGGGGCCGAGGTCATCGCGCGATGTCTTGAATCAGGTCATCTGGCGACGCTGGAGATCCTGAACCTTTCAAACACTGCGCTTGGCGATGGCGGAATCAAGGCTATAGGATCAGGGTTCGCAGGAGGGAAGGTGCCGGCTCTCAGAGAGCTGAATATGTCTTCGAACCTGGAGATTGAAGGGACAGAAGGTGTGATGGCCATAGGTGCAGCTTTCGAAGCGAAGCACTTGAATTCGTTGGCTGCCTTCTACTTCGGCGGTAACGCGATCGGTGAAAAGGGATCGCTTCTTCTCGCAAAGGGCTTCGAGGCACATTCCATGCCCGAATTGGAAACGTTGAGTCTTTGGGCGACGTCCATGGGAGAGGACGGAATGAAAGAATTGGCAAGGCTGTTGCAGCAGGGAACATTTCCCAAGGTCACAGATATCAATCTCGACGGAAACGTCGTCACAAGAAAGAGCGCAGAGGCATTTGTGCATGCCTTCCGGCAGAACCCAAACCTGATGGCTAAATTACACATGGACTGGCCATCTGAGTGTTTCCAGAAGAGAATGGACCTGAGCTCGAGAAATAATATCACCCTGTCATTGCACAAATGAAGGCCCGATGCACACTCAAATTCTTCCTCTGACTCCGCCGCAAAAGCACAGAACTTCATCCCAATCAATTACAAAACCTTGCAGCTCATCAAAATCATTCGCACTGATTTCAAAAATGGTCGGGAGATTGAGAACGTGAATTGACGGAGAATTGAAACTGATGTCACAATGCAGAACGACAGTCAACATGCCACCCCTCCCGCCCCGCCCCACCTCCCCTCTCCTAACCCCTCCTTGTTCCCGTCATCCCCATGTCCCCGTTGTGTCATCAAAGCCTCTGACAGTGAAATTTGATCGAAGTTTTCCCATCCGCACAGCTCTTCGAACGTCCTTCAAATCTCAGAGATTTTTCTCCTAAAATATTCTCTCGTTCCGATCACCCTTCTCTGGATTTCATTCCTGAGGTCGCCATCAGTTCTCATAAGTGCATGAGAGAGGTCACCATAACCTGTTTTCCACCACCAGTACGTACTTCAACCCTAAACGTCATATCCATCTTTCACACTCTTTTCACAGACCACTTCATAGTTCCATTTCTAATGGAAGGCCCAGTCAACCCATGTGACCTAGTTGAAGGAATTCAGTCTTTGTTAACTTATCTAGTACTACGACCATCAAATCAAACCTAGATATCAGAGGGTAGGATGGGATAAACTCTTGAAGTACCACTCTTTCAGCAATCATGGAAACTAATCTATCCACAGGTCCGAACTTCAAACTATCATTTTGATTTACTAAGATGGTGATCTCACAAGGAACGGAAAGAATATTCCGAACCTAATTTAGATCAAGTCGTTATCATTTTGAAATTGAATTGGAAAGTAATAATCATAAATCATATTATAATTTATATGTAATTATATAATTTTGTAAATTTGTGATTTCCTATATAATATATATATATAGTCATTAGTTTGAACTTACTCTCTTCATTTATCTAAGTAGAAATGTAATCCACGAAGTAATATAAGACAGAGTTTGTACATGTCCATCAAGTACTGCTCGGTTAATAATAGACCCAATATCGTCAGCGGTAAAAATTTCATGTTCCAACTAATAAACCAACTGTTTATATACAGCAAGCATCATTCCAAAAGTCAAGGTTACCAAGTCCATGTGCTTTGCAGGGGTGAAACGGTATCTTTGGTACCTTGATCCTAATTTATTGGACGAAAATGTAGATTAGCACGTCCGTACTTAGCGTGCTAATAGACAGTTACACTGGCTCCCCAGTTCTCCTCTGGATGTGGACAAGAGAAGCATCGCGAGGCACGACGGAGTGAAGTTAGGGTCCAGATGCAGGAGACCGAATCTCTTTAAATTCAGCACCCGGGCGAACGGTCGGGACATTCAAGGACTGGTGTCACGTGACGAGGAGGTGCTGGTTTCTGCATGAGCTCGGGACTAAGGTTTCGAGATAACGGGCAATTTGACAGCGAACGGTGCTCATCCATTCCACAGCAGGATTCCAAAGCGGACGTTCGACGTATAATTAACGAGGAAAGAGATTGTGTTTGACGAGAAGCGGGTACCGGGGAGGGTACACTATGTGGTTGAAGATGGCAGTGGAGCTCAGAGAGGCAAACGGTGGTTCTAACAGATGTGAAGACGTTTATACTCTTCAAACGAATTTGAGAGAATTGATGCAACAGCTTCAAGACGAAACTCAGAGCAGTTTTCTTTCCAGAGACAAGTTCGCACAATTGCAGAAGGCAAAGACAGCTTTGTCCACAGTGTCAAGAAGAGGGCATGCCCGCGTTCGAAGGAGACAGCCCAAGGTTGGGACTATGGTAGCGGGAGGTGTGTCGTTGGATTTATTGGTGGAAGCACCAAGTTTCAGAGTAGCTGAGTCTTTGAATCCGGTGTTCACAACACCGCCACGTCCTAAATCAGCGGACAAAGGGGACTCGTTGGGGCATTCTGTTGCCAATGTTTTATACGTGGGGCAATTTGCAAACCAGGATCCATCGTCACATCTTAATCTCCCACAAATTAACAACCTTTCATGCGGAGGATATAACAATGCAATGCAATTGATTCAGCAGTTGGAGATTCCTCATTCTTATAAGAGTGGCTGGAAGGTTCCCATTCCAGCCACACTTAGAAGAAATTCTTTTGGGAAGAAGGCTAGACATAAAATATGTGACGGAGGTAAAAACTTCGCATTCAGAAATGGTAGTAGGAACGTGAAGAAAAGGTATGTAATCTCAAAGCCCACTCCAGTTTTGAAGAGATGTATTTTTGAAGCTAAAGATTTTGCTGCAATGCAATGTAAGTATGCGAGTCACAAGTGAGAAGATAAGTCTAACCAAATACATAAACCCTAACATATGGCAAAGTCATCAGGCTCAAGTATTCGGATGTGTTTGCTCATTCGCATTCAATATTCAATATATGGACTGATGCAGAATTCAAAGGAACACATCGAATACCATAGTGGTACCGGCCATTAGCGACAGACTAGCTGACATACCTGCAGATGACTATGCTTGGCGCAAGTACGGTCAAAAGCCTATCAAGGATTCGAACTATCCAAGGTAAATTTCTTACTCGGATCTTCGATTTTTCACAACCTTTGTTGTATGAAGAGTTGTCTCTAGGTCATACTAATGTTAATTTATTTCAACAGAAGTTATTACAGGTGTAGTATCACAAAAGGATGTCCAGCGAGAAAGCACGTGGAGAGATGCTCGAAAGATCCAACAATGCTTATGATTACTTATTCGGGAGACCACAAAGATTGTTATGGCCCCCGCTCTTGCAGTCTCTAAATCCACTCCGTGTCATGCGAATCAACCTGAATCCGATTCTTCGTACAAGAGTATGAGAAAGGCATCAGTTTCTGTTCAGTGGGAATCTGGAATGAACTCCTGTAGCTAGTAGTCGGGAGTTTACAACTAAATTTTTAGTCCAAAGTCTCCAATTGGCAGACTTACGCAATACTCAGATTTCAGTCCATGATGAATACCGCCAACAATTTATTCTCTAAAGTACTTATATTTCTCTTGAACTAGGCTACGCCTCTTCACGATGTCTCGAAAACTATCGAAATACATGCTATCAATGTATATATCTTAAGAGGAGATGATTCCGAGTTATTTTCAATTTGTATAAAACTCCGGTGTGTTCTCGTGTTATTCTACAGATCCTACATATAGCATTATTCTTTATATGTTATGTCTGTAATCCAGGGTGAAAGCCTTAGAAGGAAACCACATCAGGCACGCACGTTCATAAGTCTCAAGATTTACGTGTACTTTCGTGGTTGTACTTGTAGAACTTCTGCATTTTGAGAGAATGTTATCTACTGGTGAAAAGCTGCGAGACTGACTTTAAGGGAAATTTTCTCTCCATCAGACAGAAGGTAGATCAGTTTGAAGGGTCCTGCGAAATGATACGTCGCGACTCTACAGATATACAAGTAGCCTTTCACTTGCACGGGAAATTTATTACGATGTAGGAGCATGATAGTCACAGCTATGATTGAAGGTATCGACCATCAGCATTTCTATTTTACCGAATCTGCTGAAAGTAATCGTCCTCAAATCTAACAAAATTATTGAAAATTAGAAAACTGGGCTGACAATCTCGGAGCAAAATCACAGGAAAACTGGATGTTAAGTTAAGGAACCATTCACGTACTTCCTTCTCAATCCATGAATCTCAATTGAACGTTCCAGTTCAGCGCAGAAATACGTGAAGTGTGATCGGACATTTATCACTTTTTATGTATGTTTGATCGCAGATTTGAGCCAATATGCGCACCAAGCAACGATCTAATTCTGCGTGTAGATTGCAACTGTGCTTGATTCTGATAATTGGTGGTGGCAAATTGAATTAAATGACTAATTTTTTGTTCTCTGGATTTCGACTAGCCTGTAAGCTATACGTGGCTTAAAAGAGTAACTCATGGACCTTCACGCTGCTGAATTCAGAATTTGCTTCTGATAAAAATCAGTTCCAAAGTATAATCTTTTCATAAAATAAAAATAGTGATTTAACCAGATCGAGCGAGGGTTTTCAAGGCAGGTAAGCTAAGCAGATCTTCAACATATTTACTAAAGCTTTTCATTGATCAAGAAAAACTAGAAATATTTTAGTCCTCTGGCAGGTGGATAAGGTTAGTATATCTTCAACATCCTATTATTCAGGAAAGAATGAATTTTTTCTGTAATTCTATGTTGCTTGTCTTTTGAACAATTTCCATGCACAGGTAAGAAATTTTTTACAATCGCTTCGTAGTTTAAGCGACCTTCATATGCTGGTCTTGTCTTGATCTGTCTAGAAGAAGCTATATAACAAATTTCATATGAAAACTGACTCGTATCTTCAATTTCCCCCGACATCTCAAAGCATTGTAATCAATCCTACCCTCAAACTCGTTGCACGCATAGAAGTTAAATCATGTCATAATCGAATATATAATTTCGCTGTAATGTAAAAAACAATAGGTCAAGAGAATTCAGAAACTCCGCACTGAATCTCTTGAAAGTCAAAAGTTATTGGTTTTTGTCTCGTAATATTCTAACGTCTCCATGTTTTGAAACTTTTTGAAACATTCCAGTTCGTTAGCACAACTTTGGCATGATATGATACACTTGCAAATCAAATAATTAGAAGAATATGAAATTTCTAAGACAAGGATTCATTCAGGTGTTTCGTTGACTTGAATTAATCAGCATACAGAGATTAAAGGAAGGTCAGTATGAATGGACATGGTCAACAGTAAAACAACAAATTTTTTCGAATCCATTGTAGATGGAACTAAGGAACTTGATGGTTTTTCTTTAGGACAAAACAAAATTTTAAGTGAAGTCTAAGAAAACGACAAAATAGCTTCAGGGTCCGGGAGCAACTATCTAACAGATATCGATGGCCCCCTCGAGAGGGATGCCTATCTACTTTGTGACCGCCTACAAAATGTAGTAAAGCTATACAGAGACAAAGACATCGCAAAGTATGTTAAAATCGAAAAAAAAGGTAAGCTTGGAGAGGGAGCTTTCGGAACTGTACACAGATCTAAGGATCTAGAAACCTCGCAGGAATTAGCAGTGAAAACGATTAACAAGGTCGAAGTTTTTGAGCAGAATGCAGATAAGGCCTACAAACGTTCCATGTTCATTGAAGCTGCCTGCGTTACAACCATTCTTCCACCGCACGAGAACGTTATTAAAGTTCATCGGTATTACGAGACACCCACGTACATTTATATCGCAATGGAACTCCTTGGAAAATACACCTTGAGTCGTTCTGTGAGAGGTTTTGACTCCAATCAAGCTCGAAAGGTATTTTATAAGGTCCTATTAGGCGTTAAGCACCTACACGACAATGGAATGGTTCACTGTGACCTCAAATTAGACAACATCTGCATGAGGAAGAGCTTTTTCTTGGAGCCGGTTCTCATCGACCTCGGTAACATGACCCTAGCAGAAGGCGATGCTAATAGACATCGATTTGAGTCCTATGGACTCTTTAGCAGAGGAGAGCTCTCCGATGTGAGGCCTATAGAGGATGACATGCAAAGGCTGGCGGATATCTTGGAAAGTTTACTGACTGGGCAAGAAGAGATGACCGACTATGCAGGTGAACGTTTTCCACCGAAGGATGGGACACATCCCGACGCTTTGGATCTGCTTAGAATTTTCAGAAATGACGAGCTGAGGCAATCATCAACGGTTGATGATATCCTCGCTCACACCTGGTTGCAGAATGTGTCTCCTTAGATTAATGATTTGTAAATAGGTGAGAAGCATTTTGGTGTTTTTGAATCGGGAACAGGTCTGCCCATGGATCCATGTTCATTGGCAATTCTATTCCTATCATTCCAGAGCAGATTTATAAACAATAATCTCAAATGATCAAAGCATTAGATTTAAATTGCCAGGATGCAAAATTTTGTCAAAGATGATATGGATTCCATGGCCCTCCATATCTGATAATTCTGGATGGAGGTTTGATATGTGAGAACAAGAAATGTCAGAGTTAATATAATCCTCAGTACGATTGATTTTTAAATGAACTCCACAATAAAATGATTTTAATATGTTTGGTACCAGTCCATACTAACTTCAAGTCTTAATGAATAAACTATACTACATGAGAACATTCTTCCAAGGCACCTTCGTAAATTTAGTTTCAATAATGTCGAATCTTTGATTCAATTAGGGAAAATCTTGCAATTGAAGTATGCCTATTGCTCAACAATAGGCATACTTCAAATATCGTAAAGACAGAAGTAAAGTTCTACATTAATATATTGGAATAGGATATTTGAATACCTCGTTTGATTATCTCGACTAAGTATGAAGAGAATGAAAAAGTAAATTACTCATAAGAATATTAAGAAATCTGCAAATTATAATTTTATATATATAATAAATATAGCAGCTTTCTCAATACTTGCAACCTGATTTTGCTGATTAAGCAAAATATTTAATCCTGCCTAGATGGAACATAATGTAAGATGCATGTGGGTGAAATATATTTTGAACCAACCTTGAAAAATCACAATTATCATGCAGTTGAACATGTAAAAATGCTGGAAAAACAGTATGAGCAGAAACTCGCTTCTAGAGGGAACAAAACCCTCCTCGAACATCGAGCCAAAATTCCGAACCAAGCGTGTAAGGAAAGAATGTGCACAGATAGATCCTAAAGATGCTGAATAATAATTCCAGACGGAAAGTAACACCTGGCAAAATGCAAGCGCATAACGGGGTCCGGCACCCCCAGGCACTACCTAAGACTTTCGTGATTCAAATTCGAAAATTTGAATCACTTGCCAAATAGTGAAGTGACTTATTATTTAGGAGGTTTCTGTCCAAACTATAGAAACCTAGAAGTTATTTATTGAATTCTTCGTCAACTCTTAAAGCAAGGGCAGTAGAATTGATACTTGGGATCGAAATATGACTTGCTATAATTTGTGCTATTTCATACGATGTATTCTGAACCCAGAGGACCCTTCAGTGACTGAGAAGTTCTGGAGTTCAATTATTCACGAGGTCTAGCTCTGTGAATAGGATTGACATTCTTTTACTAATTAAAAATTTGGTCGTTATGTTGGTTGTCATCCATGACTATAGGAAGTACACAAGCAATAAGTGTTGAAAATGTTCTCATCTACTTAATAATGAAACGTCTAATTTATTAACACTTAAGACAAAAAGATAATGTTCATAGTCCTCACAAAGTATGTGGTCGCGCTCTTGTAAGGAAAGTGTGAGCAGCTACAACAGTTTTAAAAGTTAGAGTCGAAATGCAGTTTATGTCATCAAATGTTACAATGCCATTATCTCTCATGAGAGACTTCGGATTCAAAAGATATTGCCCGAGCTCAAATTAGAAAGAATTTCCAAATAGAGTAAAATTAAAAAAATTTGAAGAAAGTTTTTAGCAGAATTTTCAAAGTCAACGATGAATCTTGAAGTTCAGCTTGAAAATCATATATTTTTATGTTGGTAATGGACCTAATGTAAAGTATCATCGAGAATTGAATGCAATTCTTTAATTATGCTGACTACAAGGCATTGAAAAAATCATTGATAAAAATTTCAGTACAAAACTTTTAAGATTTTCTAAGCAAATTTTCAATTTAGTCTTCGTTATCTACATCATTTTATTATTATCAAAAATTTGAACTTAGATTAATTGAAAAAAAAATTGATAAAATTACAAGGTCAATCTGTATCTCTATCAAATGTGATAAAGTTTTGAAGTAAATTAGCATAGAAGTTTCATTTTATTATCATTTTTAAACTTAAATCTCTTCTTTCAAGATTAATAACTTTTTGTAAAATGTATATGTTTTTTCTCATTATATTGTTATCCTATTAAACACAAGTAAATGAATATTTTAATTTATTTTAAAAAAAATAATGTTTCAATTTCTTCTTTTATGATTTCAGATTGGCAAGTTGTTTTTTCTTTGTTTTTTTCTTGAAATTCAATTTCTCAATTTGAAACATACAAAAAGAAAAAGAAGAATTCATTCTATGCATAGAAAATTCAGAATTTTACATTGATTAGTTTTTCATCATTTTCATCCTCTTAACGTTATGTCGGGATAACACTAACACATTACTTTTTAAAAGTATATCTGTATATCATAATCTATTGTATATATCTATTTCATATTTTAATTATGAGTGCTAGATATCCGATTCATTTCATATATTACAATGTTAATTAAAAAAAATCCTTTTCGGTGCATATAGGTATTATCTATTCATGCATTTACACAATAATTTTAAAACAGATATTAATATAACTCATGTTATGAAATGTGCGACAAAATATTATATCATGACACATAATTTTTAATATCATAATAATATGTTTCATTATACATTTTGTGCATATATATTTGTAACTTTAAGGATTAAAAAAAAAATTCACTCTAAGATGAAATACATTTCTGAAGATAATAAATACCTACAATGTTTCAAATTTATTTTATATAAATATTATAATCAAGTATAACGCAATAAGATTTCATTTCCATCATTCATTTCACTCGTAGTGAATGTATAATATAGTGAATAATATTAACTAACAGACATATTTGTAGCGTGTTGATCTTAACTAACGCACTTAGTTTTAAGTAACAAACACACAGATTCATGACATGTTGCTGTCAACCAATACACTTATTCATTATCTATGAAACAAACGTGTTGTTGAAATGGTTACTATAAATTGTACTTTATAATACAACTCTATCTCCAACTTGAAAAGTTTCGATTTTTGTTCTAACTAGTTAAAGAATATTATAATAATTCACATTGCATAACACAAATTACACAACTCTCATATCAGAGCCAATTTATGTAATAACTTTTTAAGTTTTTCATCTTGACACCACAGTATTACACACACACTTATATATATATATATATATAAATCATGTAGTTAAAGATTATTTTTATTTATAAAACATATTGCATGATAAAATTATCTTTTCACTAAGAAACTTTAAAATATTTCAAATGGAACTAGGTTTATTTTTATAAATTAAAACATTTCGAAAAACAAGTTAATGCAAGCATGATTTATTCATTCATGATTTTAATATGATTTATACAGGTTAAAAAAACTAACTTATAAAAATAGTAAAAGTTTTTTTATTTCATTAATAAGATGATTAATTTTCAATCATACTAAAAAAATATGTTTGAGTATCTAGTAAAAAACCAATTTAACTATTTCTTCCGACCATTTATCTAGAAGATTTTGAAAATGATGATTAATAAACTTTTCTACTTTTTTACTTTATAAATTCGACAAGACATGAATAAACAAGAATATTTACTGTCAAGACAATGTCACCAACTCATATTATTTAAAAAATGCTTGAACATGATGACATTTGCCTCCAATTAAATCAAGCCAAAGAGATGTTGTAAGATATAAATTTCAGTATATATATATATATAAACTAAAAATTTTTAAAATTTCAAGTTTATTTGAACACAATCTTTGAAAAAATCTAATCATATATTGTTTTAATTTAAAAGTTTTATTGGTAATCCATATTAATTTTAAATAAATCAGTCTTATTTTTAGTCAATTTAGTTTCATACCTAGATAATACTTTGTTTTTTTTGGATTCCAAAGCACAAATTTTTCATCATGTTTTACTAAAAAGAATTGTCTTTTTTTCAGTTTGATTATCTTTGGTTCAAAAAATTAATCTAATGTATTGTTATTACTGTGAAAGAGTGTCATGGATTTAAACTTTAAACACATTCATAAGCAATTCATTATCAATAAATATAAATTTATATTTGACATAAAAATCTTTTATGAAAAATTTATAAGTATGCATTTATAAATTCTTGTGAAGTGAATGTCTACAAGTCTATAAAGTTAATAAAATTTTTAACATTAATATATATATATTTTATAAAATATTTTTTTTAAAAAATATATTTATATTTATATTTATTAATTTATTCTTTATAATATATGTCAAATTTTTGAATTTATTTTTTTAAGTATATTAATTTTTGATACAGTTAAAATAGATTTGATAGAAACATATTGAAGAATGAATCATCTTTAAATATTGAAGAACTATTTAATTTGAGGTTTGAACTCTTTTATCCTAAGAGAAAAGTCCTAATGATTTTAAAATATTGATTTTTTAAAATTCAATCATTGGTGAATACTCTGGATTCTCACATAACTTACTGTCTAAAGATAAAGTTAAGATATCTTTAATATGCATATTTTTAAGAAACTTATATATAACATTGTAATCGATTTTTTGGGATGATATACAAACATTATGTATCAAACTTAGTTTCTAAAATATTTTAGATACGGCTTCAAATGGATTGAATATAAAATTGGAATGAGAGTTGAGTGGAGATAAAAGTTGAGATAATATTTGTCAACCTAAAAATAAATGTAGATTTTATGATCCAAAACAATTGAGAATATAGTATTTCAAATTGATTTTCATGTACTGAATAAATGATGAATAGAATTTCACCCCTATTTTTTTGATCAAACTCCAATATAGAATGTATTTTATACAAAAGAATTTAAATCACATAACAATCATACTCAAATTATTAAGAAAAAAACCATAAATGTTTTTCAAAAAAATCTAATTTGAATATTTAATGATGCATTTATATTATGTTTTAAATTTATGTAGTGGATGATTTCCTCTTCATAAATAAAATTTTTTTAAATTAAATATTATGTTGAAATATTGCAGATTTTATATTGATAAATTTGTTCAAATCTTTGAATAGTAGTTCATTTTTTAGTTTCAAATGTGAATATGAAAAGATATAAAAGAAAATTTTAAACTTTGATTTCGAAAAAAGAAGATGAAAATACTTATACAAAAACCATTATAAAACGTGTAGATAAATTTTTTATATTTTCAGATTTTATGATAATCATAATTAGATCTTCTTTGAATGCATTGATTACCATCTAGGAACAATTTGGGATAAAAAAGTTAATAAGAGTAATTTCAATAATGGAAGATAACCTGATATATATTTTATAGATTTTAAAAGCTTATTATCTGTATTGGCCAATGTATTTGGGTGCTGATGCATTTAATAAAGTAGAGCATGAAGTTATCTTGACTTTTAGTTGATTGAGAGTTGATGGTACTTGAACAAAATATTACAACTTTGCGGAAATATATTCTAACACTATAATAAATTCTACAATATGTCTGCGGTTACATCTAAGTCATACCACAGGCTGTTTGCAGACGCAGTTGCTGTCGCCGTAATTCAGGCTAAGAACTTGACCAAAGAGTACACATCAAATCACCCGGCAGGCCGAATTGGCAAGAACCTTACATTCAATGTTGACCTTTTGTTGTCGTGACTCTCTGAAACTTTTGAGCATCACAAAGAAAAGCTTAGGATTCGCCAAACATTTTCTTAACCTTAACGGACAAGATAGATTGTGATTGACCTTGAACAAAGTAGACAAGCTGTACAAAAAGAGAGTTCTAGGTGACTTTGAGATGTGGATCGATCTGTAATGGACTCTTATATCTATTTACAGCTAATGAGGATGAGACCAAGGTTTCATTCATAATAGGCAACAAATAAGACTCGTTTGTTGCCACTGAACTTTAGAGACTTGCTGTGGGTTGGAAACTATTTTAGATTGGGGAGCGCTCGATTTAAGTAAGAAGTGAAACCCATAACTATATAGTATTCAAAAAATCAATTTGGAAGCGTTGGCTTGTTTGCGACAAATAGGCTAATAAGTAAATACGTCACCAAGTTATCGCACCTCTTGATTGAAGTGGGAGAATGTGGCTGTGGAGTAAAATTTTTTTATATCAAGGAAGTAATTTAAAAATGAAAATGATGCAAAATCAGAATGATTTGGACTTCATGTATGTGTTTGCCTAGTCCTAGGAGGCTCCACCGGGGAGAATCTTTGGTGAGGGAAGTGGAAAGAGAAGATTGTTCACAGAGAGGATTGGAGTAGCAACAAACATGCAATTAAGGAATGGGAGGGGCCACCACATGGATAAAAAAAACGACGGAATTCCCCCACAAACCTAACAAGAATAAAATCAAGAGGGACGAGGAGTAGGGCACAATGAAGGTTTATTAAGGGAAATGAGGTAGTGACGATGCAAGGAAGATAGAGTAACCCGTCATTGACATGAAGTGAGCAGGTTTCGGGTGACCCGTCATGCAACTAGTAACCATTATAGTACACGTGGCGTCGAGGGATCCTGCTCGTCGTTGTGCGATGTATTTCCATTCACCTTCGGCCGTGCATGGCCGCGACGTCCAGTCATCCGCGGAAAGACGCTCCGCAACGCCTGCTAAGCACCCCTTGCGGACACACTCGAGCGAGTCCACCTGCTCCGACCAACCGAGCCTGAAAACTGGGAGCTCGACCCGCGTACGGACGGGGGGTTTTTGCACCGCTCTCGAAGATCGATCGGGAAATTCGGAGCTGCTCCGCTCGCGATTGGCAGCCCCGCCCCTGAAGTAGTCGCGGAGCGTACGGCAGGAGCTGGATCGTACTCTGGGGCTCTGGGAGGCTCTGGGGGCTCGAGTCCGACTCAGATTAGTTGGCAGTGACGAGTCTCGAATGCAACCAGTGGAGCTGGAATATGCCGAACATACGACCTACCTTGCCACTCCATCTTGCGCCCGGGGCCGTTCACGATTGTGCCTTAAGGAGCAATCAAATATTGTTGCTGTCCAGCGACGGGCTGTCGTTTCCCGAGCTAAAAATATTGTGGAAACAAGCTAAAAGCGTTTATTTTGCTTTCGAGGGCTGCTGCCACTTGGCTCGGATTGGACGAGTCGAACTGCAGTTATTTGCGGTCTGATGGAGGTGGAGGAGTGGCAATAGCTGGTAACCATCTGGAGACCACAGGGCCTCCCGTCTGAACATTTGTCGGTCCACATGGTCGGTCACCCGGTTACGGTTCTGGACTCGGGCACGGGCAGTGGCTGCCGCTCAGAATTTCTTCCAATATTTTGGTGACTGGTTCCAGTAAACTCTCACCGATTTCGGCTATGCTTTAAGTTCGGCTTCTGATCTCGATGAGCCTAACATTGCTGAGTTTGCAGAATCTCTATCTTGCTGTTGAATTCTTCAGGCAGCTCTCGTTTGTTTAAGGCCGAAGCGCGAAGAACATCCACATTGGTGATAGAAGCACGCTGCTGAATCGGAGTCAGTGTCTGATTGTTGTACATTTGGAGCATTCATTCTTCGTACGTGTTCGCCATGGGGCCTCTGGAGATGGTCGTTGCAGGAGTTTTCGCATTCCTCGAAATGAGCGTGAAAGCTTTGGATGACGATTTCCAGGTCGCTGATGGCGACAAAAGCTGGGCCGTCCCGAACTCCGTGAATGGGCTGGACTACCAAACGTGGGCCGAGACTCACCAATACCACGTGGCTGATCAATTGAGTAAGTCGACAATTTCACGATCTTGTCAGTTGCTCTTTTTTTCCGCAGTGACTGCACGCGCTGTTAAACTTGCAAATTCGTCGTTCTCATTCTTCTCTTGGTTGTCATTGTACAGCTGAACTACTTGTGGAATGAGCTGGAGCTTCACTGCTCGAGTGCCACCACTGTTATCTCCACGACGTCACGGTCACAGTTTTCTAGGCTGGAACTAGGACATCCCTACAGTCAGTCTAACAGGCCGAAGGTCATCTTCAGGGGAACCCAACAACCCTTCGTGGATTCGAATCTCCGACAGGCCCAAGATGAAAGCAACTGAGCAGAAGGACGAGATTATGTACTGCAGTGTTGTGTCCAGCTCGACTTGCTCCATGAGACTGCCTGCCGGCTACCATGATGCTGGATCGTCGCAGAGACGACCATTTACATCAGCTAGCAATCTTCCAATTTTGTTAGGCCTAATTACTGGAGTTCAGCTTTGATGTATTCCTTTTCTTACAGGGTGACTTCGGAAAGCTCTCCATCTCATCCAATTTAGTGTCACAAGATGACCCATTTTTTTGTTAGTTTACGTTCTTTTCAGTGCTGAACCACCTCAATGTCCGTGCATTGTAGATAGTTTTATAACTTCATTATGGGCGAGGAATTTCGCCTGCATCATTCTTTTTCTACGCTGTGTGAAAGCCAGCGTATCGATTGTTAAGCGGTGTTCTCATTGTAACGAGTTATTGTTGTCATTCGGGATCATGACTTTGCGCCTCCTTAGATTGCTTTGGACGTCTGGACGTGAGGGAAATTAAAAGTCGATTGGCATGTCCATGCACTGGCAGGACTGAAAGTTGCAACGATTAATATGTTTATTGATTATTTCATTGTCATCGAGGATGTAGTCATAACTATGACGATGACGTCTATCAGTGCTCATCATCAGCATTTGTACAATCTGCAACTTCACATCGTTAATTACTCACACTAACCTTCTAGAAACAGTCGCGGAGAAGGACTGGGCCGTACGCTAACGAATACTTCGCAAAGATATTTCATTTTGCATTGCAGGAGACTATCGCAAGTGAGTGCACATGCATACTCTGGAATGCATGCAACGAATCTCTGATAGTAGCATCTTTGAGATAAAATGGATAAATTGTTGTGCAGTGCTTCCTGAGATGTTGTATGTTACAACTCATGTGCCTCCTATCTGCCAGGATGCTTGATTCTGTTCTGAGCTCTGCACTTCTGTCCTAGAAAATTTGATAAAGAAGTTCTATTCTTGTTTGCCAGTTGGTCTGCTTGCTCTGAAATCGCACCACGAACTTTTCGTAATACCGGGGCTTCTTTTTATTTCATATCAACCCACAGCTACTTGTTCAATAATAGGACCGTTCTTCAGTAGACATTTTCTCAGACTTGCTGTTTGTTGGAGGCTTATAGGCCAGGCAAAATCTGTAGCTTTTATCCGTACTGTGCTCTTTGTGTTCTCGTTAGAATTTTGTCTCCCTATAATTATTCGTGGTTATTGTGAATCTTAATTTTTAAGTTGGGTCAGGCCTTGGAAACTCATGAATCACTTAGTAGTAGTGAGGCAAGGAAGTCGAGACAGATAGGAGGAAGAAGCTAGAATCTTTAACCTTTGTCTTCCACCGATTCATTTTTAAAAATCTACAATGCTGTTCAACTGACGATACAGAGAAATTTGAATTTCTAAGTTGCCGATCTGCACGTATTCAGAGCATATGATAGATTTTGCAAGAAGATCTGCAGCGTAGATGGTCATCGCACACGTAGCACAAAACATTCACAAAGACATCGTAATATTTTACGACCTTCGTCTTCTGTCTGTTACTTTTGTACATAAATTAAATTGGGAAGGCAGAGGAAGCTGTGATATCCAAATGTAAATTTTATAACACTCTTAACTTTTCCATTTGCAAACGCTCCTCGCTCCAAAGCATTCCCAGTTAGCGTGAAAAGAAACTGAAACCTAAATAATATCCCGAAGAGTATTTCACCACGAAAGGTTTCAAGCCCTGAGTGTTGGAAAATCTAGACTTTTGACTGGAGTCCTCTTCTGTCAGATAAATCTGTATGAAAGACAATTCAAGCGAACCAAATGCAGAATGGAGAAAATCAAGATTACACCGTGCAGCGGAATACGAGGAGGCAAATGACTTTCTGGGGAGAGTATGAGCAGAGACAGAGAGCAATTCTTTTACTGCAACATAACAAGATAGTAAGTTTTCACATGAGTATCGGCGGGCTACTCTAATCTTGTATGACGATAAGCTAAACTTGAATGCGCATAAGTTGCTGAGAAAAGCTGTGTGCTTCAGAGAAGCTGAAGCTCCGCTGACCAACGAGAAATCGGTTCATTCGAGTGAACGAAGCTCCGACTGTTCTCGCTGAGAGCATGTGCACTATACTCCACTGCATTCCCATGACGATAAAACTTCTTCCTTCTAATTCTCAGTCATGGCTCCAAAGCAGCTCAAATGCTGATCGTTTGAAGTTCGTGATCGGGCAGAAGAGTACGCACGTTCTCAGAACAGGGTCTAGTAATCACAACTACCTTTTCTCTTTAGTCTAGGATTCCAGAGGTGCATTTGAAAAACTTGTATGAAGTTTAGAAAAATTTCCACAATTACCTATCCTCGAAGATTCATCAGTATTCTGCTCCTCTCGTCCCTTCTAACATTCTCGAGTCCGACTCAACTTGAGCATCTGCTCACAAATATGCTCGTCTCATATCCAGCACCGTGGCAGATGTTGAAGGTGGCAGCGAGGGGAAATTGGCGGCCCTCGAGCGTGTGGTTGTATGATCTTCATGAGAGTCAAAACTGGCATCCTAGCCGTGTCTAAAAATGTGGCGCAACAACGCAGCTCCTTGAGAGCACATGGTGATTACAATCATCTGTCGGTACAGAAGCACCAGAAAGAAAACTTCCAGCATTTTCGTAGACATTTCTGCGAGGCTCGACACCTGCCCTGCGTCCGAGTCCGAGTCCTTCGGAGTCACATCATTGTCAGTACTGCTGAAAGGAGAAACAATTTAGGGATGTGGAATAGAAGACCATTCTTGGCATGCGACCACAAACTTCGACAACCTCTCGGGCAACGATCACAATCATGTTGTATTACTTTCTTGAGAGCCCTCGCAGCTGCTGGAGGAAGGTCGTAAATTTTCATATGGCGTGACTGAGTATCGCAGCCGCTGCAAACTTGGCCTCGTGTTCCTTCAGCACCCCGCTCACAACATTTGCTTCACAGATCTTCAGGTAGCACCGACGATTCATCCTTGGCGGTCTTCGCTCCTGTCGACTGTCAAAAGTTTCATCTAATCCATAACAGTTGTGTAGTTTCGGCTGCCATTCCATTCGAGCCTACGATACACCTGCCCTCATCCTCGAAGAGATGAGCTGACAAGTCAGACCATCCCGCACACCACTCATTTTCACGCCCGCAGAGACTAAATACGAATCGGTCTCGGGAAACAGTCTCCTCAGATGTTGGTGATGACATCTGTGCAGTTCCAATGTCTTCATCAAGCCCGACTACAGTGCAGACACGTCGTGACTGATCGCCGATTCTATAGGCTTGTGGAGAGGGGGCCTGGATATGGTTGAGCTAAATTACTAAGTCAGCGTGCTCTTGGCAGCTGACTGGGTACGAGCAGGCAGGTATGGGGAAAAGGTCCCACCAGAATGGCTCGATATGCATTAATGTTTACCGTCGGAATTGCAGTAGCGGTGCCGTCCTCTGAGGATGATCTGGACATGTCAACACCGACTTCCTATGCGCTCAGGCGGTGCGTCCTCTTTCGCCCTCGTCTCGATTGGTGAGAAAAGCCGAAGCAAGCCTGGTCATGTTCTAGAAGAACTGGGCAGATGCACAACAAAGTACATTGCCAAGAAAGCTCAGTCAGTCACTGTACGAGCATACGCATATGATGCTCGTGAGTTCTGAACTAGACTCTCTAGATCTCCGATCTGTCGATTAGAAAATTATTGGAAAAGATTCGTGTCCTGAATTCCTGATCCTCCGAGTCTACGTTCTCGATGTCAGAGTGCTTCCCTCGACTGTGCAATTTCTTTTGTAACTTATTAGGAGATTTCTCTGTGTACTTTGCCTTGTCTGCTGCCGGCGAAAATGGATGTGCGTATCCTTAAAAGAAATTCGCGAATCCCATTGTGTTCATCGAGGAATTTTACAGGACTATAGTGGAGCAAAGACTATGAGGCTGGAAACCGCGGAACCCGGCTCACAATGTGCCCCACGCTTTGCGTACGATCTAGGTAATGATGATAATCTTATGTCGTATCCAGGTACTTTCAATTTAAGCTGTGCCTTGGACGATTCTGGAGTTCTTGGAAAGGGACAAAGGCACTATCCTCGGGAAAATTATGATCACATTCATAATATATGATATGATTTTTTTCTTGTGGCGAGGTATAGTGTACCTCATGTGCATATCACAATCTTCCAATTTCATTCATTCAGAATTGCTTGCTAGCCTCGACGTGCTTCCAACGTTTAAATGCATGTGCACGAATCATCGAAAGAATGAATAGTTTTTGATTGAGATACTCTGCTGATCGTGGCGTGACGTGAGACAAGGTCACTGAATGAACACACGTGAAGTGAGAACCATGACGCGAGAAAGATTTCACATTGACGAGGACGGTTCACAGGTCTTATACCAATGTGAGGACCAAACAACTGCCAAGCATATCTCTTACGAAAGTTCCTGGGATAGTACAACCCTTCCTCCATACAGGTGAAGGCTTATTTCCAGATTTAAGCAACAAGCGAGGACCCATACCACAGATCTATGAAGCGCTAGCTTATTTTGGACCGAGGACCCAACTCCTTATTCGCGGATATGATAATCTGCCACCACCAACCGACTGACCGCATGTTGACGCAGCGTTGGCCTGCCTCGAAAACTTCGCTCACGTATCTTGCTCTGTCAAAGTACATCACGTGTTCATTCTCCGGACCCAACTTTGATGAAGAATTTTTGGCCGTGAGTGCAATAGTCATGCTTTGAACAGCCGTAATAGAAGATGCCGGGGCTATGGAGGTCCACAATCACCGATGTCGGCGTATCAGCCTCGAGGCCCTCCGTGAGGTCCATACCTCCATTTGGATCGCATCTGAGAAAAGCTTTGTTATCATTGAACTGAATCACGCTGTGCTCGTAAAGGTATGGTGTCGTCATGTTGTATTCCATGAGGAACACTGCGACCATATACACACATCCATGTCACTTGGCGGTATTCACACAGCCAGCCCGTCGAACGAAACTGAAGACTCATGCGCTATGCTCACTTATGTATATCTAATTAGACACCAGGTACCATTGCATTTCATTCTGAGCTTGATCATATCAGTTTGGTAATTTCTGGAGTACTGAGGTTACTAAAAGCTACGTCAAGTTGATGGTTAACAAATTTGATGATGTCAGTTATACATACCGAGTTTGTCCCCAACTATAAATCGTTCGTTGAAAGCCCAATTTTGATAGAAGTCGGGATCGGCTCGAACGGACCAAGTGTTCGGCTTGCCCCCAACAATATGGGCAATTTTGCCTGCCTGTGAACGTGCAGAAGTCAACGGGAGAAATATAGCCACACAGACGACCAATTGCAATTCAGTCCACTTGAGATTTTGAAACCACTTCGGTGCCATCTTTCGAATCAAAGTTTAGAGTCAAAGGGCCAAATATATCAATGCACAATTGCAAGTCCACCAACAAGTTGAAACAATATTCTTCTCGTGCTGGAAGAGCGCAGGGTCGAGTGCTTTAAATCTCTACCTTGCTTGAGATGTATTGACTGCCTCGTTCTCTTTTTATATAGAGTTCGGATGAAGCTGTTGGACTGCATGCAGTTAGCCGGCTTTATAAATTCGGTTGGGAGCATGACATTCTCATCGCCAGCGCCTAGAAAACACTTGAGTGTGTAAGAAACCACCTACCTACCATCGTGAAGATATGATCCGGTGCAACTCCCGCAGATGTTGAGGTATTATGCACGGCGGTCATTCAGCCTCGATGGAAATCACCTGTCTTTGAGGAACTTATGCAGCAATCTGACCATCAGGGAATGCAGTTGTGAAGCTAGAGGCTGAAAAGAAGGAATCTTGATAACAACAACTTACGAGTATGCGAGTTACAATTTTATGTTCTTTTTTCAAGTCAATTACGACGAAGTTGCGAAACGGTCCTTTAGACAGCTTCAAACGTACAGGATGTCGTCGTCTTTGTGGAAGTTAGATTTGTAATGCAGACCTCCCTCTTATGGAGTGCAATGAATTAGCATTAACACCAAGTTCAACGAAAGAAGTTTTTTGATTCCTTCTAACCCGCATCTAATCTTTTAGTAATGTTTTTAATCGCACACTATCCCTTGAGAGCACTTACAAAACGTGGTAGTTCAAAATCGGCTATAGGTCGAGACAGCAGCGTTTGATATGGCATTGAGTCAAGTGCATTGTGACTCTATGCTTGTTTCTTTTGGTCCATATTAACGGTCCAATGCGAGATTGAACAGCGTTTCGATTTGCAGTATCATGCTATCGTCACAATCCAATTACGGAATGCCACGATGAGAATAGTGATTTATGCTCCCCGGCATCGAATCGTTTATTGCATTAAGGGTGGCAAGGGAAGATATTTCCATGGGACTCCATCAACCATACGTCACCATTTCCACAACCATGTGATTCATAAACTTCTATTTAAGATTCGAAACTGTTGATCACTCCGTGAGAACGAATCAAGACCAAACTTTTGGCGTATCTACGTGTATGATGTATGCGATTCGATCCGGAAATGTGAAGGACATCAGTGTGTATACTAATGTGAAGAAAAGTGACAAGACTTTTGTGTTTTCAATGTGAACATTAACTCGTACACTTGTCTTGTGCTGGTTGATGCATTTCAGCCTACAAGAAGAGTTCAAGTAAGCATGTAAGCTTCTGTGTTTGACCTTCGGCATGGATCAACATATCGTGCCCAGCAATCTAATTTGACTGGTCGTTTGATTATAATACAAGTTCAAAACTAAAGTGAATAAATTCTATGCCTATCAGAATGACCCTAGCAGGGCCAAAGATCTCCCCATCTCAACTTCTTTGCTTTCAAGTGCCGAGCCAAAACTCCCTTGCGAGTCCAGACAAGTCGACTGAGATCACCCCTCGAACCATCCCTCTCCGTCGATCGACACACATCTAATATAACGTGTCGTCCTCTCCTCAGAGGAGGTCGCACAATTCGAGCCCAGCCGCTTCCTAGATCCGCCTCAAGTTTAGGTCCGGTCTCTATATGTTCACTTTCTACATTCTCTTCAGATACCTCTTCGTCTTCGTCACTAGATTCGTCTACATCAGTGCCTGGAAAGAGTAAAATGCATTTAATTAAACCATAATTTCCTCCGAATTACTTGCAAGGGTTAAGAAACTTGAAAGTTTGCGTCTGGATATTAGGTTCAGTGAAAACAAAATACTGCCATACTGGGGGAGTCAGCTAACCACCTCAGCAGATAGACACAAAAAGCTATATCTAGCTATGGTGAGAAGATCTGACTTCGTCGGTTTACCTTCAAAACTGAAGTCAGATGCACTGTATTCCAGTATTTCCATAGGTTCCTTGCTTTCCAGAGGAAGGTCCGTGTCCTTCAGTCCATCCAAGGGCCACGGCTCGCTGTACAAACGAGTTAAAATTGATGGTGAGACTCGTCAAAAAAATGAGCAAACTTGGGCGTGTTTTGACAGGCTGACAGATTATATGCCGCAGGTTTCATAATTTCCACACACAAAGCTTGCATAGTCATGTAAATGCAAAAGTGATGTTGAAATCATCCAGATGAACTTGAATCAATGAACGTATCAGACTACTCGGTTGCAAGATTTTAACCTTGGACGAAGACCGCGTCGCAAAATGATGAAAGAAAACTTCTCGTCTTCATAAGCTCTCAAAGGCAGCGCACTACTTCTCTGCAGTTGAAAACAGAGACTTAAATTGCTTTAATTATCCGTCTTGATTAGATGACACTACCTTCTTCACTTTCGCAAAAAAATCTCAAGTCAAGGAAACTTACTTTTGTAATACGCTGTAGAGAAGTACGTTGCAATCGTTGGACAAAATGGCACCAAGTACTCAAACCCTCCATTGGACAACGACCTTCGTGAGAACACTGTCGTCACAGATAACGCAGATTTTAGTACGACTGGCTCTTGATATCCAGCATTCCGTTTTAGAATCTCAACTGCAATGAAAGGGAGGTACATAAGGGAAAGGACACAAGCACCTACAGGTGCAATCACAAAGGCACCAGCTTTCTTGACTGGTGCTGCCGTTGTAGCCAACGCTTGGACTTTCGAAGGGCTTTCCTTTCCGCTGGGAGATTTTGATTCCAATTCCTTTTGGCGCCTCACTTTCTAAACATCAGTCCGTTAACATTTGAAGCAATCAGTTCTCGCTCTCGAACCTCTCAAATAAAATGGGCAACAAGTACAAAGCCAAGTGTCTGCACACCGGTCGTGGAGATAATACAACTAGCTGAAGTGGATGGCTCGACATACCTTCCTCTCCATTTGTAATATGTGAGACCGAATTTCTCGAATTATAGCTGAGCCGTGAGGCGTCCCCGGTTCAATTAGAACCTGAAAGTGGCAATTACAATGAAACCACCCGTATGTTAGAACTCTTATCTCTCAATTCAGGTATTAGTTCTCAATCAAGACAAAAACAAGCAAATATGCAAACCGATGGAGTCATGATTTGTAAAGAAGAGGAACGCTCACGGGTTCCATTCAGAGAAACTCATACTAAACGACGTAGACTAACCAGAATGTCGCCCGTGTAAGACCAAAGCTGCCGGGCAACGCTGATGCGATCGTCCATAGTTGGAAGCTCTCCCAGAGTATATGACTGTAATAAGAGCGAAGTACTTCTACACTTAGATTACGTCAATATGCTTAAGATGCAACAGTGATTCATATTCAGTGACTTCCCAACTTGCAAGCATATAAAAAATTAGTGCGATAATTATTTTGAAGCTCACCGCGATCACAAGATCATGCTCTCGAGGAGATCGGCGATTGCCCCGTGTAAGGTCCAGCAGACTCGGATGACTCTTGATTACAGGCCAGTTCTGCACATCTTGCACAGCGACTACAACGTCATTGCCAACCTTCAAGCTTCTGCGAACTTGTCTCGGTAGGTGGTGTCTCCCGAAAAATGTAATCACCGATATCTCGTCACACTTCCGCCAATGATTTGTGTCTTGTCATCACTCAATACATAGCTGAATGCATGCTGGTAAAATATCTTCATTCGATCATAACAAGCATCTCCACCCTCGATAAGAAACACTCCAGAAAGGATAGCAACAGCGTACAGACATACCTTTCATCAGGCTTCTACATGCATGAGCCATAGGCTCAGAGGGTTCAACGACATTCACTTTCTTCACCAATCCGGGCCACACCTCATTCGTTGCCCTGAAATCAGTCACATGAGACAAAGTAAGAACAAGGGCATACAAGCACCATTACTGATATGTGCACCATAATTGATAAACCGTGTCAAACTGTAGCCTGGGCAATCAATTACTCACCAGAGAGCAGTTCCCGGTCCAGATCCGAAATCCAGAAGTTTAGAAGGTTTGAAATCAGGTACTCTTCGAGATACCTACGACCACGCGATGATAATATCAGCTAGTAAATTTCTGGTATGCCATGCCAGCAGTTCTCGGATGAATTAGCCAATAATTGGTACAGAATTAACCGCGGCTCGTAAAGAACGAAAAGGCTTTACCAGGTACACGAGCAATAGAAAAAATGCTAACCTCAGAGAGCACTCGATGGACTGCACCATAAATGGCAGGCATTCGGGCCGCAACATACGCAGCTGTATTGAGGTCTGTGTACTTCATTTTCTCCTGAGCATCAGCCAGATCACCCTTGACTCTCTTTCTCCTCGTGGGTCTACTACTAAGGAAATCATCGAGGGCCACTCGAGCTTCTTCTGATCCTCCCGCATCCACACCACCAAATTTAAACTCGGAAGCAGGTTCATCCTTCGCAATAACAGGATCCTTCAAGCCTCGCAGATCGAATGACAGCCGTGATACATTCTTCTTTAGCTCATTTGAAGAATATTCTGAAAATACAACATGATGTATATTCCTATGTCAGTGACGTCGAATACGGTTTCAATTCAGGTGCATTCAAACTCGTTTCCTCCTCCTGATTCGGCGAATGGTAATCATAATCGGCTACAATCTGAGAGCACGAAGGCTTGCAAATCTCATAAATATGATCCTATGGACTGCCCCTTACTGCACGGACTATTATATGACCTACATGGGCCATTTACCCTGCCCCACCTTTGTTCAAATCGGATAACATTATAGACTTCTCAATTGACGATGAAGAACTCGTGGACCTCTATCGTAAGGGGATTTTATCAAGTAAGGCGCCTATACACGAACTGCCTCACCTTCCAAAAACTTCGAGATGGCTGTGTCCAAAGCGGGAGGAAGGAGAAGTAATCCTCGTGCTTGACGAACTGCCCCTGTCAGCCCCTTTCTTCCCGACAAAAACTGTCGCACTTCCGCTGCCATTCTACCAGCTCCTGCAATCAGTCCACGCGGACGTTTTCAGAGCGCTCTATCGATCATTCGGGCGCAGAGGACGATGAACTTCCCGATTCCGCCTGCCTCGTGATGATAATCGCCAAAATCCGATCGGAGACGGAGGATGTTTCCTGCCAGTCATCCACTCCTACACTTCAATAATCTTCACTCCGTTAGCACTCACGTAGCAATCTGATCGCAGGTACCATGCCCCTCCAACCCACTCTGTCCCATGCGGAAGAACCGAACGGGGTCCTGGATTTGGGAGAACAGAGCCTCATCCTTTGGACTTGAACCCTAACCCTAAACCCTGCATTACAGGGAAACAGCACTCTCCACCTCAAATTCTGATGATGAAGAACGTTCTACTGAAGGAATGATCGAAATCCCAAATTACCTTCCGAACAACGACACATCCGACACTGGCAGTCTATGAACATTCTCTTCTTGCGATATGAATAGGTGTCATGGTGTCATCGCATCTGTCGCTTGACCTTCCATTCTCATTTCTGAGATTCTGGTCCGGGCATCTTTTCCTATTCTGACGCATTCGCTTCCTTGTCCGCATCCGGAATCTCAGTTGTCGCATGTCCGCGCTATGAAATCTGACAAATCATAAGGAACTCTCGTGGTGTTGTAAGAGGTTGAGTCGCCCGCTCTCTCCGGTGTACGATCAGCTTGCTCAAGCCATCGTCGATAATCGCTCGGCGACCGATGGGGAGTGAACTAGACGAGCGCGAGGCCCACTCACCAACATCCTTTGTTGAAAAGACGATCCATGCGTGAAGAATGCTCAGATCCTGGTCACTCCAGAGGTTGTCCATTCATGTACCAACGCGAGTAGTTGAGATGGAGAGCTGTATTAGTGAATCTCAGTAGGATGGGATCCGGCGAGGATCAAATTGAGAAGTATGCATTCAATTCAGTCCATTGAGTTGCTCTCCGGAAATATGACGATTGAGCAGCAAGCAGTCAAAGTTTTGTCTCGTGTGCCATCTTTGTGTCGCTCTTACTTTCAATCATCTCTCCTGTTACTGCAGGAGTGCACCAGGCTTTGGAAGAGTAAGGTGACCCAGCATGTCCAGCCGCACTCAGACGGGCTACGAAGTTGAAGAATGACAGTACCGCAATCGAGTGCGCGTTGAAATGCCTAATGCGTCCCATATTTGCAGTAACACTCTGCACCGTCGTGAGCTTCAGAAGACCTTTCTCGTGAACTTCCGGATTCCGCTCGATCACATCATAAAATCTGTCCCGAATAAGAACTGTCATCGAGAGAAGTGTGGTTTGCACAGAAAGAAGCACGAGCACGTTCTATCCTCGACTCAATTCAAGGACTGAGGAGGTTCTCTCGCGTCATTTGACCGATGAAGCCTTTCGCGGGGCTGCAGAAATTTCTAAGCGAACAACCGAATGACGGAAATCTTTTGAGTAGAACGCGAAACGAATCCTTTCTTATATCTTCACAATCCGAGTAGACACTGACACTGTCAGTGAGATGGAAGATACGGATCCTCTGAGAGGCGTAATGAGCGAGATCGAACATCTGGAGGGCGTCTGCAACGAATTTCTGCGTAAATTCGGCACCGGGCGATCCGAAAGGCGTCCCGAGAGCGTGGAAGTTGGTATCCAAGAACCCGACACGGGCATTGAGTCTACCAATATCGAGGAATCGGAAGAATTTGAACCTCTCCAAAGCTGCAGTCCCGGAGACTCCAGTGGACTCGGGCCCTCGAAAGCTGAACCTGCGCCGGAGCACACAGACTCCGTCGGTGCCGCGTTCAATTGCTCACGAATTGGACCCGGCCTTTCTGCCTCGTCTGGCATCGAGTCGATTCCGAGTCGCGTCAGTGCGCAGACCCGGACTTCGGCCCAAGATCAGACGACCAGAATTCAAGAAAGTCGGGCGCTGAATCTCGGACAGGCAGCAGGTCCTGCTCTATCACCACCACTCTCGGACAGGAGAGATGGGGATTCTCCTAACTCGACCATATCTTCAATCTCCCGGACTGAGAAGCAGAAGACCGTGGATCGAAATCTCGACGAAAGTGTGGGACGGAACTCCGCAGACATGGTCGGGAGGGATACTCAGTCAGTTAGTGATATCTCGAAGCGACTCCGTGTATCTAAAGCCGCCTGCTCAATTGCAAGTCAAACTATCCGAACATCATCGAGATGAACTTCCATCGACACTGGGTGTCGGCAGCTTCCGAGCCCATGACGGAGACTGCTTCTATGAGGAGATCGGAAGAAGAGGACACCCTTACAACCGAATTGGAGGAACCGGAGACGATATCGAAGATGTCAGCTCGGAACATGAACGATCGATCCATGGAGAAAATCTAATTCTTGAAAGCTCATGCTATGGCGAAGAAGGCGATGAACCTTCCGAGCCATGCACGCGGGAGATCGATGGAGAAAGCTAGCCGCCTCGAGGTCAGTGGGAGTCAAGGGCACAAGCAATGGCTGCTGCTGTGTCCGGAAGCCCACTTGCACGTCATTGTGAGCACGAATCTTCCAATGTTGACAACTGTCTGGGTTTGGATCGTGAGGATTGTGAACACACGGGGCTGCAGTATAAGCCGAAGATCATCTGCTGAAATTCAGAACTGGAAGGACGAGAGCATAACCAGAAATTAAACTCTCATCGAGTTCTCGCGCCTTTCATGTACTGGACATGTATTCAGGGTCTACTGCTTTGCAGAACCGAAAATTGTGGAAGGAATGTGGAGAAAGGCTCGAAGAAGAAGAAGAGGATCGAGAACTAAATTCACCGACCTTCTTAGAGGGATGGATGGCTTGGAATCCTGAGCAGAACAAAATATTATTCGAGCGCCTCAGAGATGGAGCAATGTCCTTTCTCTCTGTGTATGTCACGTGATCATGCGCAACGCACGCTGCGAAAATTCATCGACAGCTTCCAGAGCTTAACAATGGCGTCTTCGTCTTGAGGGATTCTCCAGAACCGACATCTTTAGGAACCAGATGCGTGAGTGAAGTCCAGACTTGAGGGAATAGGGGTCATTGCGTGTTGGATTCTCTCAACATGATCATGTCCGGATCCAGAAACCTGTGCAACGATGGAGATTCAGAGCTGTCACTTAGTTCTTCATCATGAAGCCAAACTTTTACTCTACGTTTTTCTCCTTTGACAAAAATGATTCTGAATCGTTTCTCCACAGTGAATCCGAGCTGTCCAGTCAGATTCCGTCCGTCGAGAATCCAGGATACATTAGCATGCTCGCTGGCTGGCTGGCTGGCAGCGAGTACGCACACCATGCCGTACTTTTCGCCATACTTTCGACTCAATTCTTTAAGCTTTGACTGTTGAAAGTCATTTTATTGCAGGTCACACAGTAACACAGCGACGTGAAACCGTTTTCGTGGAGTACCATCAGTGGTACCTTCTTCGAGTGAGGGGAGATCACCGAGTCTTGGCGAGTGTTGGGCATGCTGGCTTTGATGACCTCCTTATGTGCTAGACCCGTCAGCGAGATAAGCCTACCGGCCTTTTCGTTGACAGCAAATCCACGGAGTCACAAAGCAGATCGGTCAATAAGAATTATTTAGATTGTTCAATTTTTCAATTGAAAACTCTCCGCAGCTTCCCACGTGAGAAAGGAAACACATTCAATGTGACAAGTATATGGTATGATATGAGAACTGATCTCGACTAGTTCTTTCGATATACGAGTCGCCTTTATTCCTGTACTCATGACCGAAATCAGTTGTGGACTTAAGAAGCCAACGTTGGCCTTGGGCTTCGTATATAATAGAACGTGTCGTAAAGGTCTAGACTGTGACGGAAAGTATGGATGAAGAGAGCCGCCGCCAGGTGAAGGTGATGCATACCAACACTGCACATGAGAACAAGGGAAGACGAATACGGATATGACTTTACTACGAGGAGACAGACGCGGTTAGTGGCTCGGCTCCATCATTGAGAGCAAACTTGTTGAGAATATTGGAGTTCGAGAGACGAAGGGAATGTATGTATCTGTACACTAACCATTGCTTTACTAGTCTTTCTACATATATAAGCCATGGATCGTCCTGCCTTTGAGTGGATTGACTATCTAAGAGACTACTGATAGACTAGTCTTGAGTAGAAGCCCCTCATGATTGGACATTGCAAAATGTCCGATCATGAGGGGCTCTCATATCAAGCTCTCTCTCTCTCTCGCGCACAGCTGTACTTAATACTGCTCATGGCATTCCAGAGTGGCCTCAGGAGGATAATTACAAGTTTACGCTTTCAAAGCTGAGAATTGCTGAGGGACAAAACTCTTCGACTTTACGTATCTGGGATTGGTGGTGCAACTCAGAAAAGCTGTTGATTTCCATATAATTCGACCGACCGACTGACCTGAAGAGCTGAATGTCTCGCTTTTGGAGTCAACAGCTCAAGTGAGTGAGTATTATACAGGAGTGAGCAAGTCTAGGACTAGAATCCGTTTCGAATCGTGCACCTCTTACGAACCTCGCCCTCTGCGCCAGTCATAACACCGAGCTCGCCCATCTTTTCCATCGCCTTGCCAAATGCTTCAAAAAATACTGTATTTTGCGGGGAAGCCATCTCTAGCACATGTGCTCGGCCCTCGGGAGTGCTCGTGAGCGTCGAGTCAGACGTAAATGCACCTCTGTTGCGCAGCAAATTCCTGAAGTACGATGAATCGAAAGTTCTTCCCGGATGTTTTCCTGAAGGATCCATTGCAAAAAAGACGTCGCTCCGATCTGGTGGGCATCTCTTCCTCATTCGGTGAGCGTATTCTGGATCCAATGTCGGATCGAAGGCCCCGACCTGTCTCGAGAAATTATAGAGACGCCCAGCAATGAAACGGCAGTGTGAAAACCCGATGGAGTGAGCACCTGCCAAACGGGGACGACGTTAATAGCTGCTTCTGGCAACTTTCTGTGGTCCGAAAATTTTCAGCTCTCTACTCTCGTGAACTATTCTGCAGGACTAGAGTAAATTCCAATGAATTTGTTTTCTGCTGTCATAAACATCTCTCACCGGAAAGCACCGCCATCTCCTTTGAGTCGAACCCGAGAGATGAGAAGGAATGTAAGAGTGCTGAATAATTTTGAAAAGGCGACGGAAGAGAATTGGCTTCATCTTTCAACGATATCATCCCATCTCTCCGACCCAGAAGAACTCTATAAGAGGGACCCCCAATCTGCACGGACGTGAAGCATTTGAGTCAGATACTGCGGACTTGATCTTGTGATACGATTCTGAAGATAACACTAATCCTCTCATAACTCGTGCATACAAGCTCGACGTATAGACTGAACATCGAATGTCGGTGAAAAAGAATAATCGTCGCTCTTTGTATACAATTTTCTTAAACCACTGCTCAGTTTCAGATCAGACTCGGGAACAAAGGCGTACACTTGCTCGGAGATTGAGTGGAATTAAGGTCAAACTTTGTGGAACAGAATTTTCGAAACTTACTGCTTGAAGTGAGTCACGTGCCATGAGCGCGATAAGATCAGCACAAGAAACAACCCCCGGACAGATGTCTTCGAGTTCAGCTTTCAACTGGTCCACAAGATGAAGCCCTCTCAAGGAGTTCTTGTTGGGAATTCCTTCTAGCTCTGACTCGTTGCCAGGAATTGAATGGAGCAAAACCGATGCATCACAGCCCTACAGGACGAAGGTATCCTCCATCAGACTGAGTTGACTACGAGCTCTCATTTTGAAACATCAACTTGAAAGATTAAAGGATTCGGCAGATTATTGTGAAAGACTCTCAGAACATGCCGCCCTTTTCAAGGGTGGCAACTATCTATAATGTCAATGTTGTGGAGTGGTGTATCGGAACTTACTCGGACGAAGCAGTCATGGAATTGTAGCCGGATGAATGCAGCAGGAAGAGAAGAATCGTTTTTCACTAATTTTTTTATGTAGTTGGAAATCTGCGTCGTTGCTTCCGGGCAACTATGGTTGTAAAAATCGGCTGTTAACATTGGCTTTGGAAAAGTAAAACGTCCCCCGTCTGAGCATTCTGCTTGAGTGATAACTGGAGAATTCTCGATCTGATACGACGAAGCTACCACTAGGTGTACCGCCATCGTTGCCAAAGCAAGCAACTGCACAGGACGCATGCACATCCGCCGACCTTCCTCGGCCATCTTAGCTACATAAACAGCAACGAACAAGGAGGTGGTATCAAACGTCAGCCAGGTGAGGTTGCACACTCTTTCTGTCGACGAATTAGAAGGAATTGATCCTCTCAAAAAGGTAGGCGTCTAGCGTTCTTGAGAGCCTTTGTGAATCTATAAGAACTTTTGAAAGCCAAATTTCGTCTGTGTATGTGCTTCTGAGTAAGACACACTTACATTCAAGCAGCTGAAGAAACTGCTGTATCGAAGCCTCTTTCCTGCTTCCCATCACATTGCTTGGTTCAAATCCTTGTTCCAGAGCTCATAGACTTTCGTAAAACAAATTCCATCGGTATTCTAGAAAACCCATAATCGAAGTAATCCTCCATACGAGAAGTTTCTGCACTACTTACACTCTCCACACTAAACATGGTGCAGTTTTCTATGCCTGTCTATAACAGCAATCTATATCTCTCCACACGTCAGAAAAAGAATGTCATCGGCACCATACTCATCAGAATCAATCGATGAACTGACAACGGACTGAGGGCAAGCAGTGGGGTTGACACTGATTACGATAAATTCACGTTGTCTTTGCACAGGCAATCTTGCAGCATTTGATAAATCACACAACTATTTAATTTTTCCACCTTGGACAAATCCTCGACTCATTGACGAGCCTCGGAATGAAACCATGTCGCAGGAGCAAACGTGTACGTTTGCCACGAGAGTAATTTATTATACTTGAACCTGTCGAAGCTCAACTGTACTATACTTTGTACCCCCTGAGAAGGTGAAGCACGACACAAGTGCTGTTCATTGTCTCTCCAGGGACTATGATGCCATTTGGTAATGGAATCTTGAGTCGCCGACATAGATATGAATTCCCCGTATATCAAGCAACCAGCATATCGACATTACGTCTTGGGTTGTATTCGATTTCCCAGTTTTGTATACTAAACATGATTGTTTTAGTGAAAATGGGTGGACTTAGTTATAGAACTTTCTTGCAGTGAATGTTAATCAATAGCACTGTGCCCACCCCATCTTCCCCACAAAAGCCACCGTTAACGCAGTGCCAGGTGTTTATGCAACAGGTTCAGCTTCGTGGTTATTGTGAGGAATTTTCTTGCGTACTGGCTAAACTTTGAACAGACTGCATTGTGTGAGCTGCAACAGCTGGCTGTTGCAGATCTGGATATTCTCCTAATCTCGAAACGTTTTTTGATCAAGCGACAGCTCTAAAGATTGAGTATCGTTCAGCTTAGTCAGCTGAACCAGGTTTCTGATTCTGTAAGTTTGTGAACTTCACTCTGCATGCATATCAGTCAGAGGCTTTCGAGAGTGATTTGGTCAGTGTTCCTGGCTTTTTGTTTCATTATTTGGTGCTTTGTCTGAGCCATCATTTTTAATCCTTAAAATGATGCTGAACTTTTCCTGTAGCTTCGAATGAATCGAAGCTCAGTAGAACCACAAATCGGTCATCTATATTTGCCATACATCAGCAAGTGGAATTCATTACCTCACGGATTGAAGATATCGTGTGCTGCACGGACTTCACTACCTCATGCTAAAACGGAAGCGCCTCTCGATCAGGGGATCAGCATGTTAGAACAGAGAACTTTTGGTCTTGTACTTGCATATTCTTCGAGTGTTACGGAGCGTGCAAAGTCGGCAGGACGTGTATATCAAAAGTTACACTCGATCACTTTTCAGACAGGCTGTTAAAGAGTCTTCGGACGGGCTTCTTGAAGGGCATAGTGTATGTGCTTTTCCCATTGACGGTCAGTCAATGGGAAAAGCACATAAGATTTACGAACTCCGTAGCAGAGAGCGAGTCCTTCCAGTGTTATGTTGAGCCTATTGGACAGCGCCAAGACCCATGTGGAAGAAGAGTTCCAGAAGTTTTGCTGAAAATCATGCGGCTAGAACTGAAGACCAGAGTTACCAGCACAAACAGTATCAGTAATTTTGCTTGAAGATCGGGCAGTGCTTCTTATCTTCTCAGAGAAGACCCCGTTGTCCTTCGTATCTTTAGCGATTCCCACCCTCAGCGTAATCCTTATTCCCGAGCCTGCACGGTGAAATCCGATTTCCACTGTTTTGCCGACGTTTAATACCGTTGCATTCGCACGCGCAGGTGCTCGTGCTTACTTTCAGCAGATTTGAGGTACAAACTTCCACAATTTGTGCAATTTTACAAGGGACTATGTTCCAGCCAAAATGAAAACTTCCATTTGGATGCTTTACACTGACGAGGATCCCACCTGGAGATCTGAAAGAATACCCATGACTCTCATGCTTAAATTCTCAAAAATGTGAGAATAAAACTTCACTTTTACTCCAAGTTTCATGGCTTGACTTTCTCGTCTGAAGCAAGGACGAGACTCGGTCAAGACCAGTATGAACCTTGCGGCCTATGGATTCTCCATTGTCGATGCTCAGAGCTTGAAAGAGGCACATATATCCTTTAGTGAAGACGACCGGAGTGCTCGAACATATACAGCCTCAGGTACAGACACAGAGCCCAAGCATGGTACAAAACGTGGACAACTCCGTTATGGAAGTATACAATCTAGATAACTTCCAGCTTTGAATCTTACCTCAACACCATAGTTACCGTAGTTAAAAGATGCAAATGAACCCCACAACATTCCACATTCTGAGAAAAACATCCAGATTTGTTAAGACTTGATCGCTTACTCGATGCTCAACAACACCTGATGTACTCAATATGTTTTCGCACTTGGATGGTCACTCTTCTGAAATGCAGCTTGTAGACAAGACAATAAATGTGAATGAGTATGAAGGATGAGAAACAGTCAGATGTTTTTGCCACCGAGAGCCTGCTTTCTCTGGGAAGCCAGAGTGCATGTACATGTGGGCGTTATGGATGCAAGAGGGCATGAGAGGCACACAGCAGCAGGCTCAGGTGTTCATCCAGATGGTTCCAAGACAATTTAGGACAAACTAATCGGATGCTAAATATAATATAAAAATGTGGCTTATGCAAATCTTATGCATGGCTTTGAGGTATGTCCGAAGTATCTAACTCAGTCATTGAGGAAGCCACTGGATCACTGGCAACGAACCTTCTTTTTGAAACAATCAGTACAGTTACTGTACTGGATGGAACTGACAGGTGAAGTTCTGAAATAGCCACCACCTAAAAGAGCAGGGTTCAACGAGAATACCGGTTTCCCAGGAGTCAATTTCCTTCACCTCTTTGCGTGGACCAAAGGAGGGATTGATGTAGGGTAGGGTTAACAACAAGACATTGATATGCGCGTACAGTGATTGTCCCTCTCTGTCAAAAAGTTATCCACTTTCCATACAAGGAACGTACGGAAGAAAAAAAACTCCCTCCTTGCAACGCCCTCGTGCTATGAGTGGAACATGTGCCTAAACAATTCTAGACTTCCTCTGCTTCCATAGCCACAGTGAGTTAACACGTCATCAGTTTATTTATAGACTTGAAAGGATGAGGCCAGAAAGAAGGTACGAGCCTGGAGGCTCTGTGTCTTCAACACCAAATAAAACATTTTGTGGTTTCAGAAACTGTCCGGGGCTCGAACGCAGCTCCAATCTCAAACAACTACAAGGTAGTCAAAATTGGAGAAGGATTAAACGGACTCAAACTTCATTCATGTGTACAGAAAGACCGGTTTTTAAATCTGAATCTGAGCATTCTCTTGACCGAGGGCTTAGATTCTCGCAAGAGAATCTGAGCAAAAGAATCTTCCTGTCTGCCCTCGTACCACACGTAAAGGCTCTTCGACTTACAACTGGAGTTATGAACGTGATCGCTCACAAGATTTCGTGGTTGAGAAGACGGTACAAATCGACATTGACCCAAGTCAATCTGGTCGATTTGGTGAGGACGAACGTGACTGCGTCAAATGCTTTGGAAGAACCCCACAACAGTGGACGAACATGTCCAGGATACAAAAGACCCGCTTTCATTTCATGACACAGCATACGTTATAGAGATAGCGATGTGAAACGAGAATGTCTAAATTTACTTAAAGATAAATGCACATAATGCATTATTATAAACATCCACAATCCAATATTGAAGTAAATTTCAGTGTGGTAATGTCAATCCTCAAATGTTATAAAAGACATAAGAATGTGCAGCGTGATGTCTGAATTATCAAAAGTTGAATGCATATGATGCATTTGATCAAAACACTCTCAATCCAGTTTTGACGTAAATATTAGTGTGCTAATAACTAAGGATGAAACCTTCAAAAAACCTCTTGGTGTGGGTACAGCATACTAGTGTGTACTAATCTCTACTATTGGAAATGGAACTTGTATTAAATGTAAGAAGAGCATTTACTTTTATTCGATTTTGATACTTGACAGGGACTCATTAGAGTAATCTTATAATGTCATAAGTCGTCATAGAAATATATTTTTCTTGCTTTAATAATGTGTTTCTCACACAACTTATGTAACATCTTACAAATTAGGTTGATGTGAATGGAGAAGATTCATCAATTACAATCTATTATAAGTTTAGTGTTGTTTACACTTGAAATTTGATGACAAGGTTTTTGTGGCTACTAGCTAGCATACAATTTAACTTATTTACATGAAATTATTGAAGCTCAAAATAGGATTCGCTAAACTTTGACTTTTCTGTATGTCATGGTTATAAACGATAAAAGAACTTTGCAGAAAAGAAAATTCAGACAATGAAAATTTCAGACTAAAATCTATTGAAAACGTAGAGAGTAACTTCGATAGGAGATAGCTTTCACTTTTTGAGCTAAGCAAATAATATAGGTATTTTTTAACATAGATTATATTAAAAATTCGAATAATGTTAAAAAAAAGCTCAGAACCGATGTGATCAAATTATCATTAGTTCAATAAATTTTCAATGAGAGAGAAAAAAAAGCTAAATTTTCTTCTCAATATAGGAAAAAATTCAAGATTAAATGCAAGAAATTCTTTTAATTTAAAATTATAGGAAAAAAAGGTGAGTTAGAATTTAAAGAGCGTGTTGTCGTTTTTTTAAAAAACTCTTTGCGCATTACTTTAAAATATATTGCTAAGAGTTGAATGTTTTTCTATCAACAATCAGAGGTAAACAATTTCAACAATACTTTTAAACTTGCTTTAGTTGCTACAAGTAGGAGGTATGTAGAATAACTTTCAACCGGTAATATTCTATAATAAATTTGTATAACTTCAAAAAACTTATATTTTTCAAACTTACGTCTACAAATTTTCAATTTTAAGCATCAGAATGCTTTTGATTTTTTAAAATTTTGAAAATGGACTTTTAAACATTTTTTACTAATTAGACCTAAAATATGAAATATAATATAATTTTATAACATCAAGACAATGAATATGCTTGTAGGTAACTTCAAATTTTTCGTTATATTAAATTTTGAATTAAGGGCAGTTTTGTGGACCGGTGTGACATGTATGTATCTTGAAAAATCCATTTAAACAAACAACATTGTACTTTTCAGAATATGGCATATGTGATCTTTTATGATTCAAGTTTTGAAAAAAAAATTTCAAATCAATTATAATTTTTTGTATGAACATTTATTCATTATAATATATTCGTCTTCTATATTGTGATGTGATATATAAGTTATGAATCTAGTAGATAATCAAAATAAGTTTTCTGTTATAAACTAAAGAATATAAGAGTTATAAGAGTTTCACTACTTGACAACAAAAGTTCTTAAAATAAAATTTCAAAATCCAATTTTTCAAAGTATATGACATGATTATGTGTAAAAAATACTCCTTAAATCCAAAACCTTTAGAGTTTTATGACATGACAGAGAAATATTATAATTTGTGAAAGTTGTTATAACCTCACATGCTTTTAAAAAAATTAAGAGGTTTAGCATATCAAGAGTTGTGATAAGTATAAGCATTTACTTAATTAACTAATCTTAATATGAAATATACTTAGCATTATGTTTATTGAAATCAAAGTAAAAGATAATTATTTACATACATGATATTTCAACATCAAGTGTATACTTGCAAATGTTTAGATTCACACATCAAAACTGTATTTCACAACAAATATTATCATTTATTTTAAAATATACTTAAAAAAGCGTTGATTAAAAATCAATTAAAAATAAATAATTTATAAATAAATAATTTTTTTAAAAGATATTTATACCTATTTTTATGATTTCATCATACTCAACTTTTAAATAAAATATTATATCAAATTACCTAAATTTAAGCAAGTTTGCTTGCTTACTTTCGAAGTATGTATTTTCATATACATTTTGTTAAGACATTTGGTACAACATTGCAAAAGTAAGACAAACATAGAATTTGCTTCTTATACGCGTATCATCTGTATCAAACACATTGTACAATAATAATAAGAAAAAATTCAAAATTTTTTTCTTAATAACATTAGTCATCTTCATAATAGACTTTGACAAGATTGTATGATTTCAATAATAAAATTTTCATCACATATATTATTATAAAATTAAAATGTGATGATCATATAAATATTCTATATATTATGAGTATGACTTCATGCTTTTATGAATGAAATTTTTTATATTCTTATATGATTGTGGATTTTAATAAATAATCCATTGTGATGCATCATATTGCATTTTGTGGAGTGTGATTTTTTGCAAACAGGGAAAAAATGAGTTTTGTTTTAAATTTGATATTCTTTGAGGTTTAGAACGTCAACATCATAAATGATTCTCTAATTTTGACTTTGCAATTGGAATCTCATTATATGATTTACAACTACTAATGGTGTACGTTTGATATTGTTTTACTTGTGTTCACAAGTGATCTTCATACAATGTATTGTTCATCTTCATGTATATGAAACATTTTGCAATCAAGTGAAACTAGAGTAAACTTTAGATATGATTTATTACTTTTACCTCTTTTAGTATATATAGATTTGATGTATGTTTAATGCTTGTGTAATTTGGGATAAAATTTTGTTGATCGAATACAATTGATACACGTGAAAATAGTTCGTTTAGTATTATTATGTCTTATTTAATCTTAGTGAACTATTGCATTGATTATGTTTTTGCATTTAATTTTACAACAATTAGGTAACCATGTATCACATCAAGCTTGAATAGAGTTTTGCCTTAAATACACAAAAAATATTAAAAATTCAACTTTCCATCGATATGATTGTATATGTATACGCTAATATGATTTTAACTTGTTTACAAAATAGATCATGTGTGTTGAATTTGTTTGGATTTGCTTGTTTTCCAAACAAGCATAGAATTAGATTGATTGTTGTATGAGAAACGAGATTAGATCGCGACAAGTGCTTCATTACAAGATGTGAAACTTCCAGAATGTCTGAAATTTGAACCTATTCTACTTTGTTTTTGATATTTAGAATGAAGATAAACGTATTAGAATATTTTTTTTTCTTACTTTTGAGATAGATAGAATTCAAGCATACGAATAATCTTATCACCTGGATTTTGATATTTAGATTTTATTCAAGTCAGCAGCTCTTACGAAATAAGTAGATTTTACTTCTCTCATCATTTTTAAAACATTCTTCATTTCAAAGTACTTTTAATGGTAGTGAATATTTGGTATGATCTTGAATCAAGATAATAAAGTTCAACATTGACAATATAAAAAAATTATAAAAGTAAGCCCAATAAAGTGATTTTTTTAGTTCCTTATACACTTTAAGATGATAAACCACAATCGTAACTTGTACTATTTATCGAGATAATCCACTAATTAAAAGCACGCATACTACTCAAAGTAGAATCTATACACTCTGAATTCATGGATGTGGTGCGAAGAGGGTGTGGAGTCCATGTGGGTGACCACTATTTGAGTTACATGTAGATGTATATTGGCAAATCCCAGCTATGTGTGCCTTAGGCCCGGAGAATATTTGCATCTCAGAATGCGGTTGAGATATTTGGCCAAACGTGTCGTCGACAGAAATGTGCTATGATCCCACAGATTGGGAACACACAATCAGTCCACCGAATGGCCACTAATAGTCGTCAGACAGACAAACAGACAGACAAATACAAAGCCAGATGAAGTTCTAGAAAGAGGCCCACCTCAAGGGAGAAAAACTTTCTTAACGCCCCCTGAGCACTCGTAATAAAGGGACCCACCTTTTTGCTCCAGTCTGAAAAAAGAGAGAGGAAAACACTAAATTAAAGGAAGAGGACTCTGCAATTTGCTGACAGCATCCGCGAGTCCCGTGCATGGAACAAAGGGCGCAATGTTGCTCTGTGGTGTGGTCGTGTCCATCGTGGGGACCGTGTACCGGTAGCAGTACGGTAATGACAGTGCGAGAGCCATGGACGAGCAGATGATGATACAGAAGCATCGGCCTCCTCGTGCCCCCGCAATTCTCTTCGTGTTCGTCTCGTGTCCCGAGTTTGTCGTTCGAGCCTTCTGAGTCTGGCTTGCAACGACCCAGGGCCGGGGACCCCCACTGAAGGAACGGAACAGACTAGATCAGGCTAGAGCAGATCAGAGCAGAGGAGGGGAGAAGAGAGAAGCAGACCAGAAGGTTGATTGCAAGTAGCCTCTGGCTGGCTTTGCTTGACGAGTTGGTTCATCGCCTCTGTACTCACTCACTTTCTCTCTCACACACACATTATACCTCCATTTCCTGCTGTGCATACTTTTGCTTGTACGAAAGCTGCTGAAATTGACTCGTGCAGATCATGCACGGAACCTCGCGCAATTGTTGTATTCCCCCAAGATTCTGACACATCCGGGTTGAGTGGAAGGAAGGAAGAAAGGAGTGAATTTGTGCTGCAATGATTCTCGGTTAGATTTTAAGACAGAATTTGGGTTCGGTAATGTGGTCGTCACTGACGCAGAGGTTCTTCCCCTCGTGTCAAGAGTTGATAGATGAAGTAATTCTTGGCAGCTGTGGAGATGCAGTTTCTTAAGGTGGGTCCATCTGATCTCCATGAACAAACTCGAAATTTCACCGAAGCAGCAGCTCACAGAACAACAAACAGAGCGTACTACTCTGAATTTCACAAATTCAGGAGCTACCATGGACTCTGAGGACTCTTCGTTGATTCACACAGATGAGTCGGTTCCTGTCTATCCGGATGATTCGGGTTCAAGTTTGAAAGCGACCCGGATAGACAAATTCTTATGGATGCGAAAGCTGTTGATGCTGGGCATTTTCTTCAGCGTCTCTATTTCCTTGGTATTCGCGCAGTTCATGTCCTTGCCAAAAATTCACCGGACGGACGAGGGCCCAGGGGCGGGAAAAATAGGCAGGCTGGAAGATGGTGGACGTGTGTTGGTCGGGGAGTTTGGTGTTTATGTGGAGGACGTGGAGAGCAGCCCTCGGCTTTTGTTGAAGTTTCCAAAAGACATGGGCGAGCTGAGAGTGATCAGGGCAGCTCTGGAAGTGTACCAGAAAGAGCACCGGACGCAGGTCCAGATAGGAATCGTTTGTTTCTACCTTTTTCTTCAGACCTTCATGATCCCCGGTTCCACTTTCATCAACGTTTTGGCCGGATCGCTCTATGGATTTTATGAAGCATTACTGCTTGTCCTGGTACTTCATCTCTTCTCTTGCCTTTCTCTCCCGTTTTCTAATTTTTTTTCTCTCGTGCATTGAGTCAATTCCATACGCCTTTTCACGCCGTCTATCTTCAGTGAATGAAGTTCCAAACAGTTGCAAAGCATTTTCACATCTTCTATTTGCTTGCTGCACATGACATTCGGACCTTCTGCAGAAATTAGCCTGATTAACGAACAGAGTGTGATCTTCACCAGACATTGTGCCCGTAATCCAACATTTTATGTGTGGCAGATTCTCGCTGGAGCTGGTTCGTCGCTATGTTACTGTCTTTCCAATTTCATCCTGAAGGAGATCGTGTATTACTATTTTCCTGATCGCTGCGAGTGGCTGGCCAAAGAAGTTCAGCGCCATCGCCACAACCTTCTGAACTATATATTCTTCTTACGAATTACTCCTATACTGCCCAACTGGTTCATCAATGTATCGTCTCCACTTGTTGGCGTTCCTTACAGGTGCTGTATTTCAACCTGTCCTGTTTCTGCTGTATGATCAATATCTCCGTCCTCATTCTTCTAGTATGAATATACATGCAGGATGTGTTAAGCTGTCGTCTAATTTTGTTTCAAAGATGCAAAAATTCGAAATCATCTGCTGCAGATGATTTTTCTGTACATCATCGCTATTGTGAAGTGTCTTTAAATCCTTCATTATCTTCACTGACTGATGTGAGAACGAACAGTAGGAAGTGTACAAATTCGCATATTTTCATGTTCTCTTTTCACGTTTTAGGAGTTTGGCTGTATGAGCTGTCCTGAAGACCATAGACCTGCTCATGGGCTGATTGGCCTATTGGTGCTAGTGCTAACAGATTGTGAAAAAGAAGACGACCAGCTGAAAGTCCCATTAATTTCCATTCCCTCATTTTCTTCTTGTTCCACTCAAAGAGAGTCGGGGTGTATTCTGATCGGAATGGATATCTATCCAGCTTCTATTTCTATTTTATTCTTCAAAAGTTGCACTCTCCTTTCTCAAACTTTTCGAAATATCTCGAGCTAGAGTATCATGGGCGGTCATGCCCTGGTAACTATGGGAAACTATGGCAAGGTTGTTGACTGTTGAAAATAAGGCAGGCCTTCGACGTGGAAGCGGTTTCTTGTTGATTAATTATGTTTTTAGTATCATCAGGCCATATCTTACTAGTCATGAAAGCTCCGGATCTGCTCGAGCATACATACACACAGTAGATCGATGTACTCTACTGCAAACCCAGGTCGTCATACCGTTATCGCTGAACGTTCTCATCCCTTTTCTTTTGTTTTATCAAACTCTTCGCGCCTTGTGAGCCATCAAGGAGTTGCCATTCTACCGTCAGAGATTCAGAATGACCATCATCTCGCTTTAGTCAATACCGAAATCCACCGTGAGAGCATGAGGCTGTCAGATTAATAATCTGTCATATTTTCCTCCCTTGCGGTTCTCTTCCTCCTCCTCGTCCTCCTGAACTTTGTTTGACGACCACTGACGGCACATCACCCAAATGTTGCAAGTCAAGACTCACGATCTTCCACGCCTCTTTCTGCCTTCTACTATGTCCTCTCGTGAACTCACGGAAAATAAGACGTGTCAGCCTGATGAGTACATATATAGCAAGACTTTCACTTCGCTGGCCATCAACAAACACTGTCAACTGAAGGGTACTTAATCAAAGACCGAGCTCGGCAGAGTAAGTTGTAGGTATCCTTCCACATTTACTGTCGAAGGCCGTCCTCTCTCGGGTCTGTTCGTCAGCCCATTCCGCCAGACGGGTATCATCTCACAAGGAAAGCCGCCCCCCTCCCCTTTTTATATCACAGCCTCGAGATGAAAGCCTGCCTACACCGGTGATCAGAGCAGTGGTCATGATCCAACATTGAAGTGTCCCGACTGATCTGAGAGGTGCACGTCTGTAGCTACCGAGCTTCTCCCTCCCCTCCCCTCCTTTCCTTTGAAGAGGTTAAGGTGATGGATGCTTTACGAGTAACACGATTCTACCGTAATAAAAACAGATTAGGACGGAAATGATATTTATGTGTCAAGAGCCGACTCAAGTGGAACCGAGAGCCAGCTGCAGAATTATGTCATTCGTGTATGAAGTTCTGAGGCTTGTCAGTTCGAATGTGCAGGAATTTCGTCATGGGGACAATGTTGGGAGTGATTCCCGCCAGCGTGGTCGGGGTGAAGGCTGGCGGCATATTGTCGACGATCGACTCTTTGAGCGACTTGTACGATTTCTGGACCATCGCAACGATTTCATTCATAGCCGTCATGGCTTTGCTACCCGTGCTTCTCAAGAGTCGCTATGGCCACGGTCATGTAGATTGATTGATTGATTATTGAATGAATGAATGAATGGATATTCATCGACACTCGTCTCTTGGGTGGCTGTCTCGACGGTCCTGCTCTCATACCCTGCTCCCTAATAAAGTCCGCTCCGAGAAGTCCACACTGACATGACCGCGCACTCACTCCTTTGTAAGTCTGAATCCCCCTGCACCATTTACGCTCCAGTCCCATTATCGTCATGGATGCACGTACAGTACAAGAATCCCCAGAGCAAGATGGCAACCAGCACTTGCAGCTTTGATCTGTGGCTCCCTGCCTGCCTGAGCGCCTCGGAGTCCACTCTGAAAGAGTCTCTCGCGCCGTTCCCTCTGATCAGCCTCGGCTCGGGTCCTGTGATGGTGCAATCAATCCTGCCTTTTGTGATCGATCGATCGATCGATCACAGAAAGCCAGAAGGAAGCTGAAGGTCAAACTGGAGGCACTGGCGGGCTCCATTTCTGTCTCTGAATCTCTGTGTTAAGTCGAAGGGAAATATACATCCCCATTCGTTCCGACTAATCGACCCGACCGCTCTGACGAGATGGTGGACACTCTGCGACGAGTTGTGAGTGGAGTGTCGAGTTTTGGAACTCGGTGATCGTGCAAACTCCGCAGGAATCGAAAGACTGCGGGAGCTGGATCAACGACTTCCAGTCATTCGCAGGAATCGAAGGCGACCGGTCGAAAATCCGTGGACTGTCGATTGTCTTCCGATCGGTCTTGCCGATGATGTCGGTCGGCAGGAGACCGGACTTCGACCGACACTGCCCTGCCTGCCTGCCTGCCTGCCTCCACCCGTCTCGTATGTGCTCTAATTTCAAGTTTGGCGCGACGGCTAAGGATTGTAGGAGTACAAGCAAACGTGAATTTCTTCTGTCTGTCTATCTGTAGGATGTTCACACGCAACGACTGTAGAGAAGAATCGAGATAGTCAATCCTCGGGCAAATATTATCGGAAGTCCGGTCAGGATTCTCGAATCTCGAATTTTTGTTATGGCATGTATATTTACAGCGAGCTGCACAATTTATGGAAGGCATACACGTCGAGCTCCAGCTCAAGTCAAGCTTTCTTGCTCAATCAAAACCATGGTCTCGGATATGTCGTTGTGGATTGCACACGTTGCCAGACCTGAATGCATCGGAGAGACCGCAGCGCGAGGCGACTTGTGCTTATAGAGGGTTCTATTCTAGCATCATCATCGATGGGGCGGAGCACCTCAGCCTCCCAACTACGTTCCATGAGATGGTTCAGCTGGAAATGTGCATCTGGATGATGTGGTTGAGATTTCAGGGGAACTCGTATGTGCCGTCATCTACTTACTCCATGAAAGCTCTGTACTGACCGAACCGCCACTCGCTCAGCGTTCTCGAGCGACTGTGAAGCGGAGGAGGAGGAAGAGCCACTTTTTCCGTCTCCCAGTGCAGAGATCGGAAATATCTGGATTGAGGGCACCAACCCTTAACGAAGCGTTTATTTCTCTTCGGCGAAGACGACATTGATCTCCTCTAAGCAACGAAAGTGACGATGGGTGCGATTTGATCGTGGGATCAAGAAATTCCGGAGAAGGGAAATCGAGTGGCGAGAGTGAACGAGAAATGTGATTGAGAGCGAAAATTTGTTGGAGTGAGGAAAGGGAGGAATGGAAACACGAGCAGAATCGGGCGCTTGGGGAAAGAAACGAAGGGACGAGTTGCAAGGGGCTGATTTAGGGCTAGAGAGAGCGAAAATCCACGACGCTTGGGATGCCTCCGAAGTCGAAGCGAGAGGAGACGAGAGAGCATGGGAAGGAAGCGAGGATTTGGAAGCGCAATGGCGACCGACACCTCGCACAACTGATCGCTTTGAATCTCTTTCTTTCGCTGCTGCTGCTTCGATTTTTCGTGCTCCTCCCCTGGCTGCACGGCCGCAGGGCCGCACGCACGGCCGCCCGCCCGCCCACAAAGCGGAATTGTTCAGCTGTCTGATAACTTTCTCATACTTCTTAGTCGATCCATCGCACAATTCCGCCAGATGCCTGAGTCCACGGTCGCCGTCGTTCCAATCGTGTGGGAAAAGTACATTTTTCCTCTGTCCCGAGCTTGTTGGGCATAAAGGAATTGGCTGAAAGTCTATGCACTGTGCTCATTTCGTCCTAGCTGTCCGTCTTATCTTCGAGTAAATGCCGGAGCCGGAGCCAGAACGAACTTTGAAGTATTGTGCATGCGTGCGTGGATCTAGTTATGTTTTGCGATTTCATTTGTGTCGACGAAATACGCGGAGCGTGAAGCTTCCAGGATTGTAGCTACCAATCGACCATTCGAGCTGACTCGAGGACGATCATCCCTCCGAATTGCGTCTCCCTGTGATGAATTCGGAAATTCGAGTAATGTTCTGAACGAGCTCCATGGTCAGAACAGGTGGCTGGCTGGGTGGACATTAGAAGCTACCGTGCATGGAAGCATGGGAAAATGGGTAAACGTGGAAATTGTTCAGCGGATCAGCAGATCACTCAAAAGCAAGTGGATTATGACAGCACAGGAGCATCACATGCCAACACTGCAGAGCTGCCAGGACATCGATCGGGCCCTAGTCAGAGTCATACACGGATATCGTAAGGCACTGTATGGATTGGTTTGAATCTGGTGTCCAAGTTTTGATGTTGTGCCTCTAAGATGGAAGGATATTCATGAGCATGAGTTATTCAGCTCGTGAGTCGAACGTGAGAAAATGGCGAAGACTGTCGCTGTCCAGATAGTGTAGTGCAAGCACGATGTGGTCGACACACAAACCCCCAGGTTCGAGGGGCTCGACGTCACAAGCTGGTCCCTCGGGCACTCGGAAGTGGATTCGTCAAAGTATCCGCAAGCCTGAGAATGAAGACCTGCCCAGTTCGTCTACAAGCCCTGTGAGAGGCCTCCGGAACATCAATTCGGTTCCTCACGAAGGCTTGGGACTCAACAATCTCAGAAGCTTAAATCATGGTCACAAGAATCTCAAACATGAGCACAATCGTTCCGCTCCTTTGTTCACCGCTCCATCGAAAGATCTGGACGCTAAAATCAAGCAGGTGCAGTTTCCTGTTCCAGAACACTGGAACAAGAAGAGTTTTACCTCCAGCAGGACCAAGAAGACAAGTTTTGCCGACATCGCCGAGAACCAGAAGCCTTCAGCCGAAGAGGTACAGGCCGAGGAGGCTCCAGTGGCAGAAGCGAAGATTCCCGAAGACCATGTGCGATCCAGAGCTGGATTTTTGACCGAGGAGAGGGGGATTGGAACGGCCAGAGGAGCATCACCAATACACAAGGCAGGTGCAGACACAAACTGAGGGAGTACTGTCATGTAGTTGCAGCGAACAGGGGACATGACTGCCCTCGGGAAAGGAAAGCAGAGGGCTCTCTAAAGGATAAAAATATGATCTATGGTCTGGCCTGACACTGGAATGAGAAAAACTTGAGACAGTAGAAGCTAGTTCAGAGCCTTGGTACCTGACGATCTCTTTGTCTCGTCTGTTCATTTTGACCTCTGCAGAGCTTGCAAGTAGTAGGCTTGCCGGAGACTTTCATTCTTTGCTTGGCACAAGTTTTACACAAATGCAGCGAGCTTATTTTGCAGCAACAACAAGGTTGGGCACAATTCGAAGCTGCGTGCGGCTGACATCAATTCTAAACTTTAGATCAAACGTGCAGAACTTTTGCTTCAAAGTTTTATAGTCCCGAACGTTGATTCGATCTCCTGGAACCAGTCATTAAGTCAAAATTCAATTCTGTCGTCTTTCCTTCTTTCAGAAGAGGTACGAGGAAGAGGATGCAGCCTTCAAAGAGGATGACGACAGCTCCAGTAATGACATCCCAGCTTTTATGCTTCTCAAAACGGTGACATTGAAAAATCCTGTACGTGGTGACAAAGGTACTAGCCCCAAAAGAAAGGAAAGTTCTTGATAGCGTTCGTTACGAAGATCGTTTGTTGAATATCACTTCAATTCTGAAGTGACATTTGGGTGCAGAGCTTCAACGTAAACAGTCAACAATTGGAGTAAGGCTCCAACAGAGGTCCAAGGCGTTACGCCTCTGGTATGTTTCTTCCAGCTTCACCTTATGTCTACCGCAACGTTTTGCGCAGATATCAGTTTAGCCGTTCATCAGTTCCAAAAGTTCCTCGTTGAGTTCTTCTATACTAAGATCTTACACAATGCCTACTGCTGTTACTTATGTTCCTCAAGCAAAAATCTATGCATCTGTCATTGAACAGTTCAATCTATAACACCGCTTTCCTCTAGGACGTGCCAGGAAAAACGATCACTTAATTGTGGTGTTTTCTTGTGGAAGTATCCATCGACTCGTACCTGTTTCTTCTAGATATGCTGCTCTAAAACTTTCGAGTCAAGTTAGTGTTTTTATGAAGTTTTTTACAGAAAACCTAGTAACCATGGCAGGCATGAGGAAGGGCAAGATATTGATTCAGGAGAAGGACCTGCAGTTGAGATATATAATCAGAACCATATCAAGTCAGCTCCATCTTCTCAGCAAGTGTCGTCTGGTTTTTCCTTACCCCATCTTGTAAAAAGAATGTTCGATCATACACGACAATCTCGCCTATCATAGACTCTTATAGTACGCTAGTTGAATTAGTCATGAGTCCAGCATTGATCTTGCAGCTGAGATAGCGAAGCAACTAATGATCAGTTCGTTGCACCAATTTTATCTTCCTTTCGTCGTGGACCGACGCTCGTGTCCAGACTTCCTGCTCCCGGGATTTTGTTGCCTGTCTACAATTGAGAGTTCTGAGTGTACCGGCTGTATGCTTCCTCTCCCTCATGGTTCGGAGCAGCATTTGACAGAACTGGAATGAACGGTTTTTGCAGATCTTGAACTTGGAAACCCCATAACAAGCTTCATAAGGGTTCCTGTGTCTCCTGGACTTCGTCTGCCCGAGAGAGTCAGGGCGGAGGATCAAAAAACAAATCTCCTTAAAGGTGGCCATGGTAAGCAACCTGGTGTTTAAGGTGTGGTCGTTTAAGACACATGCACGAGTCTGATGCATTTCCCCTTCACATGAGTTAAGTTCTATAGCCTGGAGGACAAAGCCGCTCACTGCTTAAATCCTTACCGCTGTTTTGCTGTGTGCATGTCAGGTGTTGAGAACACGCTTGCTGATCTGCAAATGCGAGCGGAGTCTCTGCGGCGAACAAAAGATCCAGCTAAGTACAAAGAGGAGGCCAAAGCTGTGCTTGCAATGGGAATTATCTACGACAATAGGATGGTCTGTATCATTTTTTACAGTTGCTGTAGTCTTCTTTGTTCCCATGACACTATAGTTCCGAAATTTTGAAACTGCGTTCTGACATGCATGTACTGCATACCTGAGATGAAACTTAGTCCTCAGTTGAATGGACTGTGCTACAGCTACTCACCGCACCTTGCTAGAGGCTAATCTATTAACTTTTGCAGGAGTTTGCAAAAGCAAGGGAGCACTATGAAAGGTTTTTGGAGCTATGTACCTTGCTCGAAGAACCCGAAGGAGAAGCTGTCGCCTATAATTTTCTGGGCTGTAACATTCAAGAGAGTCAAGACTTGAAGCTGGCTTGCCAGAGAGATCAGATCGTTCTTGTTTCAGGATCGGTCATGGTCAATACGGAAGCCGCAATTGAGGTGAGTAAAGTACCGACAAATTTCCTTCAGGTTGGTGGGCACGGTTCTTAGCGCAGAAGACAGTACGTTGTCAAGCAGAAGACAAATGAGACGATTTCTTAATGATTCGCTTCATTCAGACATGCAAGTGTCTTGAAAGGGTGACATTAGATGATGTTATCAAGCTTGCAGACATCTTTCTCGTCTATGATGTCGGATGTTTTGACTCACGAGGTACACATGTATGCAGTACGAGAAAGCAGCAAGCTATCACTTGAAGCATGCCGAGTTGGCCGATGTTGAGGGTAAATTCATAGCTTACACCAATTTGGGGTTACTCTATGCTACCCTCGGTAAATGGGCAGATGCTGCGAAAACTCATAAGGTGAGTCGTTACTTTGACTCAACTTCCTGTGTGTCGCACTTCAGACTTCCAAGTGTATATTTAAAGAAGAGAACAGCTTACTGAGAACAGGAACTTTGGCTTTCGAAGCTACCATTGAACTGATGCAACCAGCGGCATTCTGATTCCATGCAGAAAGCACTGAAGTGTGCCACCTTTTTGGACAGTCCACAAGAACAGTGTATTGCAGTAGGGAATCTTGGATTTTTGTTATTTCGCCGGAAAAAGACCCTTGCGGCTAAAGCGTGTCTGACAAGGTACTTCATTGCATGATCCGAATGAACGTTATGTAAGACATTCATGACGTTATAATCGTGATCGATGGATTTTGTTTCTCACTTCTGAAAAAGTGTGCTCCCTGATGTTGCAGATACCTCCAAATCTGTCGGTTGCTCGGTGACATTCAAGGTCAAGCTAGGGCACATTACACACTTGGGAATATCGCTTCTCAAATGAAAAAGTAAGATGAGTGTCTAACTAATTGTACGCAACATTGTTCACCAAACATTGACTGAAAGTGAAGGTTTTAGAATGGTGGTTAACAGTACCGATAAATAGACTTCTGTAGTGAAGGATCCTTGCTGAGTACGTCAGTGTTCGTCAATGTTTCCTCGCAGATACGAAGAGGCAGAAAAGGAGTTCAAAGCTGCAATGAAGACTTCGAGGGTTTACGGAGACAAGCAAATTGAGACCTTCTCGAAGGTGCAGATTGGAATCGTAAGAGGAAACCAGGAGATTTCAAAACGGAAGGCTTCTTTTGAAGAGTATAACCCAGATATAAGCATGTTCCTGCCCACTGAAGCAGCGTGAAGTCTGTCACTTTCATCTGTCCCTCTTAAAAGGAGAACAGTGGGCAGACTAGTAGCAAGGCCTGATCCTTGTCTACTTTCATGTCATCTTTACATTCAATTGCCTGACAACTCTACCTGCGGATGTCTCCTGTACACTAGGTTACTTTGTGTCAAGCTTACTACAAAGAACGTGGAGCTGACTTGTTTGCACATTCTTTATCATTGCAAGTTTTGGAATAGGAATTTTCATCAACAGTAGTGAATTTTAAGGTCTTATGGACACGAGAAGATATTAGATCTTTCATGTGCATAAGGTAGTATATGAATATGAAATTCCTATGAATTAATATCTGTAAATTGTAATTTTTTCGTTCGAAAAAGTTGCGCAGTATTGTCATGTATGTGTATGAAATGTAACGAGTTCTACGAGCACTGCAATGAGGACAATAACAGACGAGAAAATTCTTGTCGAATTGTAATGTGATACTCAAGCGTGCTAGATCATTTTACCTGCTGCTTGAAGAGGTATTATTGGTTCTTCACGTGTACTTTGAAAACCGTGTTTCAGTTGCATGTATTGAGAAAAGTGAGAGTGAAATCTAGAGAAGAAGTGTACAAAATTCGTAGCTAGTTGTTAAAATTGCAAACGTCCCTGCTTACAGCAGAGACGACTGCAATTTTGTATAATAGCAGATTATTGTCGTTGAGCTTCTGCAAACATCTCTCGCAAGCTGTTCTTCCGCCTTTAGCATATCTTTAGCTTGGTTGTAACTCACCAAGTCGGGATTGTTCACACAAGAAACTTTCACACAGTTCCAAAAATTAGCAGAAGGAAAGAACGTTAAACAAAATTGATTTTCCAAATCACTGTGCTTGGAATTTTTCATCCACATTCATCAGGTTAAAAATGTGAACGTGAATTTACAATTGTGGTCATCTCCTTAATCGTCTACTTGAATTGTCTACTTCATTTTCTAGGGTACTTTACACATTTACACAGCTGTTGTACTCAAGGAATCAAGGCTTTAAACTTCCCGATTTTCTGTGACTCCGACCCCACATTTTGAGGGCTTCGTCTATCGGAATAATAGGCAGTGAAACTACTAACACTACCAACCACTCTTCAACGCTGAGCGGAACAACCCCGAAAACATCTGCTAACCAGGGATTGTACAAAATTGTGAAATGCAGTCCCATGGACACTCCGATGGCCACTAACAGCCATTTATTTGCCCATGGTGGCACGGTGAGTAAGCTGTTGTTCTCAGACAGTGCGTTCAGGGCATTGAGCATTTCCATGACCACTAAAGCTGACATAGATAATGTGGAAGCCTTCACTTTACCCGCAGCAAAATAATCACAGGCGTTGGCGAAGTCATACGTATGAGAACCGGCAGTATAAGGGGTCACTGAGAAATCTGGCCAGAGCGGGCACTCACCCCAATGGCTTAACTGACTCAATGTTACAGCTGTATGGCCATCTCTTGACATGTCTATTCCCAAAAAAGTGGTATTATTCAAATACCACAATACAAATATTCCTGTGGTTGCAACTCCGACGTAAGTCCCGATTGTCAGGAAACGAAAGAACGTCCAGTTGCCGACAAGAGACTCATCTGAAGGTCGAGGCGCCCTCTCCATAATACCTTTGTCGGGTTCGTTGAAACCGAGAGCAGTGGCTGGAGCTCCATCGGTTACAAGATTAACCCACAGCAACTGCACCGGGATCAGTCCTTGAGGGAATCCAAGTAGAGCAGTCAAGAAGATGGAAACCACTTCTCCAATGTTGGAAGAGATGAGATAACGAATGAAGGCCTTCATGTTATCATATATAGACCTCCCTTCTTTCACGGCCAAAACGATGGTGGCAAAGTTGTCGTCAGCCAAAACCATGTCGCACGCCTCCTTCGCAACCTGTAATGGTAACTGACATGTTAGATTATAGAAATGTCTGTCTAAACGCAAGTTACAAACCAGACCCTGTGGTTTAATCAGTCTACGTATATTGTAAGCATTACGCAGACAGTTCACACGCATAATCTGCTGTGCAGAATTCTGTATAGGGGTAGTTTGACTATACCACAATGGCTTCACGCCAGGTACAAAGTTTACCTCGGTTCCGGTGATTCCCATGGCAACTCCAATATCAGCAAGTTTCAAAGCAGGGGCATCATTCACACCATCTCCTGTCATTGCAACGACTTCTCCTCCGCTTTGCAGAACTCGGACTATTTCCTGTTTATGGATAGGCTCTGCACGCGATACAACGAAATTCCCTTTACATGCACCTAAGAGGAGTGATCGCCTATCGGTCTGAGACAACCTCATGAACTCTCTGCCGGCTAAAGATCTTTCCTTCAGATCTTCATCAGCTTCAAAGATTCCAACTTCTCTACATATTGCCTCTGCAGTGGTTTTGTTATCTCCAGTAATGACAACGACTCTAATCCCCGCCTTCCGGCAATTTTCGATTGCCGACTTCACTTCTTTTCGGGGAGGATCCTGCATGAAGGAAACCTTACCATCTTAATAAACAGAAACGTTTGCGAGTTTCAGGAATTTGCCTTTCTAAGATCATTCAGTAGAAGAAAGTAGATGCCTAGTTTCAATGAAGCGCTACGTTCGTTTCACAATGTTTTTCAAAAACTTAAATACTGAACATCTTAGCTTAACCGAACATGGGAACAGAAGTTTAGATAACAACTCCAAAATTTGCAGTTATTGTTCATCATGCTGACTTACCTGCAGCCCGGATAGGGCAACAAATGTCAACTGACTCTCAATGTTGAAATAATTTTCAGGTTCCAGGAGCATTTGGTGCGAGGGATGCGATGATCCATCATAGTCTTGGAAAACTCCAAGCTCCGTCTTGAAAGCACACGCGAGAACACGCAACCCTTTGCTCGCCATGGTATCAACACTTGCCATAATGAACTCTCGGGAACTCGGAGTTAAAGGGACAACTGTTCCATCTTTTAGCTGAACGCTCGAACATCTTTCCAAAATGCATTCTGCAGCTCCCTGATCAAGAAATGCTCTACAATTAGGTTGTTGACGTTCTACAATGCCTTGAAGTATCTGAACTGTAAGAAAAGACAAGATTTTTGTCCCAAGTAGTGTATGCCTCGATTGAAAGTGTCAAAACAAGTTCAGTTATTATGAGCCAATCCAACATGGTATGAACCCAGGAGATTTGAGTCTAAAGAATTTTCAATCAGAATCCAGCATGATTGATATACTGCCTAATATCATCTTGCTTAAATACTTCAGTCATAATTTTTTGACTTTTTTTCCAGTATGAAGATACGAAAAGCTAATAACTTTTATCAGTCAAACAAGATTCTAGGAGATACTGAACAGTTAAGAATACGGACCTTGACAAGCAGCTTATTCTTACTGCCCTCTGTACCAAGGTTCTCCTTCACCAGAACACTCATTGACTTTCTAGAACGATCAAACTCCAAGGTAGCAAGGGACGAAACGTTTTGGCCCCAGTACTTACAAGCACCTGTATTTAAGATGAAAACACATAAGAATACTACAGAAGCCAAGCATGTGTCGTGCAGGAAAGGGAAAGTACGCAAGTCGGTACGAAAAAATTAACTTGTCTGTGATCGGAACAACTAAACTTCCAAGCGCAAAGCATTTAGAGCCTCCACTGTGACATCGAATCCACACCCTATTGCGTTCTGATCTCAAATAAGAAAATGCATGACCTACCAAGGACTTCGGTCTCGACTTTTGCCAGTCTCGCTGCTTTAATCTTCTTCCGGAGTTCCTTGTCTGGAACGTTCAACTTTTCAACGAGTACCTGCAATTATCCCAGAGCATATTATGCCAGTGAACTTGCTACTTGAATGTACCGTCGCAAGATATATTGACTCGAGAGGATTCGATCATCAAACCAAAAACAGGTACATTATGAGATTGGAAATAACGTACCAACAAGGCTGCTTCAGTTGGCATCCCGACGGCACAGTAACTGCCATTCTTGAGTTGTATACCAGCCTCATTACAGAGAGAGCAAATTTCCCCCAGACATCGTAGATTTGCATCCAGAGATTCTGGTATTCCTTTAACCTCACCGTCATCGGGATCATAAGTTGTTCCGGTGACTTCATACGATCGCACGTGATCAACTGAATCCATGGTAGCGATCCTAACAACCGACATTTGGTTTGTTGTTAATGTGCCTGTTTTGTCTGAACATATGACACTCGTGCAGCCTAGTGTCTCCACTGAGGGCAATTTCCGCACGATAGCATTCTCCTGCGCCATACGCCGTGTACCAAGAGCTAAACACGTTGTGACAACAGCAGGAAGACCTTCAGGTATTGCTGCCACTGCAAGTGCCACTGCAACCTGCACTTACGAACTTCATGATGAGAAAAAAGAAAGGAGTACTGACCAGTAACGAGGCCTTCAAACCGTCAATGCTTTCTAACCACACTTGAAGGTGGATCCCAAAACTCCATGCTGCCGCAAAACCATGTCTAAATCTTCGTAATAACTCGAATGGCAAGGTACCTTGAAGTAGTATATAGCCTGCTCGAAGTTGAAAGTGATACTGGTTGGAAACCCATTGACTGTTTCCCAGGATACAAAGTACTTGTAGTTAACGAGCCACACTAGCACGCAAACTCCACCTACGACTTTAGTGAGGGTACTAGCAAATTCGTCGAGCTTTCGTGTAAGTGGTGTATCATAAGTTTCAAGACTCGCATCCAGAATCTGTGACTGAATCTTCCCTATCTCTGTTAACATCCCCGTAGATGTAACAATGCAAGCACATGATCCATTGGTAACTGTCGTTCCTGCAAAAACCATATTTTCTTTTCCTTGAAGCTCGATCTCCTCGTCGCCTACTGCATCTATTTGCTTCAAGACCGGTGAGCTTTCACCAGTTAACGAAGCTTGCTGTATTCGAACTGTTCCAGAATTTAGCTGTATAATTCGCATGTCAGCAGATACTCTATCTCCTGCCCTAAGCTTCACTACATCCCCTGGTACCAACTCTCTAGCAGGCAAATCCGGAATCTCCTTACCACCACGCAACACTCTGGTGTTGTCACTCTGCAAGTCCTTCAAAGCTTGAAGAGAATTTTCAGCTTTACTTTCTTGCCATACGCCAATCACCGAGTTCAGAATAATGATAGCCAATATGACTAGAGGCTCAGTGAAAGCTTGAAGACCAGTCTCCACATTGTCACCTTCCGTGAAGGCAAGAACAAACGAAACACCAGCAGCAGCCAGCAAAATCTGAACAAGTGGATCTTGAAACTGCTCCAGCACAAGTTTCCACAATGGCTTTTGGTCTGGTTTATCTAGTTCGTTCCATCCAAACAAAGATCTCTTCTTCTCCACAGCCAGTTGTGTGAGCCCAGCCTTAATGTCAGCTTCATACTGTTGTGCAACCTCACTAACAGATCTAGCCCATGCTGGATACACCGAGAATTCTGTTGATCTTGTGTGGCCATTTTCTCCTAACACTCGTGCTTCCTTCGTTTCCTGTGATAATCAAGTACCTCGGCTAAATCAAACGTTCAAAGTTCATGCTGGCTTTCCCAAAACCAAGGAATGTTCAAATTTATCAATACAAAGCCAAAGGCTCCACGCGGTGACTTAATGATTCCCAAGAGCAGAGACAAACTGCAAATTGTTCAATTATGTAAAGGCAGTAAATTGAAGATAAATTTGATGCATGAAGCTCATTAAATGCAGACGAATATACCTTCTCGTGGTGAGGTCCGGCTGCAGGTACTATGCTTTCTGGACTCGTTCCTGCTGAAGAATCAGATTTTTCAACAACATCCGCCGAAGTCTTCGCCTTGCTCACACCTCCTCTCTGGATACCGAATGCATATAGTCCCTGGCAGTTACAATACATGGTTACAAAACTCCGTCCTGGTGAACGTATTCCTGGCCCTTTCCTTAATCTGAAGTTCATTCATAGAGCACGGTCTTCAACTAATATATCGAAACATGCAAAACAATGTTATCTCCCATTCAAAGTTTGAGAACATCTACAGCCGATCCAAGATTAACAACGGACCTGTGTCAGAACCGCGTTTCTGACAGACAGAATCCAACTAAAAATCCTCTTTGACCAGAATTCCCCTCGGAGATCAGAACCCATAGGCCCCAAACCAAAACTATTTAGAATATGAAGTTTAAGATAGCCATTAGTCCAGCCAAACCAACGTACCGAAAGGAGAAGACCGGCAAAGTCTCTAAACAACGACCTATTCATAGAGAAAAAAGTAAAAACTGCAGACCGCTCAATTAGATGGTAAAAAAGCACAGGTTCCAGCGAGTTTCGAACTCGCGACCTTCTGCGTGTAAAGCAGACGTGATAACCACTACACCATGGAACCCCACATGTCAACACGTGAAGATTTAATCGTACAGAGCTGACGTACGGACGCCACATATCCCCATGAAAAATGCATCCAAAACTGACAGTAGCTCTGTGTCACGGCTCATATCAAATCTACAAACATGCCGCCATGAAATTATGCGTTCGCTTGCATTTGATCACCCGTTCCATCTTCCAGAGATAATGATTGTGTCACATAAAGATAAAATCACGTTTAACAAACGACGACGAAAATTGCATGTTGTACTTCACAGCTGACACCTCCCTGGTCGAGTCTAAACCCAGAATCATGGCATCGTGGACCTTCGCGACATTCACCTCCGGTGCGGGTCGAAACTAGTCTGGCGAGGGAGAATTTGAAAGCGCCGCGATTGGCGATTGGCGATTGGCGATTGGCGACAAGAGACTATGATGGAGTTTCTGAGAATAAGGAAAGGACTTACGGGATAGCGGAATTTGTGCAGCCGTGGTCGAATTGACGATGCAGCGCGTGTTGGCCAAGGACTTATTTGCCGCAAGGCTGAAGTCGTGGACACTGCAAATTGCGTAGGGGTGCGCAGCGCCATGCTCCTGCTCTGATCTGCTCTGCTCTCGGAATGGTTTGGGAAAATGTTCGAGCTTCTTCTCAGTTCTTGGTGAGTGGAGCACAATGTCTGTTGTCCTGGCGTACGTCACGTCGGGCGGTCCTTGGTGCGTGCGACTTTCTTGAACTGAATTCTTGGCTTGCTGGCGTACGCGGTACCAGCATGTCTTCTCGCTTGCCTATTTTCTTGTCACTCATCCATGACAGGATGCTCTGTACCTGCGGGACAAATTCAGTCTATGTCAATCACTTCTCTGAACCAAACGACAACAACCGGATTTGATCAGCTTGCATTCAAACTGCTCCTGACATCGACAGTCCTCAATACGCAATCGGCATTATGATGACAACATACGCTCTACTCGGCCACGAGTACCCATGATCTTATGTACGCCTCTCTCCTCTCTTCCTCCAGCCTTTACAAGAATTCCACTTCTTTCTCTATCGTCGAGACAGCCTATTGGTAGGCTGCGCTGAAATTACAAGCCGTGACCACATTCCTATTTCGACCAAAGGAACTCTTTTGGCTGTACTTCCCGCATCGACGAACACCTTTCTATAAAGAAAGAAAACAAGCGAATCGCCAAAACATCGACAGTGATGTCACTCCCCGTTGTCCGCAGACACTACAATGATGCAAACAGCCTCTCTATCGTAAGTATGTAAAACTCGACTTCATTGCTGTATGTTATGCTCGACATTGCTTCTGAGCTGCGACGGTGTGAACAGAAATAGTGTTGCGACTAATTAAGCCCCGCGTTGATGGCATAGCCCCAATTTCTGCATACAAACTGGACTCCAAGTGATTGCCAGTTTTACAGTTCATCAAACTCAGTAATTATCCTTCCATGCGTCCGACTCAATCGCAGCCAACCACCCGCGAGAACACGCAGCCAATCCGACGATAATCTCTCTAACAGCAGCAAAAGGCCACAGTACGGCGCTCGGCATTGCACAATCAATCCCCACGTGCCGTTCGAACTCACGCATCCAAGAAAAAATTGGTTGTGGTGGGCTCGAGAAATTCAAATCGTGAACGAGCACCAGCAACATCAAAATGTCAGAATCTAACCGAAATAATACTCTACACGTACCACCGGCACGAATTCGCAGCTCCAAGAACAACAACGTCGTCGCCTGCGTCTAAGCTTCCGGCCCTTCTTCTCTTGACCTCCACGAGCTAGCTCCCTTCACTCACACAATCACTCAATCACTCACCGCCCCACTCGTGTTGCATTCTTGCACCGGCAATCGGTGCAGCCGCAATGTTGGCAGTGTGTGGAGATCAGCTTGAGCGGAATCTGGAAGCTCTTGTTTCGATCATTCTCGTGCAGACAAAGGGAACTCCAAAACATTCTTCCGAAGACGCAGAGGAGAACACATGTCGCCGCGCTCCGCGAGCTGCAGATGAGATCTTCTCCGTCCGATCCGACGTGTGCAGAGGCTGCGTGGTCGACCTCTGGCATGACGACTTGGCACCGGACACGTCGGGCCAGATCGGACTGCTTGTTGGCAAGGTTTCTGCTGACGATGACGATCGGGCAGAAGGGGAGGAGATCTTTACTGCCTGCCCCGGTCGTGAGTACATTAATTCTCGTAAGATATGTTTCTTTTTTAGTTGGTCGTGAGCAGCTAATGGGGATCGAGTACGTGTGTGTGCCCCGGAAGCGAACGATGGCCGAGGGCTTCGATCGCTCGCGGGATCTCGTCGGATTCTGGGCTGCGAATTCTCCAACCTGCTCTCTCTCTTGACTGCACTCTTGTCCTTATCAGCTCCTCACAAAACTCAGCTCCTCACCCGGACCGACATCCATCTACACAAACAAATATCAGGCCCATTATTTCCCCCTCTTTTCCACGCATCTCTGTTCCTGCTGCTGCCGGCGAAGATTTAGATCTCCTGACCAACCACTCCGGCCAAAAGGAAGTTTCTCGAATGGATATTTCTCTGAAGTGCCTTGGCTAAAATTGGAATCTCGGACACGGGCGAAGTTGGGCATGTCACAAACACATCATTCCCTTGACCATTGAGTTTCCATGAGCCTTCTCGGCACGAGATGGAATTTAGAAGCATGTGAATTTTCAGGACCAGCAGATTAATTAACTTAAGAAGATAATGGTAACTAAACGTGACGTGAAGAATGGATGATATTAAAACATGAAACGGAGGAAAAACATCGATGATTTTGCTTTTGCTTCCACTCTCATCACGACCACCTTGAGACACGATAAAGTCGAATCTTGATTTCGTATCCATTTTTTTCGTCCTTTTCCATTATGTGAGGAGATCAGTTGATTACCCGAGTATCAGACATGGGCAGCCAACACTTCATGGTGCTTCGTCGAATCGTGAAGGGCTTGCTCGCGGCCGTCTCATTCTCCACGTATGAATCCCTTAAGCAGTAGTTTAACATCCATTGGAATGACAAACGTACCTCTGGTCAACTCCAGTAGAGTAGGTTCTACGCAATCAGCGGAAGGCAACATTATCCACTATCATTCGGTAATTCTTCGCCTTGTGTCTCCGCAGACCTTTCAGCTTCATCACATTTAAAGTTTATCTCTCTTCTCCCTGATACCAAAAAGTCTCTCTCTCAATAAAATTCCTTCAGAGGATTGAATTTGTGGTTCCCGAGATCCATGTAGCGTTTTATTAAAGTTTCCAGTACTGACCGAAAAGGTTCAACAAAAGACCTTTTCTAAAGCTTGTGGGTCTTTATGTGTGACACTTAATCACTTTCTTGACTGAGAGGTTTTTTTGTATTAGAATCTTGCATATAGGGTCAAGACCTTAGCAAAGGGGCTCCCCTATAAAGAGTCGGCATCAAGTTGAACATATTCTAATGGCAAGGTAGTAAATGTCGATGTTTGTTATCAACTACCCTATTTGATGCCTAGTTATCGCCATTAGAATGCAATCTCTATCATCTCCTCAGAATACTGTTAAACGCACACAGTGTTAATGATATGCCCCCATCAGCGTCAAGCACTGCTCAAACTCATCGAACGCTGTTTAATCTATTGATTTTCTGACCTCATCAGTGTTTCCGTGATGTTCAAACTTTTAGAAATGTTTTGTATTTTTTCTTCGACTGTTAGTTCTTGATGGGCGGAGAGTCGAGATTAAGTAAGTAAAGTATCCAAGAATAGAGTATCGAAGAAGTTAATTTCTTTGTTTCTTCAGCATTTGGATCAACAATTTTGATAGTGTAGGGTAAGTTAAAGTTTAGTGCACAAGAAGCTACTAGACTTTGTGGTTGATATGTCATTATCATTATTTGACGAACAATATATTTTCGTCAAAAATCTTTCGGAGCACTTTAATATTTCTATACAAATTATAGAATGTATTAGTAGGTTCATAAAAGAGTAATCATTGCAGTTAATATATGTTTGGATGTTATTGTTGTTTGTATGGGATTCCCGCGAGGAATGCGTGCAAGCGCAATGAGAGAAACAAGTTTGATACGCACTACAGAACTATCTGCAGCGAAATCAATCCAGAAATTACATAGTGCCCTCACATATTTCTCGATGACATACTCCATTTGGAAGCGATATATAACCATACATTATTATTTTCAAAGGACAGAGCTGTGGTGGGACTTCTATCGCGTTCTGCACTCAAGCTCTGTACATGAAAACTAAGTCATTGATAGAAAACTTGGGCATTGTTCGAATCGGGGATATTGTCCCAGACAACTAAACTTCCCTATTTATAAAGTGACAGTGATACACCTGCAGTCTGTCAATGGAGGTACAGTAAACATTCGCTTAAGTCCGCATTCAATTAAGTCCGCACTTCACAACGCTAAATTCCTGGAACTCAAGAGTGTATTTTACAGAAAATCTCCTTGGCTCGTGGACGTCTCACTTGGCTGCGATGCAAATGCTCCAAATCTCCCTAAGCAAAATAGAAGCTGCTGTCCACGGTCTTCACCCACCAAACCACCTGCCTATCTCCGAAGCAAGTGCAGAGCATTATGAAGGTAGTGAGTGAAGTGTGCAGGCGCCCCTCTACCTCCTCACTAGGAGACGATCTCAAACCCTGCTCGCAGCAGAGCGGAGGCCACGCCAGGAGAAGGCAGGGAGGAGGGAGAAAGGGAGGATAAACGAGGAGATGCTAACCCTGAACAAGCGGGGTTGATTAGGCTTGAGCTTCCTGGGTGGGAGATGGAAACCGAAGGCAGGATGGGAGGAAGAGAGAAACGAACTGACGCACGGAGGTCGAGAGGAGTTAAGTCCGCATCTCAGTTAAATCCGCACCAGACTTCCCGGATCAAGTTGCGGACTTAAGCGAATGTTTACTGTAAGAGGAAGTAATTGTAGGGTTTGTCTTATGAGAGAGTACTGGTTACAGTATTTGGGATACCATGAAGAAAAACTCTGCTGCAGTGGTCAGTTGAGTACAAAGTTTCCATCCAAACATATTTCGACATCCGTTCGAACCAGATTGTCATTTACTACCGTAACCCAATCAAAAGTCCAGGAGTAAGATGAGCATAAAATTCATTCGTCCGTCATGAAGAGAAGTCAGTCCTGAGGCAAACGGCTTCATCACCGAGAGGCAAGATATTACAAGAGGATAGGGAAGGATTGATGTTGTGGAGAGTAACGACTTTTCAACCTAATGCTCCAACTTCGCATCGTATGATCAAATCCGCATCAGCGGAGTTCAAGTTGGACGATTGAAAGTTGACAGACTTTTGCCCGAGGTTTTTCTTGCTAGATGGGTGAGGTGAGCGGGCTCAAATGTGCGATACAGTGAGATCGTCCCCATCCATCCGTGCTGGAAAGCAAATTTCTCCATCATGTAATCCAATCTGACTCGTCGGAGGGCGTCGTCCGATATGCAACATGAGGTGCGAAATCTCCAGGCACCACTTTGTCTACTCATCGGACTACGCGGTCTTGAAGTTTTCAGAGCGATCTAAATAAAGAACACCGTGCTCCCCATTCTGTCCACAGAGCCTGCTTCCAAACCATAGCCAGTTAACCTTGAGAATGGGAGGAAGCTTCGTTCCGACTCAAATCCCCCATGCAACCCGTCCGTCAACTGTCTCACTTAGGCTGCAATCATACTGAGCCTAAAAATCCATAATCTGCCCTACACCCAAGTTGACCCAACGAACATTCCTCACTAGCTCAGACTTCAGAAGACGGAGTCCATTGATGCCTCCCTCCCGACGCCGACGCCGAGTCTCGAGGCTTATCGCAGTCGACCTCAGAGCGAGTAAGGTTTCTTCTTGCCTGTGCAGTACGTCATGGTCGAGGGCACAACGTTTTAATGATGGAGCAGATTGGAGGCACTCGTGGACTGAATGGATATCCATCCACCGCTCCTACCGCATCAGCCAACGGAAGCACCTTGCGTCACGAGACATGACATGTAGCAGCGGTACACTAGACCAAACACAATTGTCGGTCGGTGCTTCATTCTCACGATAATGATGCTCGAGAAATCAGGATCGAAGAGTTGAGCGTGCTCGTCCTTGTGCGATTATGCGTGCACCTCACATCTACGGGCACGAAAGGATTTGATATCTTACTATGACCATTCCATAACTCGTTCTCTTGGCCTACACTACTCTACACTATTTTTTGTCGGTTTCCGGCCCTTCAAATCGCACTCAAATTCAGTAGCAAAATCTACGCGGTCTAATTTACAAACCTTTTCTTCTTTCCAAGTCTCCATTCGATTATAAATAAAGTTGTTATCCAGTCTATAATTCGATCAATGCAATCAGTGCCACCAAGTCTTATGTGTCATAAGACTTGAGGTCCTCTATATATTGAGTTTTCAGATGTCATGGTATGTGAGGCATGAGTCACTTCGTTCCATATCTGTAGATTTCAGGATCCCACTCAGAGAATAGGTGTTCTCTAACATTCAACAAACCGTTAATTGAAACAGATCCAAAGATAGGTCGACATATGGAAGGCCCAATTCTGCGTTTGACCGCGTGTTTCGACATGATCGCCGAGAAAAATTATTTCAGGTTTAAGCAAGATAGCTAAAGTACCTTAAAAAGATCGAAATTAAAGAATTACTTACATTCGCGGTGAAGATCATAATTTGCAAAAGCATTTTGTGGGTATAGGAAGTAGAGTGCAAGATTTTCCAGGTGTAAAAAGACCATTTTATTCGAGGAGTTAAAGAGAAAAGTGGATGTAAAACAACGAGGGGAAAAAAAAAGAATGGCTAAAAGAGCATTTTGATGCTCTTTTGAATTTCGTTATTTGCCGTCAAAATGCAGAACCCGGATAAGTGAAAAGCCTTCGTACATCGTGCACTTGTACTTTTTTCTCGCGCAGGCCCTACCCCGGGGATCGGTTACCCAGGCGCGACGGCGGGGAGCCCAACGGATTAACGTTGTTGACGTTTTGAGTCTAGTGCAAGGATTTAGATCCTGTGCCATACTCCGGTGATCCTTTGCCGATGGGTGCGCGCACCCCATTCATCGTGTCCCAAACCCCACCTCGTGCGAGGAGATCTTGCACGTCGGTTCGGGGCCCTCTTATGGGTGAAGAAAAGTAACGTCAGGTGGTCGTTAAGCGCATCTACGAGCCTGATGAGATAACCTATGCCCCGTACAGGTGTACATATAGGTCTTCTCTTGTTCAAATTCTGCCTCATGGTTATATTTCACATATTCCTTGATTTGTTTTGCATTTCGATGTTTTAATAATATTTTAGAACGATGAAAGATTTTAGTAAGTAAAAATTTCCAAAAGTATATCAAATTTATGTCCAACGATGTTAGAACTAAATTGCAGTTCTATTTTGATACACGAGATCGTCGACTATATTCCAGAGTAGAGATAGTTCATTTGCATATATGAGAGAAAAATGGATTGGCAACGAATTAAGTCTCAAAGTACAGAGTATAGCATAAAATCATCGATCTATGCCTTTGGCACTGGAGAGATATAGAAACTATGAAGACAACTTCTACATATTTGACAGAATGAAAAAATAATATATAATAAAAAATAAAAATCATGAATATCATTAATTTCAACCTACGTATTTTCATTATTCTGTAAATAACACTAACTAATGCTATAGGGGTAATCACATTAACTGATCCCACATGAATTAATAAAGGGATGGATATAGTTGTATACAATCAGAAAAATTAGAAATTTTCAATTATTCAAGATATATATTTTCCGATATGATACTATTAAAACCGAACCCATGGTTTCATTTCCATATTTTTTTGTCATCTACAAAACGTCGTCACAAAAACTATGTATCAAACAAATACGTTTTGTTACTTGCTCGGATGGGCTTGTACGTACTTGCCATATACAGATGTGATCATGCTGTGCCCCACCATGAGAGTACTAGTCCCATGTGTTAAAAAATAAAAGACTCCTTGGTTGCAATCGAAGAGTTCGTAGACTAAGACAGAAGCATGACGGCTTTCAGAGAGACGTAATCATAACACCACATACAAAGTACTTCCCCGATCCGATAAGAATTGCTCCAAGATAACATGAAAGCGAATCTTTGTATAGGTACAAGACTGCTTACTACGACATGCATGTTAGTTCTCGCACCTCCCTCTAATTTCATACTTTTACATTACTAAAGGCACTATTCTCGGGAAGCCTACGAATTTTATTTCATTTTTCATCTATCATGGTTCCCAGACACTAGACTTCTTGCGTTGAACCCAACGTGACAGAGACGCAGGTCTGTATGTCCATTTCGAAACTCCACTTTTCAAGAACTAATGAACCTCAACAGATTCGGATAACGGCAGTTAAGTGGGGTGAATTAAAAAGTCCATTCTCAACACGTTGCTTTTGACGGCAATGTGAAGAGGAGCTGTTTGAGTGTGCAATGCGATGTTATAACGGTAAACTGCATTGACTTGAGTACCACATCGCTCTGTACACAACGCCAGTCCTTTCTACAGAATGAGGCCAGGCCCTTACGACTGACAGTGGGGAATATGTTCTATTAGTGTGACCTTCAATATGTCTCACATTGCAATAGAAGAATAAGGAGGGAACAATGCTCCACCAGTCACACTTGACGATTTACTGATTCATTGATAAAAACAAGGCTCGTAAGAGGACACATCAGAGGATTATCTGATCCATCCTTTTATGAACACAGTTGATTCTCGCACCACGTAGTAATCGCACCTCCCACAAAAAATTGACTAATGTACGCGATAATCAGACATAACGGTTGTGACCAAAAGATCTCCCATCAATTTTTACGTCACCGTAAGCTAAGGATATCAAAGTGGAACTCCAGGGGTTAAGATGACTGCACTTAACTGGCCCAGATGGAAAACCTTCATGAAAGCTTAGATCTCATTTTCAGTTAATCCACTATTTGTTCCCCGTTTTGACAATTCTAAAAGAAAACCTTTCTGTTGTGCTACCCTCTCAACTCTCAGAAGAGGGTAGACTATGTATGTTCTGTGAAACCTCAAATGCCTGACGGCAATCTTCGCCTCTCGCCTACCTATGAGCTACTACGACCGTGGAAACTCGACTAGCTCTTTGTCGGAAGAAACTTCTTTTGGTAAATGAATCGGACTTGAGTTACATCGTCCTTGGAAAGATGGAAGGCAACTTCACATAAATCTGTAAAGCTTCAATTGTCCTTAAATGTACATTTGTCACCAACAAAACCCTTCGGTGCCGTCAAGAATGCTTTCGTTAGATAGTCTTGATGAGGGTTGGACCCCGACGATCATAACGACTCTTTATGACGACGGGTAGCAAAACCAGAACGGCTATGAATGAAAACGTTGCGATGGTCCAAAAATCATACAAATCACCTAAAGAATTAATTGTTGACAAAATGCCGCCAGCCTTCACACCGACGACACTGGCAGGAATTAGACCCACGGTTGTACCTATCACGAAATCCCTGCACATAACAAGAAAGTTTTAGAACATGAGAGGGATTACGTTTATCCAAGATTGACACAAGTTCTCTGCATACGGTAGGAGTACTTCAGCTTGTGACGGCAAAAGAAAAGAGAACAGGGCAAACAGTTATAACTCGAGAGTGGAATATTACAGGTATTCAACAAAACATAAAATTCAAAACCTTCGAACTAAAGGTGTCCAGATAAGAAGTCTTAGTTTATGAGTCTGAGGATGTCATGATTGTGTATCTCTAAAAATGTGCCTCACTTCCAGCACGATGGTCACTGATGATGGACATGAAATACACAAGTGCTCTGATAAACGTCAAGGGAAATGTCACAACAATGACACAGAGAAAGAAAAGAGAACAGGGCAAAATAAAATCTGCACGTGTGAGATGCTACGAGTGCTGCGATTTTAAATTGTTTCAGAACCTCTACATGAGCAACATCGCAGGGAAGCAAACTATTTAACAACCTTGTACTCTCATCGCTGAGAAACCTCTTAAAGCAAGAGAATTGCTCTCAGCTTAAGCAAAAGACCAGGATTGTGAGCCCTGTAAATGTAGCCCTGTAGGACGTAGATTATGTCACAAATGGGGAGAACGGGTTCTAATCAAACATAAGAAAACGGAAGAGCACGTCCAGCTGTGTTGACGATAAGAAGCTGGGTTTCCAATACAGGAAACACATCTTCTGTAGGTTCCGGCGGTTTCTAAATAATTGAATCTCGTTATCGACTGCAAAGATTTCTGATATTACGATGGGCCAGGATATAAAACTCGACGAAATCTGCAAGCAAGCAAGCAAGCAACTCGACGTATTCTAACGTGCGGTAGATTGTAGGGCTAAATTGAAGAGGATACGCTGAAATCAATATCTAGACGGTGCATTCTGAACACTTCGTTAATCTACAAGAAACAACCTTAGCAACCTTCCACATTACTTTCACCGTGCCGTGCCTAAGAGCCCATGCTTCATACCGTGTTCTTTAAAAGGGCGATGCTATCAAGAGCTTGGATAAAAAAGAGAGCAGCTTTCAATATGAATCAAAAGATGGACTGATGTCCATACAAGTAACCGTTTACATGGAATTCAATAGTAAGAGCAATTAGAAGGTGACGGATGAAAAGAGAAAGATAAATCAGCTGATTTGATCCTCAAAGGAGCCCCTTAGAACATGGCAAAAGGATGAAAGCACCGAAGCATGACGTTTATGTAGTGTGTTATATTTTCTTCCTCACTCTGCTTGCAGTATTAAGGGTTGAATAGCGAAAAATCGGGAATAAATTAATGAGATAGGAATCTCTTATAAACTGTACTTAATGCCACTTTGCTGTCTTCAGGCCATAGCCTGAAGACCGTAGACCTCGATCCGCTGACTGAACGGTGATAGTGACGAGGCTCAAGGAAGAATTAAAGAAGGATAAAGAAGGAGGAACAGAGAGCTTCTCTTTAACTCTTCTACACCAGTTGCAAGAGCCTACTGAAGTAGGTAATATCCTTTTGCTGAACAGAAGGAAGGAGAATTGAAAACGACTGTGTTACGAATAATCTACTCACAAAAGTCAAACATCAGATCATCAGAAGGTACACCGTCAGCTAACAACACGTATAGAATGGTGAAGGGGAAAAAAAAAGAACCTAATTAACTGCTTGACAAATTGTTAACGGAAGATGGAAATGCTAAGGTTCAATTTTGCTTATGCATTTGTGAATAAATGCATAAACTTCCCCTCCGTTTGATTCATAACTGAGTGAAGGATGAAAATGAAAACGAAAACAAGTATGTACAGATAAATCACGAATGAACCCAGATCAAAGAGTTGATATCCTTATCACGGTCACCGTCAATACAAATCTTCTCCCAATTTGTTAATAACTAGCAATTTCAATCACCTGAGAAAGTGTAACTTTCGGTCTGCCACAAGCAATCGCTAAAATTCAGAATGGTGAAACAGTTCGATATTTTCACATACCAATTAAGTAACCAATCCATATTAAGAAAATATGGTAGAGTCTCCGATCGATGTGTTTAGGTCAGGTACTGATTCACTTTTTTTTTGTTCATTGTTACAAAATAATGTGCCAAGAGAATTCTGTTACTCTTTCAGCTAAAATCAGACGACGCCTTGACACAATCTGCATGTTTACGAATGTTATCTTGGCAAAGAAGTTTGAATATATTCTTGATAATACGGAAAAAGTGAGGTTGGAATACGGTACCTGTAAGGGACACCAACAAGTGGAGACGATACATTGATGAACCAGTTGGGCAGTATAGGAGTAATTCGTAAGAATAGCATATAGTTTAACAGGTTGTGGCGATGGCGGTGAACTTCTCTTGCCAGCCACTCGCAACGGTCGGGAAAATAATAATACACAATTTCTTTCAAGATGAAATTGGAAAGACAGTAACAAAGCGACGAGCCAGCTCCAGCGAGTATCTGGCACACATAAATTCATCATTTGAGTATGTCGCATTCAAGGTATGACTTTTGACGGCATGAAGGCATGATTGCTAAGGATCAGTCTGTTCCAGAACCGAGCTAATCTAAGCGGCGTCCAAGTGTCATGTGCACCCCGTCTATTGCAGAAGTGAACCGACTTCGGCGCTGTCCCCGAAAGTATTCAATCACTGCTCAGTATGAAACATCGAGTTCTGCGACCGAATCTCAAGGCACTGTCAGACTCATGAACGAGAAAACACAAAGGTATATGACTAGGGGAAGAGATGGAGTACCAAGACGAGCAGCAATGCTTCGTAGAATCCGTAGAGCGATCCGGCCAAAATGTTGATGAAAATGGAACCCGGGATCATGAAGGTCTGAAGAAAAAGGTAGAGACATACAATTCCTACTTGAACCTGTCTCCGATGCTCTTTCTGATAAACTTCAAGAGCTCCCCTAATCACTCTCAATTCGCCCATGTTTTTTGGGAACTTGAACAAAAGTTGAGGATTGTGATCGACCGCCTCGATACCCAACCTTTCGACCGACACATCTCTGCCACCTTCCAGTCTGCCTGCTCTTCCCGCCTCGAGACCCTCGTCCGGCCGGTGTATTTTCGGTAAGGACATGAAGAGGGCGAAGATCATGGAGAAGGAGACACTGAAGATGATGGCCAGAATCAGGAGCTTTCGAATCCATAAGAATTTATCTATGCGGGCGGCTTTCAAATTTGAAAGCACGTCCGAGCCGAGCGACGCATCGGGATACACGAGACTGGCGTCATCTTTGTAAATCGACGAGGAGTCCTTGCTGTACAGGGGAGCCGGCTTCCCATAGATGGAGAAGGTTTCCTCCTCGATATCGCTCCCCATTCCCGATGAGCCGCGCTCAACATCCGCATGAGTGTCTCTGGAAAATGCCGAATCCGCACGACGAAGTAAATACATGACGAACACATGTACGATTGTTGTATTTACATATGATGCGGTCACGCGATGTCCTCCGTGCAACTCAACACGATGCCATGGCAGACAATTCAAAAGACGCCAAAGTGGATGGTGCCTAAGACTCGAAAACATTCATGATTTAGGGTGAATGAGAAGGTAGTCCGACAAAAGGTCGGAAATCCTGCGACAGGACACAGCAGTCAACCAGTGCTCTCTCCCTCTGCCTAGAACAAGCTCAAGTGAACGTGCAAGTATAAGACACAGAGCTCTGCTCTGGCACACGCAATCAACGTTGCAACTCAGGTAACCTCAAATCCGTGCGTTGGGGTGCTCACGACCAAATCCACACAAGACGGAAACTTGATAGATGAAAGTCCGTATGTGTACGTTTTCCATATCTTTATCGGATCGAGACGATACGAGTGACCACGACGGCGAGCGATGAGGCCGGGAGTTGGCATCCGGCAATTAAGTCTAGCAGTCGCTGTTGATTCAGAACTGCAAAGGCGATGGAGAAAGGACACAACATCGGTATCTTACCAAATGCTATAGCTAAGCACACACTCAACGCTCAATCAATCCAATCACGTACACGAGCCTAGAACAGCTGACTTTCACGACACTAACACTGACACACACTCCAGGGGAATGACAAACTGCGTCTCTCGGAGGGAGGGAGTGAGTAAAGTAAACGCTGCTGTAAGCTCCAGTGCACAGATCTATCTACCTTTTCCTGCCTGCCATCCCTAGGAGCACATTCACATCAAATGCCAGTCTGAATTGTTCAATGATTTCGTGTCAGAAGCGAAGATATGCCCTTGCCACGTGTGCATGGTCGCAGGAACCGAAAAGCAATGCCCACAAAAGCCAAAATTATGCACCATGCGAATGTGGATGCTCGAGTAATTTTCTGCAGTGAGCTACCATGTCAAGAACGACCAGGCACGTCCCAGCTTTGAATCAGTCTTCTTTCACTGATCCGCCCTTTCCCACCCCACCCCACCCCTACCCTTCCCTTCCTATCCCTGCTGAACTCTGTCCCTTCCCTGCCCCTGCCCCTGCCCCCCTTGCCTTCCTTCTGTTCTGTTGTCGCTGCACGGTCAACTCAAAGGCTCGCAGCGGTCGCAGCGGCAGCAGCGGCCAATGCACAGGAAAGCAACGAGGGTTTGCGGCCAGCTAGATGTGCCAATTCTTCTGCATCAAACTCCTACTAGTTCTTACTGAGACTGCAGCTGCATCCTTCGTTCGCACCCCGATAGTCACCCAACGAAATTGTGCGTTAGTTCGACACACGGGATTCGCGGATACTGTCAGGGAGATGCGGAATCGACGACGTGCGGGTGACAAATTCACCGAGGGATGGCGTAGGGCCGTCGATCGCGAGAATTTATCGCGCGCCGTGTGTCGAACTAACGGGAACAAGTTCCGATTGAGGTCCTAAGTCGGGCTGTGAATGGACAGGGAACGAGGCAAGAAAGTGGAGCGAGCAGCGGAGGAGATGGAAGATGGCGGCTGGGCGGCTAGATGGCCTGATTTTTGAGTCTGTCCTGGACGCAGAGGAGGGCAGGAAGAGGTGAAAATCGAAATTGCAGCACTCCTCTTACATGATGTCACTTGAAGGCGGCAAGTCAGCATCACAAACCGCAGGCGGCACACGCTGCATTGTGTCGAAAAACCGCAGCAACAAATGTAATCATCCATCCATACTCCACTCGATCAAACTACTCATTATTTCAACTCACTCACTCTCTCATCTACTTGTTAATAAATCCCATCATTCCTCGTCGACGAAATTGCCATCCCCGCGCGAATTCTCCGCCATCCCCGGCCCTCCCGGCCGCCGGTCTCCGTTCCTACCACCGCAATCGAGCAAAGTCCAAAAGATCGTCGTAGATCTGAGCTCGGGGCCTCTCTTCTCCTGCCACAACTCCGCGCCGGAGGCGATCCGGAACAGGTTATTCAAACAATCCCTCAGATGCGATTATCGGTCGTGTAATCCCGGCGGGACAGACACACACTCTCGGACGGGCCGGTCGCTGGGATTGGCGCCCTTCCTGCAGGCTTGCATTCGCTCCTCCCTGCCGTCATTCACTGACTCAGTCATTCGTCGCGTCTCCTTCACCTTTCCGGCAGTTCATGTCGACTCAGAAGCTCTCTTCTTTCCCTCCCCACCACCACCAACACCAGCAGCTGTAGCTGCGCCACCTTCTCGCAACTCTGTACTCATCTAACTTCTTCTCCTACACTCTGCCCTCTCTGCTACAACTCCCCCGCCCTTCCGTCTTCGTCTTGTCCCCTTCCTCCTTCCTCCTTCCTCCTTCCTCACCGCTGCTGCCGACAGACCGAGAATGGAAGACGAGACAGACGGACAGACGGACGCTTTCTATCACCAAATCTCTGCTCTGTGCTCCAATTGTTGCCTTTTTGTTCCATCTCGTACCCTCGCCCAAGGGCCCCCGTCAATTTTATATATACCCCCCCTCCACTCTCCCTCTCTCTGTCTCCCTCTACTCACTCCCTCCTCCTTTCGTCATTCCTTTCCACACATGTTCGCTGCCTATTGCCTCTATCGGCCCCGAAAATCCGCCTCGCCATTTTCTCGACTCCGCAATTCATTTAAAAGCTCGGATTTTCGATTTTCCGCGTGATTTGCTCTCTGTGTTGTGCATTTTGCGCTGAAAGTGCGTCACAAGAAGAAATCGGCGACCGGATTAGAATCCTGCTCGAGCCTTCCTGGCGGGCCTCATTTCTCAAACCTCATCATAGACGACGTACTCCGACTTTGATTATACCGTTAAATTCCCTGCGTTGATCGAGCGGCCGGCCGTACCATCCATCATTCAAATACGGCGACGACTGACATCCACCTCCTCGGATACAGTACTCCGATCCTTCGTCGCGTACGACTGGTCCCAAAAGTCGTGGTCGTACGTCATGGTTGAGACGGTTGGATGCAGTTTCCACTGGAGCACCGTGGTGCGCGTCGTAGGCGGCCGAAGGAGCGCACTCAGTGCGTGCTAAAAGGTTCCGCCTGGTGTAGATTCGGACACCTAGAGTAGTAGCTAAGTATCGAAGAACCGTAGAGATGGAGGACCGCTTTAAATACGACTTTCCGTATACCTTTCCGTATGCTTTGCTGGGACAATATTTCTGGATAGACATACTTTGCGTACGGATGTTTTCAAGAACTTCGGAGCCGCGTTATCCAAGTTGCTGATGGTGCCACTCGATCTCCTCTGAATGCGACGTCGACGTCAAAGGCTCTGCGAAAGGGCAGAAGTTCGTCGCATGGAGGCCAAAGGCAGAGGCCAGTCCATCGAATCGACCAAGTACACAGAAGAAGATGATCCGTTCACGAGAAGATTGTACTCGAAAGTCATGATCTGCGAAGGGGCAGCGCAATTTACAGTTCAGCAGGTGCCAAAATTGGAAGGACCACGATGAGTTCTTGAGAAAAGCTTGACCTAGCTTTCTTGCTGGCTGGTGCTCGCGTGCCGATAAGAGCTAAAAGTGTTCGAACCTCGGAGGCGACCGGACGTACAGCTTCAAGCTGGCTCTCTTCCTTAAAAATCTTTACTTAAAGGAACGTTTGTAGTTTTGCAATTTTGCCTCTTGCGATTGAGTTCGATTCTCTTTTGCTGTTCTTTGGAGACCGATCGTTTAGGTTCATGGTCCTGACCTTCTCTCTTCCACACTTGCTCGCTGCCCTTTCCTTGCCACATGTTACTGCCAAACGATATGCGCTTGAATATGCCCACCTGCATTTCACAATTGAATCACCGTGGATGCACAAAAGTTTCTGCAGCTGATTGCGAGAAAGTCAATGGCATGATGTCCGATGTGGTGGAAGTCGCTCTACAGTTTGATGCTTGTATCTTACCGGACGACCATGGACACAGCAACATTGACCAGACTTGGCGTAAATTGTCACCGATCCTGAAGACGCGTTCGCCATTTTCATCTTCGCCCCTCCCCGCCCGACAGAGAATGTAAGACCAAGCCTCCTCTTCGAAACGAAAAATGTTCCATATGCATTCGGAACCTATGACTTCGGAACCTATCACAGCAACATAGACTCTTCCATCTCCTCTGCCCTCACATCTCACTACAAAGATGAAAATCGCCTCCACGAGTAACATCACCATCCAGGGGACAACAGCCATATCCTGCACATGTTACTTCATCCTTGTCATTCAGTTGAATTAAGTGCCGTATTTACTGGTGATGTCAACTTCCTGTAACTATGTATCTCCACCACTATCTACTAAGTATAGGAGTATTTTGGAGTGCATTTAGCACCAACAGAAAATAAAGCTGGAGCCAGCTGAATAAACAGTGATAAGTTTGAGATGACATTGCACAGACCTGATTTAAGTTTTTGATACGAACATCTTCCGCAATTACTCTAGGTTAACGGCAGTTCAATACTTAATAAGTAATATTCAACCTCTAATCAGAATTGTGTAGACATATAATCGGCTGTTAGCGGCCCAAACTCATGTTTTCTTTTATGGAGAATGGTTTCGTGAAAATATGAGATTTTCAACTGCATATCACACCGGATTGAGTCTGAAAGGAAAGCTTAATGTGACACAGTGCGCTAGATCTTACCATCTAGACAATACAATATTTTTTAAAAAAACATATGTTTAGCTTAGATTTAATTAAAAGATTTTTTTTATGGACATAAATTAGATCTTAATTTTCCTTGAAAGCATGTGTGATGACATTTTGGATGCAAGCTATAGTTTCAAACTTACATTATATGCACATTTCAGATGCAATATTGTAATGTTATCCTTTGGTTTCATCCTACGAGAGCTTGATGACCTCTGCTCATAATTTTTAGTATAATACTTACTTTGAGACTTCAGTAATACACCTCTGTCCGATATAAACTGTAATTCAAAAATATTTGTTTCTAATTATGATAAATGGTTGAAATGTTTTACATTTGACTTCAAGCATTGATGTTTGCTATTAGACTTGAATATATATTCCATTAAAAAATATTTTTTGATCATTTTTTATGCATATTTTTTGTAAATTGGATAGCATTTGTTGATTTTTCATACATTTGTTGATACACATACATAATTGTCTGAGACATGTTTTGAGTAATGTTAGAACTAGAATCAAAACGTTTCATACTACTGTTAGTTCAAAAATTAAAATTTACTCCAGTATAATATATCCAACTTATATATAAAAAATTTAAAAAATTTCTATGAATAATTTTCACATAATACGTAACTCAAATGAATTTTTTTAAATATTATTTTCTAACTATGAATCGAGAGTGTTGATTTTAAAAATAAGTTCAGAAAATGATTGACAAAAAGTTATGTAACTTTCAAAGTTATTACTAAGATCATAGTCATAATTTTTGAAACTCTAATATTAAAAATTAAAGCGTTAATCGTGATACATATCACAATTTTTCAAGGAGTATTAATAGTTTATTCATAGAAATTACTAAACATTTCTGTAATTCAAGCATTTTTTTGAGATAAGTGTAAATTATCATTTGGAGTGATGTTTTCAATCAAAATTTCTATCATCTTATGTTTGTTTTTTTCATTTATATTATCATTTATAATTTTATCAAATCTAATTAACTATAATTTAAATCTATCCCACTTTAAGAACGGAAATAACCTATTCAATGAATATTTAAATAGGTAAACCGTACAATTCATGATCAATTCATCTCTTCGTTGATATCTTTCAATCTGTTTATATGTGCTATGTTCAATAATAATCAAAGAAGGAAGTAAATGCAAAAAATAGAAAAAATGAATTTCACTAGATTCCAAAATGATAATGTTGTTGAATACAATAGTTCTGATTTTCAGTAATTGTCTTGTAAATTGACTGTATAATGAATAAAGGTGTTGATCGTGTGTTAGAGTGTACTGAAATCGCACTTGCATTTTTAATAGTTTATATTATTTTTTCTTTGATGAAATAAAAAGAATCTTCAGTTTCTAAATAGCCAAAGCACGTTGAAGTTAGCTTTTCAACCTAAGTTCCATACTCCAAACAAGCACGTTGTTAGCCAAAATAATTATTGGAATAAGAACAAAAGTGTATTTTAAGCAATAAACTGATTCAAAGATTAGGCTTGAAACCTTTAACCATTCGATACTGGAAGATAATATAAATTATAATCCAGTTTTTGATTCTAGATCAGGAGCTGAATATTACAGCAACGAGAAATATTACTTGATGCATGAAATTGCATTCACGAATTTCCTCATGTCCGAATTCGGAATTTTTACGTATGAAGCACACAAGGAGTGTGCTTCATTCATAAAATTGAAAATACTGAAGGCGAAGTTAGTGCTTGTACGGAGGAATCATCTGCAAGGTGAGTAGCAAGCATCAGCAGATCTAGGAACATGTTTGATCTGATTTCTTTATTCCGATTTCATCCTTATTCGATGAGCAATAGGAATGTAAACCACGCCGTCAGTAGACGGAGGATTGTTGCTAGTGGTTCTAGTTTAGACTAACGGACAAGGCTACACATTTTACTGTTTGTGTTACTGCCAAACGATTGAAATGCCACACAGAACAAGGGAGCATGTCGTGCCCACCAACGTAGAAGGAATTACATATCGAAGAATGTTATCTCTTCAAGATGTAGGAAGCGATTTTCCTCACAAGTACATTAAACTTATTTCTGTTTTGAGAGAAAACTGCGTAGCTCTACTGAAGAGAATACGATCATGCTTTCGAGCCGCCAAATGTTGCTTCAAAGCTGAGTTAGATAACATCTTTTAGACTTTAGCTCGAACCAAAATTGGTGCGAGGAAGTTTCTGCGAGTTGAAGAGACCATAACATTGGAAGAAAGTGGAGTTACAAATAGAAGCGTCAATCCTGTCGTACAAGCTAACCGCTCGTGTGGCTTTTAAAGAAGAAGTCAGTCGAAGTGATACATGATTTGATCAATGGATCTAGAGCTTCTCCCCTGATTAACGTATTTGTAGCTGGAGTCAATATACGTCGAATCATCTTGAAGAGTGATGTGAGGATCTCCAACACCTTTTATATGGATGAATGTAGTTAGAAAACTACATTTGACATCTTGAGTGTGGAATCCGGATTCGCACCATCTAATACAGAGATTAGAAGCAGTACATGGACATCAGGTACACTTATATGGAGAAGGTCTCTCCAGATTGATACATAATCGTAATGCATATCATCTTGATATCTTCTTTGATGTCCAATAATATAAACTCAACACTATGATCACTAACTGTGGATGGATCTCTAGAACAATAAGCCAAAGGACCATAAAATGTCTTACCTGGAAAGAGTCTCCACCTTGATATCATGTGACTCTGTACAAGCCAAACAATTAAGGATCAAAGAACTTTCTCAATGAACTAGACCAAGAAGGGGATTCTGCTTCGAACATTCAATCCTGGTAGATCGTTCACATATTCTTACTACAACGAACAAACATTCCAAATGCCTGCAGACTGTATGACAAGATACACATCTAGACTGCTAATCGAACTCACCACTGCGCCTCTTGCGACATTGTCTCGGGGTATTGGCCCAGGAATCTAGCTCCATTCACTTGATATTGCATATACGCGCCATAACTCCACTTTTTATTCAGAGTACCTTCACAGATTCTGGTATGAAGTATCCAATTTCATTGGTAGTATTCAGACAGAGTTTCATGGTATTGCTCCAGAGAGATATTCGATACACATGAACTTAAGCTTGTCTTCCCGAAAAATCAGTTTCCATCCACTGAGCAGAATCGATGCGCCAATGAGATGATTACTTATCCAACAAAATGCCGCGTATGATCGTCCGAACTAGTCTAAAAGAAGAATGGTGACATTGCTTAAACATTTGAAGTCATAGAGGAAGGACACGAATTTCTTCCTTCTTTATCGTTGGGACATTTGAAGGTAAATAAACCTCATATCCAGAAGATGAAGTCAGCAACCGGCTGGAGAAAGGAAACATGTGATCGTGGGTTATTGTCAAATCACCGACTTATGATGAGCTAGATATCCAGGACCTCCAAAAGCCAGTAATATTTTACCTTGTCGAGACAAAAAATTGTCCAGATTCTGAGAGACTTTTTGCATTCATCTAATGACGTAGGAAAGTGCACACAAATCTAAATCTTTCTATGGATCACAAAGGTTATATCCATTATAGAGACAATTTCAAGTTGTAAGTCTGCAATGCCCGCGCAGTAGTAAGAAGACGGAAATGATGCAAAAATCCATTTCATATCCCTGGCTTCATGAGCTTGTAGACGAATAAAGCGCAAATCAATCTATAATATGATACCCAAAAAAGTGAACAGTCATCAGACGTATCAAACAACCATGGGATGAGATTCAAGGAGGGTAGATTATGAGACAATTTTAGACTCGGTCAAGTTTCAGCTGAAGATGACTTCTTCCACTTTAGACTGCCGGGCCAAGCCCACAGAGTAACGTTGTATACTTTCGAAAAAGCCAGGAAGGAACCTCAGAGCCTACTTCTAGTCAACCGATTCGGATCCGGAAACGTTGCCATTCCCTTCTTCTTCATCATCAGCTATCTTCCGAGAACCATCGTAGATCTGCTTCACGATAGTACTCAGAGTCAAAGCCAGCAATCCCTCGATGTTCCACTCCAAGGAAACCTCCAGAAGAGCAAAGAGAACACTCCGATCCACTTTCAGATATTCTGTGTCCCATGCCTTTTCAGCATCGAGAAACACTTCGGCAGAGTTTTCATTGGCATGTCTTCTCCTTCTATTGCTCACATGATATTCGCAGTATTTGAGGACTTTGGAAAGTAATTTACTGGAGATGCGATCGAGATGAATCGGTGCATCTTCATAAGCCCGTTCTTGTACCATGTGCCTCAAACTCTGGAACTCACACACCACCTCTCGATCTACTTGGAACTCTACATTGTCTGCGGACCACAGTCTGACTACAGTTGGCTGTTCATGTGATAGCTGTTCACTCGTAGTGTCCGCCATAACTTCGAACTCCCAAGGGCCCACCTACCATGCCACAGTACACAGTATTCGCTGTATAAAAGGCAGACCCACAATTTTCCACCTTCTCTTTTGTCAAATCACCCAATAACAGGAAAAACGTGCATGGCCTGGTCTTTCAAAGGTCAATCACCTCAAACAAAAGTAGACCATCGAGCACAGAAAAGCTTCACAGCCAAAACTCTGCAGCTGTCATGTATTCTTCTGAAGCTCGGATGGAGAGATCGGTATCCTGTCGGACTTGTAGCTTCCTGGTCACTCTTTCCAGCGCGAATCAAGTCTGGCCCTTTCAGCCGACCTGAAAAGAACCCGAGGAATAGACAGCTCTAGAGCCGGCACTAACATACTCACGGCTCTGAGCCTGCTTGATTCTGAGGGCTCGCAGTCCCTGGATCCGGTTTAAGGTCCAGGGACATGGAGGAAAATGCCCTAATTTCTCTGAGGGAGGAGCAATTCTCTCTGCCGAAAGACGTTGGTGGCAGGTGCAGCAGACAGCTTCTGGAGCGCTCATTACACTCACTTGCTCTTCCTCCATGCCTTCAAAACCCTCGTACATGTGGACGACGCAGTACGTGGTCCTCAACCGTTGCTTGCACCGCTTTTAGACTTGCGTGGGGATCTTGATTCCGAGATTCTGACAGGACAAGCATGTTCAACGGGAATTCTATGTCTTGAGTTCTAGAAGGTTGTCAAGAAAAGATACATGTCGTCTTTCTTTTGCAGGATTGAACAATCAAGATCTGTCTTTTCTATGAGAAGATCGATTGCCATGCGTCTCGGGATTGCCGACCGAACCATGAGCTTCTGACTGGTACATGGCTTTCCATGTACATGTCAACGTCAGAACGTAATTTGTCCTTCCGTTCCATCAGATTGTTCACTCTCCTCGATATCTCACATGCAGACCTGTATCTGCATCATGTTCTTCTCAAGGAGCATTGTTGAAACACCGGTAGCGTAGATAGTGATAGAATAGATGACGGACGACCAACACGAGCCGTCACCTTGTTATATACGCCTCGGGCTTAACTGAATTTTTTTCTCCATTTCAAGAGATAGTTCGTCGCCATGAAACCCAAATCCGACAAAGCTGCGAGTTGCAATTTCTTTCAACAGGTAATCTCGGTATCAACGCGCCTCATTCTCGCATCACATGGATGATGGAGAACAATGTATCAGAAAACCGGGCGAAGCCAAGATTCGTATCGGGTCAAAATACCAATTTTTCAACCAGCCCGTAAGTTGCCAGCTTATCGAATGGTAGATCGATACATGATCCACGAAGCCCACTAACGCTTTGAATTATCTCCTTAATCTAAAAATTTCCATTCAAAGTTCAAGAACCTCTTCATAATTGTGCTAAGAATGCTCGAAAGAGTCGACCCTTCAATATCCTGCCTCTTTGTTACCGAGTAGCTAGGAGTTCCAGAAGCGTCGCTTCTTCTGTCCTGATGCCAGGTTCCGAATCGAGCCTTGTGAGAATCAGACAGTAGGGTTTGTTTCCATCACTTGAACGAACGAAGCCATGCAGAATAGCGGGAGAGAACGAGGAACCGTAAACCCTTCATTGTTGGAGAACACGAACTCATGCAGCACGGCGGCCAAACTTGCTGGTCTCCTTGGCGGTTGTGGTGGCCCGTGATAGGTGATGACTCGCCCATACGGAGGACTATCATGTGCTGAGAGTGGGTGTGGCTCAGTACTTGCCAAGCTACTCAGAGTGGGCCGGGAAATTATTAATCTAATGATACCAAATGGAGGGACCAAGTTATCGTCTCTTTTGTTTTCATCCAAAAGTCTCGACCAACGTGAGATGGCAGTTTCGCCATGAAAAGAAAAGAAAAGAAAATATATTAACAATTAGGAAAAAAGATAAACAAACAGGTTTGTTTTTAGCAAGTTCCAATCCTTTCGTTCAAAAGTCATTTTTTTGTACTAAATGTCTCGCGAAACCAGATGGATGAAACCAAACAAAATGGGTAGCATGGGTTTACGAATTAGATAGTATCGCCAAAAGTATGCTGTAGAGCTTTTGAACTCGGTAATTTTCTGTGCTCTTTAAAATAGATCAGATGTCGGTCGGAATAGACCAAAGAGCTCGAAAAATTTGCAGCCCTACGCAATGCTGGATGGTGAAAAGCAGTACGGCCAGAAAATCTGGATAGTGTGACCAGTACAGTATATGTCACCTTCCAATGGTGACATATACCGGTACCTAGAGTTAAGACCACTATTGCAAGGTGGTCACTAATACAAAGGAGTACCGTCTAACTCTAATATTTTAAAATACTTGTGAGAAACCGTTGTGGATGTGTGCAAGTACTAGTTAAGGTTGTTATATTTCCTGCGTGTACACAGGACATGATTTCTTTGAAGATATCTACTCTCTTTGTCCATTAAATCAGCGGTCTTGCCTTTAATTAGACTAGATTCAGAAACCAAACTTACTCATTTACAATATCACAGTCAATGAAGACATCGATGAATGCGGCATCTTACATGTTGGATGATGTTGAAGCAGCTGGTGTCAGTTCTTGTTCTCCTCCAAGCAAGCGTATAATAATTTATCTGCGTCATTGGGAACTGATGGCTTTAAGCCAAGTCAAAATCTTCACGATGTTTTAAACTGAAAAAAAAGTTATTGATAATTATTGTTGACAGCGATGACGATGATGATATTTGTCTCCACATTTTTATCTCCAGATATATAAACTGATTCCTCAATATGGCTATATGGCCAATGACAATATTACTCATGTGATTCATATTTCACATGCTAATGCAGCAATTTAGAGCTTTTACTCCCAATTACATTCGTCGTAGCTGATATGCTCGCATGAATGAAAATGGTGGGATTTCCTAGTATCTCCGAAGGTTAATATTCACTCTCTCGCACTACAGGTTAAAATCAGTGAAAAGAATTCTCAAAACACGTGTACAGTCATTTCTTGAGGATTTAGATCATAGTTGCTTTACAATTCACTCAAAGAAGAAAATAAACTCCATACACGGACCTCGAAATAATTCTCATGAAGTCCGTCAGGAAGCACATATCACAAGACCGGGAAAGAAATTTTGTTCATCTTAATTCATCCACATCGTCAATGATTCCAGGAGTCCGAGGTATTTTTCATGTAGTTATGAAGCATGTGTACAAGTTCAGGAAGAGAATCTGGCCAAAATGGTTCAAACCAGCTTCGATAATGACAGCAACAACTGACTCCTTACTAAGGGGTCATTGCCGGCATAACTTGTAATTCACATCTTATTCTAGTTAAAGGACTTAATATATTGTGACGTATAAGACCTAAATTCACTGCAAGGTTAAGATAAGTTCGTCAGTTCTTGGAACGTCATGAAATAGTCCAATCGAAAAATTTTAAAACTCAACTGTTGACAACAGATTTAATCGTCTTGGACCAGAATTTGTGAAAGATTTTATATGTGAATAATAAATAACCTTTTTAAAATATAGACAGGTGTCACACAAAGAAAATTGAAAAGAAAAAAGCCATTAGGAGCTTGTTGAAGTGTGTCATCTTGTGTAGAATACATCAAGCGACTTCAAAGTTTTACTTGAAGAAGAGAGAACTAACGTAATGAACTAATGTAACTGATTTTTCAAAATTTTCATGAGCTTAAGGTTGCAATGGATTTCCTTCAAAACTTTGAATTAGCTCAAGACTATTCGAAATATTATACAATATTGTGCAATATTTTTAAGGAGTGGCTAATTATCTCTCACACTAGACTAATGTTCCCACGCTATGCACTATTTCTCCCTTTCATGTCCCCACGAAGACTATATTCTACATCTCGTCCTGTCTTTTCATGGTATTGACCAATCACATAACTCTGTATAGTAGGGTGAGAGACATAATTAGTCGAAACTGAGTGATAATTAACTCCCTAATATTATAATATCTTTATATATTGTGAAGATTATTGTTCTATCTTAGCACATGAAAGATGGATTATATATTTAGATCCAGCGAGAAGACCATGACAAATGCATTTACTCTAGTAATGTCAAATATTTCACCAACTAGCTTTCAGTTTATATGCAATAGGAGTGTCAGAGCTCTCAGATACAAGTTTTAGAAGATTTAATCCAAAATGAGAAGAACATTTGAATTGGGGGTCAACATTGCAAGAAGATGAGTTCAATAATTTCAAATCACCTGCATTTTTCATATCATATGAAATGTAAGTTGTTTCATGTGAATGAATAACTAGTGTAACAACATCTTGTAATCATATGACTCGGAACACATATAGAGAGCAAATGATTGTTATCCTTCATTCCAGTATGACTATTTGCAATGACCAGTGCTAATAGAATTTTCATACACTATCGCAAACTACATATTTTTGCAAGGCATATCTACACGAGTTTTATGTGAGGGTTTATATTCGTATAGAAATAAGTATAAGTTTGATAAGATAATAAATAATAAGTTAATTCAATTGAATTGTCATATTGGTCAATTCAATTGATAATAAAAAATAAGATAATTCAATTGAATTGATAATCCAGCTAGTGCTTTATACAAGATAAAATTAACCTTAATTTTAAATCATCTTCCGGGCACTTTTTCTTAGAGTACATAAAGTGAATATTCTATATATTTTTAAATATATTGATGAATTTGATACTATTGGAGTATATTTAGAGTAACCGTTTGGTTTCATACTAGATGGATTAGTCCCATTTTCTTATTTAGTTGGCATCCCATCAAATTAGAATATTTACGAATGGTATTCTAGAATGATGGAGTTAATATTTGGTTTGGACGGGCCAGTTCAGTCATAATGTCTCAATTTCGAAATTTACATATACAGCGCAATAATCTATGACTACGACGTATAGATTGACCGCATACGGGAATGGAGAAAGAAAAGCATTGACAGCTACCTCTCCTAGATTAGCCAGCTAGGAGGAATCATGGCCACATAAAGTTATGACTATAGTGTAGATCTATTTTTCTATAAAGTAAAGTTGAAATATAAGACCGAAGTAAATTGTTATGCTGAATCCATCTGGAATTGTCAAAGCCGAAGATGAGCGCTTTACGTTGAGGATATCTCTTTTCACCCAATAATTCAGTGAAATAAAAGTTTACATGTCGTTCCAGAAAAACGTCAGGTACCTACTTTAAAAGAATTATGGTAAGAGTAGAAGTAACGGTTGAATCTAGAAATAATGCCTTGATCCATTTTCATTTTTAAAGTACAGTTTCTAAAGTAAAAAATTTCCAAAATAGACAAAAGTGTGTGCGTAGATCCAAATTGTGAGTAGCCCAGTTCAACTGAACGCAATCAAGATATGAAAATAAGTAACGGACACTATCAGAAGCCAACATCACAATAGTTAAGAGTTTCAAAACAACGAATTTGACATAAAAAAGAATATACGAATTTTTAAATACATGAGAAAACCAACACTAGTAAGTCACACGCGTCATTACATGTCTATGATTTCGCGAAAGTAAGAGGAACCTTTGCTACACAAAGAATTCGATACTGCTAATGCGCATGATTGACATTGTCTGCATCTGCATGGAATGATATATGGTGAGCAGATATAACAACCGGAAAGATACTCTCATGACTAGAAAACCCGAAATTTATTCTGCAATATACTTTAGTGGCATTTGGTAGTAAGCCTCATGAAATTTACCAGTAACCAATTTCTGAGAGAGATCATTCACAGACAATTTGATGGTCCGGCTGATGACTTCGAATTGGGATCATCAGTCGTGCTATTAGCGGCCAAGTTTACAGCACTACACGATCACTCTGCGAGTAGGAGCTCTTTTCGCAAAACTTACAGATTTAAGTCCGAATAAGAATTTACCCCGTTTCTGTTTCAAAAATATGCGAAATCGATCATTTTGAGATCGAGTCGTTCTTCGTAGCTCTTGCTTACGCCGCAGTCACTGCACTGAAGGCTGTGCAATCGAGCTAAAACAACTGGAAATCCTCCAAATAGAAATGATTTGGGGGTAACTTTGGGTCCAGTCTCTTCAGCAGTCCTCCGTCCAGCAACCCTCACGTACATCTCATTACCGTTCAGCAGCTTCAGCTGCAATCGCTGAAAATCGTCCATGTGAATATCGACCCAAGAATGGGCTCTGGTCACAGTTTTAAGAACTCCTAATGAGGCATAAACTATGAGCGTATGAACTGTAATCACATTGCACCACCTCGGTATCAAGCAGCCCGGAGATGTGTAAAAGCCTATATGGAACTGGGGTACAGTTTCTCCAAACCTTGACACACACTTTGGTGGCATCATCTGCGCACGTGCCAACGATGAAGACTGTGTCGCAGTCTGAGCCGCCAAGCCCAAAACTAGAGATTTTCACCCTACGATTCAAATTAAAGATAATTTCTTTTAATATATCTGAAAAAATAAACCAAAATATAAGATATTAGATGTGTCAATCTTTTAGATAATCATTTATCAAGAATAAATATTATACTTAAAATACCAAGATTTGTGCGATACTATATACTGTGCAGTATTACGTCTTATCGTGTTATATTATCATTTCATCCATGCACTAGTTGATGGGCCTTAAAATACTTTTTCCAGTCATACATTTTATTGTTCTTTCCATTAAAAATAAACCTTACCAAAGTTCATGATCGACGAAGGCTATGTATAAATGGATGTCGTTTCGTATGAACGTCTGTGCACTATCTGATTCACAGTAACGATATGAGTGCAAGACGAGACTGAAGTCATGTGGTGCAGTTTCAATTGATGCAAATGGTGAGACTTGGAGATGGAAACCGTCGAGTGTTCCATTCCAGGGAACCAGTGATTTAACTTCTCCACTTACCTGGGGAAAGAAGCTCGATGTCCGGCATTATCTGCATCGATGGATTTTGCGCTTACTTCTTTGATAGGGGCGGAGACGAGGCTAAATCTGCAGGCCAGTGAACTCAGTCAGAGCAAGCTTCAGTCTCTCCTCGCTCCAGTGTTTTCCGCAAACGGGCCAAAGAAGATTTTATATTGAAATCGGCCCCAAAGGCTGTGGCATACATGCTTCCATGCTTGTCACCCACCGCCATTGAATTTGAATCAGCAGAAGAAAGGAAAGCCGTAGCGTTTACAAAGAAGGGACTCAGGGAGGGAGGGATGCAGCGGCCGATGACATAAGAAAGCAGATGGCCATCGACAATTGATCTAGTATGTTCCATCACTCACTGAACAAAGTCATTGTCCACCTGCGTTTTCTTGTGACTCTGAAATTTACGAATGTCAGACTGTATGAAAACTTGAAGCAACAAGCGTATCGTGAACAATATTGATGAAATTTTCTAATTTGGTGGGCAGCTCAGAAAGGAACCTGTTGAGATGTCTATGAATGCGGATGATTCGAAACCACGAAGAGTATAACGAGCTTTGAATAAGATGTGCTTCCCACAAATGTTGAAAACTTGTGCAAGGACTTCAGACGGCTCGCCTCAAATGCGCAAGGTCCAGCTGGCAGATGCGGAATGCGGAATGGTGATGCACCCGCATTGCTCACATTGAAGGCGTGCTCGGCGACTTAAGGCCTGGAAAATCCGATGAATTTGTTCGATGCCATGAGTTTCGGCAGAAAATGAGAAACTCAGGCCTCTTGGAGATGAAGCCCCTTCGAGCTAGTGATTAGCAGATAAAGTCATTCGACTACTAGTCGCTCTTACTCCTAAATGTGGTCAGACTTATGGATCCGAATCTTGTACCTTGCTCTCATACTCATCTAATTGATAAGCTCCCGCTGACCTTAGAAGCTGTCTTCCAAATCCCAGGTTTAACTCTCGACCATCCAGAATTATATCGACGGTTCGCCGTCATATAATCTCTGGCAAACGGGCTCTACTCATGTCAGGTCGGGTAAACCCGTGAAACGTACGGTATGGAAGAGTGCGTCCTTTTTGGCAGGAAGTTATCATCGTGATGCCCAGAGAACTTGAATTCTTTTTGGAAGGGTTGCATCGTCTTCTCTTCTGAGTTTTGTGTCAACGCTGGCCCTCGAAGCATATTCGCTACCAGTCAGAAAAGGAGAAGTCAATGACAAGGCTGTAGCTCTGCCTTTATGCTTCACTTTTGTTCATGGGGAAATATGGAAATATTCCGCGAATTGCTTAAATCTGTAGGATGACATTATTCACATCTAGATACCCACTGAGCGGTTGGTGTCCTTACCGACCACTAATACCCCTCGAGGTATACTAATCCAGCAGGACCAAGTCTTGATGTATCGTTTGCATTTTTTCCAATCTACGTGGCACTTGTTTGATCTACATGACACTTAATTAACTCTTGAGTTAGGAGTCTCTGCACAGTCAAGAACAAGTTGATGTCAGAGCATAGAAAATAAAGCCATACAAGTTCTCAAGCTGAAACAGAAGCTTCTCGGTAGCCCATGGAAACAGCGTCTTCAAGAACAGAAGTCTAGATTTAGCGGAAAATGTAGTGGAATTAGTTTGTTCAGGGTGTCATTGTGCCCGACATCTGGTTTGAACCGTTGATGCAAGAATGCAGTCACTACTAATCCATTTTTAAGGAGATTTGGGTGTTTAAGAAAATAGCATTGTCTTAAGCTGTCCGAGATCCCAGCCCTTCAACCTACGGTCAGTGCACCGGCGCATGCGCAGGGCGTTTTGATGTTAGAACATGGTCGAAATCTCAGGACCTTTTACAATGACTGGGGAGAAACTTTACTTTTGATGCTCCAAAATGAAGGTTTGTATTCTGGATGGAATACAACATGAGCCTGCAATATCAGTAGCAGAAAGATGAGAGTTGAAGGGTAGCAATTGTTAGTTAATTGGAGAAGAGTCGACCGGATTTGTTATGTTGCGCTTCTTCTGTATATAACGCAGTGGGATCTAAAATCAAATATGCACTGGGAAGACTGCCAAGGGCATGTGGGATGCACTGTGTGCTCACTATGAGGTATCAGACCGGTTGAGTCCAAACGAAAAGCTCAGGCACCTCCTAGATTCATCTGCATTAAATGCCGATGAAATGGAATGATTCTATCCCTGTGCACATAGCCATATTTCAAGTGACGTTTAATGAGATGATTGAGGCCGGATGTGAGTTAGTAGGACAAATCTAGTATTGATGTTGATAACAAGCTGACCTCCCGGAACAGGATAGCGATGTTATCATGAGATGAATGAAAACCTCACTGCCCGATCTCCTTGCATGGCTGATCCAAGACGCCCATGCCTGTGAGGAGAATGATAAGCGCTTCGGGTCTGGAGAGACTTCTGCGATATCCTGTGTTGTTTCATGGAGCAGTTCGAGATCTTACCACAATTCTCACCTTGACCACAATTCTCACCTGCTAACCCTGCTGCGAAACAGAGAACACCTGGTGAACCCAATACAAGGCCTAGAAATCCTATGAAGAACCAGCAAATATAGAAGACTTCTTGCAGTTGCGGGAGGGTTGGCAGGATCTCATCACAAAGCAAAGTGCCAAGAAAGCAGAAACAGAAGCAAAAGGGAAATGTAAATAGTGATGACTGTCAGAATAAGCAGACTAAATCGAAATCAGACAGGGAGACATCCAAGCTTTTGGCACAGGTCAGAGAGTGTAAACTACCTGCAATGATCCTCTTTGTCTATCTCAATGTAATTTAGAGATTAAAGCGACCCACCACATGTGCCGTCCACCAGATTTCTTTCTATCTCGTTCTTAGTGCAGCGGTAGAGAATTGTTTTTTGGTGATGTTTTTTGGATAGGACGGTGGCGGTAGTCGAGTCAGCGACAGTCGAAGTAGGGTAACCGTCAAGGAAGACTGACAGTCAAAGATGAGTTAAGCTCAGGGATGGCAGTATTAAATCACGATGGTTTTCATGTGCCTGACCTGAGGAAGAAAATGTTTTAGTGAGCGACAATATGACAGCCGGGTTGGCCTGTTCGTGATCGGTAAATTACATGGTCAATTTCGAGATGAGCTAGTTGCCAATTGCCTACTTGTTGGGGATTTGTTCCTACTGGGTTACTCAAAAAAGTCCAACTGATCGATGCCAATGCAATTTGCGGTGGCGAAGACACCAATACATGATATTGACCTACTTATGGGAAAATAAAAATATCCAAAAAAAGTGCCTCCCTAGCTGCCCTGATGACTGACAGGCACTCTGAAGAAGACGCAGTCTCTGAAATGAGTCACAAACTCACGATTGGCACCTAAGATCCCCCTATCCACCTAGACTGACTCTGGAAACGATCAACAAGCAGCGAAACTGAAATGTATTTCTGGACCACTGAAGCAGAAACTGAGGTCAAGGACGAGCGACTTCGATGGCGTAATGGATTTGCGTTGCCCCGGGCAACGCAACTGGAGTCGTTGCCCCCATGGCTACGATCACTCCTTCGACGTGGTCAGACCGGTCATTGCAGTCATCCCAAACTCCGTACGTCGCCCAACCATGTTTCACTAGCTTTTCACTCGTGTCAGAACTTGTCTCGACTTGGACCAATGTGATGATGACGAGGCAGGATCCCGAAATATTATTCAGTAGCACGTCCAATTTAGACTCACTGCTAAAGCCGGCAAGCTAATCAAGTTTTCTGACATTTATTGACGATTTCTATCATTTATCATTTTCCTGCCATTCTTCACATGCTGCATAGTAACGATGAGAGTGCACAGAACTTCCAGGAATTCCATGTGCCAACCGAGCGACAAACCCTAGAGACAGAGACATCGTTCCCAAAACGGCATGGCCCACCAACTCACAAATGCTGACACGCGTCCCAGAAAAGTGGTGCAGAACACAAGTACGTAGTGCGCAGTTAATGCAGTGCATACGTACTGTGTTCTTTGATGTAAACGTTCCAAAAGTCGTACGAGCTACGTACAATGCGGCGTATAAGCGAAAGTCTTGCTGAGAAGACGTTGCGTGACTGGGTTGTAGATGCATAATCGGTGCCCGTCTCGTGACCCCCTCATAAGTACACCTTGTAAGCAGTATTTTGGCCGTAAGTTCTATGGGTTTTTTTATGTAATGTGTATTGTCATCCACAATATACAACACAAATCTTATGATACTTAATGACGTTTTTCGAATAAAAAAATTAAAAATTCTTTAGCATTATTTGGTATCAATCTTTTCTTAATATTGAACAATACGTCTTGTTTGATAGATTTTTTCTTACACCTAATCAATTATTTCTCGATTTTAAGTCTCTAACATGGTGATATGATCTCAAGCTGCTATGGATTATGTCATTTTTCATCATATCATTTAATTTCAAAAAATATATTATAGTTAAGAACAATTTATATCTATTTTAAAGAAAATATAATTAACAAAATGATAATAAAATGTGAATATTATCCTGAATTTTTAAATATAAAAATTTGAAACCATCACATATTAATGAAATAATTAAATTTTAAGATGTAAATAAGTTAAATTTGAACCTTATTTTTTATCTTCTTGGAATAGAAGTCTTAGAACATTCCAAAGAAATTTGAAAATATCCAAGTTCAATATAATCAATATCAAACATGCATGTTGTAATAATTTTATAAAGAAATTTTGTGAACATAAACCAACAAATATTAAATTTTTTTCATAAAAAATAAATTCTAAAATAACTTAATTAAAAAATTGACATATTATGTTTAATTTTTAATAAAAATTAATTAAATATATATACATATATACTAATTATGTTGAATATAATTGAATATATAATGTTGAATTGAATTTTATCAATATGTAAGTTAAAATTTATTGTTACAAGTATTGATAGCCAAAAACTTGTGCAAGCCTCATAGTTCCTTGAGTAAAAAATCTTGGCTAGACTACTCTTCAGATTTTTTCATGGAAAAAGGGTTCGCATTTTGAGTTCAAATGGTATTTTTCAATAGTATGTTTGATAAATTATTGTAAAGAAAAATTATTCATAAAATTTATTTATAATCATTTCATTCAAATCAGCATTATTTACTTTCATTGATTTTAAAGTTTAGAATCTAAACAATTATGATCTGAGTTCTGCAACTCTTACTGGGATTGTGAGATTACGCTTATCCCAGAATTTGAAAGCTGGCTTCAAGAGAAGAGGAGATAGGTCACTGCTTGAATAAGTTGATAAATCAGAACTTCACATCGTTTTGAATAGTGGCATAATAATTCCAAAATGTTAAAGGTTTTGGATTTTTCACTCATGTGCTAGTGCAATTTTCTTCATGTGAGAAAATGCGTCACTTGTACTTTTATTTTTCTTGGTGGCAGGGAAAATTGTTAAATTAATTCCTGTTCTTAGATTGCCCACAAATGCATGGATAACCTTGATGTTTTCTGCTGCTTAACTCAGTTTCACACGTAGTTGAAAGTGCCGACCAACGTGATAATGCTTACATGTAGACAAACTGACATATTTCTCAATCCATGAATCTTCAGACTTAATACGAACCCAAGATGCTGTCTACTCTTGGAAAATTGAGACAGTAGCAGCTTGTGGAATACATGAATACTACGTTGAAAAGTGCAAAGCTTGTATCTCTATTGCAAATATGGGGACACGCTGCTTTATGCTTTACAGCCATTTTATGCAGCACTATCGTGATGCATAGAATGTCTAGCTCTGTGATGTTATATAAAAGAAACAAGACTAGAAATTTACCGGGTGAAAGATTATGTATTCTTATGTGATTCCCCAAACCCCCGCAGTCCCCAACAACGATAATGTTAGATCCGAGAATTCGGATGAATCTGTTGAGCAGCCAAGAGAATCTCCAACTCCCGAGTTCATAATTTACCAAAAATTAATTTCAGGCTTTTCAGATATGAGCAAGAATTCGGGCTTCACAGATTTCTTTCAATGTGATTGCCTTATCCCACCATATCTGGATCTGGATATAGCATATTTAGCCTGCTACACTCAAATCTCGAGCAACTTTACGTTTTGGTTGAGAATCAGCTTGCAGTGCCGAAAGACAATCCAAGCCTTTATTTTGATTCGTTCCAAAACTCCCCTAGTGATGAACACTATCGATTGATATTGATCATCACTCTAGTTCGGATCACCGAATATTTTCTTCGCTTACTTAACTCAGGAAAGATTGTCATCGACCTGGTATTAGCCGATCGATGTAAGTTGATGTCAGCATCTTCCAGGTTTTTTGGAGATCTACAAAACATATATATTCATACTCTACTTTAAGGATCTTACTTGAATCATCTTACCTTCGAAACCTGTTCTGACTTCCCTTAGACTAAAAAAGCGTCTAGCGACCGTTGTAACTTGCAAAAGCTTTCGTTTAGATCGTAGATCTGGGATCCTCCGTGCAGAGTATGTACACCGTCACGAGATGTATACCAAGGCATGAAAGGATGTCATAATTGACTCTGGTAGCAAAAACCACGAGGTCCATCGCATAGAACTACCCAAACTGTCTGGATTCAAGTTATGGTGAAGAGTCTTGGCTACGTCGTGCTCACGCCTCCAGTAACAGGTTCAGGTTGTCACAAGAGGTTCTATTCAAGAAACCAGAGGAAAACATAGAGATATTATCCGCGGCCATGACCTCGGCCGGGCTCCGTTGATCTGTCTTAGACCTGTGCCGAACGTGACTGGGCCGTTTCATGGTCAAGGATGATCTGGAGCGGCATTACAGTTTCAGATTTAGCATGCTCATCGTACCAAATACCATAAAGAAAAACGTCTGTTTGGGAGGTGCCTATGTTTTATGGATATTCCCTATCGTACCCTGTTTCCTTCAAGGGCGTGATGATTGAGAAATGAGAAATATCTCAGGAAGTAAGAGAAATCAGTGTGAAACGAAGCAAAACTATCATGCATGGCATTTGTTAAGCCCTGGAAGACAGGCTTAGTTTATTTGCTTCATGCAAGCCAAGGATGACTAAGGATTTGATACATAGTTGGCAATGCGCCACGGCGGAAATCCTCTGGGCCAATCAGTTCGAGCAAATCCATTGCCTGCTGGTCAAAAATGTCCATTCTTGGCTCCTGTTCGTCGAGAGTCAGTTCTTCTTCATCGCTTTCTGCGCCTACATCGGTTCCAGCCAGAATGCAGTGCAGTATCTCTCCCAAGGCTTCGATATCGTCTTGGGGTACAGAATTGTCATTACGGCGGCCGCTTACTTCATCGATATTGAACCACTCAAGATGGTTAAAATTAGCGTGAACTCTTACAGCTAAAGCTGGTTTGTAGACAGACAAACCAAAGTCTATGATCTTAGATTCCGTCATGGTATCATCGGTGAATAGAATATTATCTGCGTGCAAATCCATGTGTAGCACGCCATGCTGATGGATGAAATGAGTTGCTTCGACTATTTGTTTGAAAATTCTGCTCCCGCTTCTGTTATTGGCGATAGGATAGAAATGGCTGAGATTCTTCCTTGCACATAGTTCTAGCACCATGTAGACTGTATTATCGCTCATCAGCAAGTCCTTGAGTTCAATTATATTCCTATGTCGAGGAAGTATTCTGTGCAGAATAACCATTTCTTTGTAGATCTTCCTCACACCTTCGTGTGGATTTGACCACTGAGTGACTACAGCTCCAGGAGCAACGCGTTCGAACTGTTGAACTTTCATGGCGTATCTTCGTCCATTGCTTACGTGCTCAACCTCATAGGTCTTACCATAATCACCTTCGCCGAGCTCATCAAGACATCTGTAGTAATTGTTAATTTCGCGTTCATTTTTCAGGGATTTTACACTGAGAAAGGCGTGATTGCCTTCACCTTCCCGACCTGCCATTCTGAAAGCAAAGGACGATATTTAAGTCTCTATTTCATGAACGTCCTGACGGTCAAGGAGAAATGGGTCTGCCCAGAACATGTCATTGCCATGTTTCTGAATCTTTTAGGGGATCTGTGGTAGGATTGCCCCACTACAAATGCCAATACTGTAGATTGGCACTCGGCACTCGGCACTCTGCACATTAGCTCGCAATGTGTCGATTGATAGCTGCACCTACCTATAGGCCAGGGACTTCGGCACATGTCAGATAAGTTTTGCCAATCAGTTGATGTACCAGGCATGCCATTCATGCAACTGAGATTGAAGATCTAACCATTTACGATGATCGATCGCAGGCGATGTAGTTAAAACCTTCGGGCCTTGAGAATTAGCTAGCCCCTTAATTACTTCGAGGATTTCAAACCAGTTAGTGGCTTCAGATTTCATGTAGAACTTGAGTGTACAGAGTTCTCACAATGGAAACCATAGAATGTGTTATTATCGATGATCTTTACTTCATGTGGTATATATTTATCAAGTGCAATTAAGTTCTAGAAAACCTGGTAAAATTCCGGCGAGTTTGTACTTGAAGACAATTTATCATGCAATTGATGACCCTCTGTTCCAGAATGTGCGCTGAATGTTTCTTGCATTATCAGGCCAAAGTGCGACATTCAATCCCTTGCCAATCGGATCCAATTTTTTACAGTGTTTTGATTTCTCTATGGGTGAACAATTGGAGGAAATTTTCATGATTCTCAGAATCGATGTCGTCTCCATCGAACCCTTTGAAGTACATCACTCGCTGTAAGAGTACTGCCTGCTCATGATTTTCTTGAGTGGCATGGAGATTTACATGCTGACTGAGGTTGTGAATTCGTGCCACAAATCAACATGCGGAGAAAAAAGATATTTCTTTCACCCATCGGATTTTCTCGGTAAGGAGATGATTCTTGTCGGAGGATGATCCATCGAGATCCCCTCAGACAGAATATGTCCAAGGGAGACCCTTTACCTTAAAACTTAGAAGCTGGTTATGTGCTATATATCTAATATGGTGCATAATGTTTATCTATTATATCTGAAGCGTTGCCAAACCCTTCGCTTGACCTTGTGTTCAGCCTATGTATTCCTTCTCATTGGACGGCGTATCAGATGCACACGAGCACCTCGATGGTTCAAGATTTGTGCTGAAATTTTCGCCGCAAATTTATATCGTGGGATCAATTCTTCGGCATTTCTGCTAATCTATACTATCAATGGAAGTGGGATATCATAGAAGGAGAATTAATGAGTAGTCACTTTCGAACCATAGCATCGTTAATACTCAATCAAGAGATGTGAGAATGAAGAATGTAATGACTGGAAGTAACCAATCGATAGGGACCGTAAAATAAAACTTAAGTGCAAACGCCTGTCTAGGTTTAGGGACAGAGAGGTTAAGGGAATGATAGTATCTTTTGATGGACTTGTTGGGATTTTATTGAGATGTTTGAAGCAACTCTGCACACCGATTCTGGCACATCATGCGTTTCTCACTGTCCTCAAAATTATTTCAAATAAACCTTCCGCGTTTGTATCTTGAGATTTATTGAAGTTATTATAAAAAATATCGAAGTTTCAGAAATCTGAATCGTACTAAGTTTAAAAGGAAGAAATCAGACCCTGAAAAATTGCAGCCAGAGGCATGGACATTGTATAATTTCGGTGACATTCATATTTCGATGCTCTTCGCGAACTTCAAAACTTTACTTCTGTTCACTCAGGAAATCTTCAGTCTCTCAATCTACATAGCGCTGCTCATTTGCCTGTGGACTGAAGCAGAGAAACCCTTTTCGTCCTAGATTTGGTTACAGGTGTACATCGTAAATTTAAGTCTTGAGATTTATAGTTTTTGCTTGTATTCTTTCCCTACTTTACCACAACATCTCCATAAACTCGTTAATGTTTTTGCCAGCAAGTTCAAACACAAATTCATTTGTAATACCTTTGTGTGTTCATTGCACTCCTTGTGAGTCTCCGGTTCACTTTGTTCTGACTTTTCAAATGTAATGCATAAACCTCAGTAGAACATATAGAAAATATACTAAGATAAAGCTACTGAACATTGCATATAACAAGTAAATTTATGCTATTTAGGACTTACACTATTGAAAATATATTGCATATCGATACAGTAACATGAGGTGGAAAGTGATGTTGAAGTGAAATTATTTCAATGGGCATGTTTAAGCATAGATAATGTAGTTTGGAATACATCAGTAAATATAATTTAATTCCAGCAGAAATAGTTAACTGTGTAATTAGATAACGAATTTGTTATTCTCTGAGAAAATAAACAATAGCTTAGAAATTATGGTAATTTATAAACTTATCCAGAATTCCTTTTTATTACTAACATTCATAAATTATATATTAGTTTTAACAACGTTACTCCAGGATAATATGAGCAAAATGTATTTTATCTTGTGGATAAAAATAATTCAAGGTACCATTACAGTCGAACATATGCATGTGAACTGCTTCGAGTTCATTTTAATTCCTAGATTATAATTTAAGTAAGGAATTTCTATAAAAATTCCATATGTGAAAATTTGAAAAGAATAAAATATATTAATTGTGATGAATTTCTGATTTATAAAACAAACTATTACATATAAGATCAATTATTATTTATCTCTCCTCATACATGACAAACGTTTGAATTTGATACACCATGATTTAGCAATAGATGATGAATCAATTGCAAATTATTGACTACATGATGAGATTTTAAAAATGACAAATTTCTTATTTTATCCTTCATGTTACAGCTGAAATCAATTTTTTTTATAGAAGACTTATTATTGTTAAAATATTTCAGAACAATTTTTCACATTATTGTAGAAGAACAAGGATTTTTTAAAAATTCCATCTTTTATAATGAGAATTTTTTTTAGACTTGAACGTACAAAAATCAAAAAGAAAAAATTATGATTGATTTTTCTTTAAATCTATTTGTATAGCATTAGCTTTACATACAATAATTTTGTACTTGAGTGAAAATAATGAATGTAAATTTATTCATATTTCAATTACATTAAATTAACTGTTGTGATGAGATATACTAGCTCCTTTACAATTTCTCTTTAAAAATAAATTTCAAGATTAAAATAAACTTCAATTCAATAGAGGCATACTCTCAATGCAACATGTAAAAATGTTTTAGCTGTAAATCATGGTGGAACCCAAAAAAAACCCCCCCTTCATTCAATAAAAGCTACTAGAAACATATCTTAAAAACCGAGCATATCAATTCAACATTTTCATCATTGTTATAGCGGAATTAGTATGGACCCTAGTAGCAGATCCACATCTTAATGTAGCAAATTTATTTATATAGGAATTGTCAATGAAGTTGGGCAATTCTTACGATCATATTCATATTAGTCATATAAATTACTAGCAAGTACTTTTCCTAGTTTTTTTGCCCTCAGAAACCAAGATTTTGTCTTAATCTACATCAATTGTAGTTGCTTTCTTGAAATCACTTGAAATTTTTGTGCCATTTATTTTACTGTATAATTCAGAGGTTGCAAATCTCAATATGAGGTTGAATTGAATATTGCAGGAGATTAATGTGTCCATTGTTCTAGAGTTCTTCAGCATAATAGTGAAAGTCTTTCAGGATCAGGACAATGTCTACTTGATGAAAAATTATGGAGTTTCTTGTAAGATCCTCAAATTTGATGAAATTTCTTAACACGTTGGACAACAAACAACTGGAAATGTTACCTACTGACATTGTGAAAATCTTTGACATAGGTAAGTCCCAGGTCTATCTTATGACAATCTAATGCTTCATTGGAGTCAAACGACGATCGATGGACGTATTGAGCAGGTCCACGTCTCCCTTGCAGGAGAGACTCCAGTTTGTTTGTTTTGTTTGCGACATAGTCGATGTATTAAAGTGCTGTTAATTTAGTAGATCAGTGTTTTGGGTAGGCAAATGCTACGATTAGCTTTCAGGGCAATTCCATTGCCCAGCGAAGGGTTTCTTTCGCGTTTCAACAATCTTCGAATGTTTATCGCATTTAGGAAACGAAAGAATGATGATGTATGATGCTGGACATGTATAATATTTGATCTTACACTTCTTCCATTCACTAACCAAAATCAAATTTAGATACTAGTGTTCAATGAGTTCTTGCTCACTGCTAAAAAAATACAAAAATTGGTTAATGAAAGTGAGAGATTTATCTAATCATAAAGTCCAATGTAGTCTCATCAAAACCTTCAAAAGAAGGTGTATTGGTAAAGAAGATACTCAAACATGAGTTTCCTAACATTGGAAAGAGATTTTTTCTAACATGGCAAATTTTCTATGTCAAATGTTTGAATAGTCCAATCTTTAATGAAGATTTCGTTAAAAAATGAAGAAGCTCGCAACGATATTTTTCTATATAGGAGCTGATATTCGAAGAAAACCAAAAAAAAATTATCTTGAGATGCAAGAAAATTATGTCAGATAATGGTCGTGCCTATGATCCGATGATCAAAGACACTTTACCATAATACAACGTTGGCAGGGACTTCCTCGAGACTGAATTCTCCTTTTAGATAGAAGACTAGCTTCGTGTTACATCATCCTCATTAATATAAACATTATCAGCGACCTCTATACGTAACTCATGGTGGATAAGAGCCAAAAATAAAAGAGCTTCAAGATCACTTAAAATTTCGAAGTGTACCATCATAAACATTCTCGGTGTCATTGAATTTTAATAGAGAAAATTGTTCATCTGGTACCTTCCTCAACATTCTCGGTATCATTGAAGTTAAATAGAGAACAGCGTTCATTTGGAAACCCGAAGGTCTCGTGATACGCAGGCCAGTGTTAGCTTTCAAAACACTAAGAAAAGTGAGTCCTACTACTCATCGACGCTCAAGGCCTCAAAGCATGTAGTTCAAAGTTTGGGTATTGTTTTGATTTACTCATGTGTCGTTTAAGTCACATAACAGGCAATTTGTAAACAATT